TTGGAGGTAGGAAGGTGTGATCCATTTTAAAAATGGTCCAAAAGTTATTGCAAAACTCGGGGGGGGGGGGTTGCTGGCATTTTGTTTCTAAAGTGTTTCTAAAATATAGTTAGCTAAAAATTCATTACTATAATGAGACTAATTAAAATTCATTACTTTTTCGTTCCAGTAATTACAATTAATGGCTATATCTGGGGAAAGTTCAGGAGCTCCTATCTCCCTCATTTTGAAAGTTATTGAAGTGAAACTTGCCGCATTGACCACTGTTAGTCCACCAAATTTCAGAGCATTTCATTTATCCATTGATTTTTGAGGAATTTTCAATTTTTTTATAAACAACATTTTAAAAAATTACAAGAGGTATCTACTTGAATTTCACCTACAATGCACAAGATAACCAGGGCATCAATCCCCAGAAGTTTCACAAAGATTCGCACACTGACAGATTTTTGGGGATTTTTAACAGTTTAGACCAAAACAATTTATCCCCTCTAAAAGCGATAACAGCAATTCCCTTGAATGCCTGCCTATCTATATTGTTGGCGCATGTAAAATTCAGTTGGCGAGTGTGCCAACTGAAAAATGTACGAAGCTGATTGGCTGAGCCATGTTCGAGAGGCTAGCTGAGCCTGGGAGTTTTGGCAACAGTTACATGTTTAGGTTTTCTGTGCAAGAGCTTCCCTAGACAAGTTAGTATATTTTATGCTTCTGAGCTGCTGGAAGAAGATCCTTCACATGGACACTCTAGGAACATTTTAAACTCTCTCAAAGGACATTGTATGAGGCAATGCAACCGTTCACATGACTGTATATAAGTTGCTCTGCATAACAAAGAGTAAACACCTTATTCTTTACTAGTATACCTTTTCTCTAGCAAGACAGTGAATGGATTGGTAAAGATGTGAACTACATGTGATTTTCATTCCACAACATATATGGCACAGAATTAACCACATAACTTCAACTTACCATAGATATATATACTATTATTTGCTTACTTTAGTCCTCTTGGTAGATTAAATATTTTTATTTATTATCATGAAACTGACTCTAAATATGTATTGTCAAAGGCTTTCATGGCTGGAATCACTAGGTTCTTGTAGGTTTTTTCAGGCTATAGGGCCATGTTCTAGAGGCATTTCTCCTGACGTTTCGCCTGCATCTATGGCAAGCATCCTCAGAGGTAGTGAGGTCTGTTGGAAATAGGAAAATGGGTTTATATATCTGTGGAATGACTGGGGTGGGGCAAAGAGCTCTCTGCTGAAGCTAGGTGTGAATGTTTCAGCTGACCACCTTCATTAGCATTTGAAGGCCTGGCTGAGCCTGGGAAAATGTTCTGTTGAGAGGTGTTAAGATGTGCCTGGTTGTTTCCTCTCTGCTGTTTTGCTGTAGTAATTTTAGAGTTTTTTTAATACTGGTAGCCAGATTTTGTTCATTTTCATGGTCTCTTCCTTTCTGTTGAAATTGTCCACATGCTTGTGGATTTCAATGGCTTCTCTGTGTAGTCTGACATGGTGGTTGTTGGACTGGTCCAGCATTTCTGTGTTCTCAAATAATATGCTGTGTCCAGGCTGGTTCATCAGGTGCTCTGCTATTAAAATTACTACAGCAAAACAGCAGAGAGGAAACAACCAGGCACATCTTAACACCTCTCAACAGAACATTTTCCCAGGCTCAGCCAGGCCTTCAAATGCTAATGAAGGTGGTCAGCTGAAACATTCACACCTAGCTTCAGCAGAGAGCTCTTTGCCCCACCCCAGTCATTCCACAGATATATAAACCCATTTTTCCTAGTTCCAACAGACCTCACTACCTCTGAGGATGCTTGCCATAGATGCAGGCGAAACGTCAGGAGAAATGCCTCTAGAACATGGCCCTATAGCCCGAAAAAACCTACAAGAACCTAGTGATTCTAAATAGCTGACTGCGGCAGCCCTCCTTAGGGCTGTCTGATGCAGAGCATTGCATTCTGGGAAATGTAGTTGAGGGCAGGGCCTTTTGCATTCTCTGCCACAGAGGGCTTTGCCTCCCAAACTACATTTCCCAGAATTCTGTGTTCTCCGTCTCCCGCCCATTAACTTTGCTAGTCCTGCCCGCAGTGCCTTCCTTATGGATATCGAGCCAAAGAAAAAGGATTGGTTTTTAAAATATTTTATGTTATCTTGGCTTTACCAAAGTTGAAAATCAAACTGACCTTAGGAGGCGTCCAAATTTTACAGAATCTTAACAAAAATGATTGGAGAGTGTTTTGATTCTTAAATCCCCCCCCCCCACACACACACACACCTTTCCTGCATGTTTCCAGTATCAATCCGTATGCACAAATGTAATGAATTTGATACGAAATACGAAGAGTAACAATAATTTTGCACACCCCCACTTAGGGCACTGAGTCCCAATTTAAGTACAATATTCATTTATGTTAGAAGTGCTTAGATAGACTGTGAATGTGTGTGAGGTTGGAATGACCCTGTCCCCATTTGGGCTGCCTTTATACAGAAGCCGCTCTCGGCCCTGTTTTTCCCATCCTTCTGAAGGCGCATGCAAACAATTACGTTCCGTTTCCACTCTTCTCGCCTCCTTGCATCTGCTGCCAAGAGCCTTCGGAGCCAGAAATAAAACAAGGCCGGCATTGTCTCCCTTTCGGCAACATACACATCCCAGCCTCTCTCTTGTCGAGTTATTGGCTTTGCTTTTTATAAAAGAAGAAGGAGGGAGTCTTTGCCAACGTTTTGGCACCCAATCGACTCAAACGCCCACTTCTTAAGCAACAGCTATTGAATTGCGCTGTTTTGCTGAATCCTGGACTTGGAAAAGACCCCAAAGGTCATCCAGTCGGACCCCATTCTACCATCGAAATACAAAATCAAAGCAAATGCTGAACTCCAACACAATCCTTCAAGTTACAGATTGGGCATTTCAGTGGCAAAATGGGGTTGGTCTTTGACCCTATAGCCCTATTTCTCCATGAGCCTGGTAATGTCTATAAGGCCAGATGACCATCTGTTGGGACAGCATTGATTTTGCGTAGAAGGGAAGGGAAGAAGAAAGGGATGAAAGAAAGGAACGAATGAAAGGAAAGGAAAGGAGAAAGGAAGTAGTAAGGGAAAGAAGAAAGGAAAAGGAAGGAAAGAGGAAGAAGAATGAAAGGGAAGAGAAAGAAAGAGGAAGGAAGGAAGGAAGAGGGGAGAAGAAAAGAAAGAAGGAAAGGAAAGGGAAAGAAAAGGAAAGAAGAATGAAAGGGAAGAAGAGGAAGGAAGGAAGAAAAAAAAAAAGAAGAAGAAAGGAAGGAGAAGAAAAGGAAAGAAGAGAAAGAAAAAGAAAGGAGGAAGGAAGGAAGGGAAAGAAGAAATGAAGGAAAGGAAAGAAGGAAGGAATGAAAAGAGAGGAGAAAAGAAAGAAGGAAGGAAAGGAAGGAAGGAAAGAAAGAAAAGGAAAGAAAAAGAAAGGAAGGAAGGAAAGGAAAAAAGGAAAGGGAAGGAAGAAGAGAAGGAAAGGAAGGAAAGAGGAGAAAAGAGAAAGAAGAAGGAAAGAAAGAAGAATGGAAGGAAAGAAAGGAAGGAAAGAAAGAAAGGAAAAATGGAAGGAAAGGTAAGGAAAGAAGGAAGAAAAACAGGAAAGAAGAATGGAAGGAAAGGAGGAAGGACAGAAAGAAAGGAAAAGTAGTCAGGTTTGCGCTCTTGGCAAGGATTTTTGTTCCTGAGTTACTTTACTTTTACTTAGTCGATCCCTCGTTGGCTGAGTAGGATAGTCTTCCAGGATCATTGTTCTGGTGGGTCTGTAGGTGACTGTGGAGCCCTATTCTTGATCTGCATCTTCTTCCACAGTGAGGGCATCGGTTTCCAGGTGGAAGGTGGTCTTGGTTGGGGTTGGCTTGACGCCTTCCTCTTGGCACGTTTCTCTCTTTCGCCCTCCATTCGTGCCTCTTCAAATTCTGCAGCACTGCTGGTCACAGCTGACCTCCAGTTGGAGCACTCAAGGGCCAGGGCTTCCCAGTTCTCAGTGTCTATGCCAGAGATTTTAAGGTTGGCTTTGAGCCCACCTTTTCCTGAGTTATCAATGTATCAATGTCATTTCCTAACTGGTTCTATCATAAAACATGGGGAAAGTTCAAAAACTTTGTTTTTGTGGGACATCCTGCTATAGCACATGTTGCTCTGGTTTTCCAACTAGTGTCTCATTGAGTCTCAACAATTTCAACATAGTTTGTGCCACCCCCTCCCCCCAAAATAACAAAGTTTCCGGAGTAGAACTACTTTCAAAGTAAGGACCGCACAATTAAACAGGAAATAATGCTTTCAAACCAGGAGCAGAACTTTTTTCATATTTTGTTACATAGTGTGATTAAAGTTTAGTGATAAAAATTGCGAAATTGGATGGCCATCTGTCGGGAGATCTTTGATTGTGTTGGAATGGGGCTGGACTCTTTCAACTCTACAATGCAATGAATTCCGAAATGGTCCAATCTACAACTTTATATCCTCCACTCATTTCTCCATCTCCCATGTACATCTATACAACCCCCACTCATTTCCTCTATCTCCCATCTACAACTTTTCATCCTCCACTCATTTCTTCTATCTCCCAGCTATATCTTTACATCTTTTGTTCATTTCTGAAATTAGGAGCCCCCGGTGGCGCAGTGGGTTAAACCCCTGTGCCGGCAGGACTGAAGACCGACAGGTCGCAGTTCGAATCTGGGGAGAGGCAGATGAGCTCCCTCTATCAGCTCCAGCTCCTCATGCGGGGACATGAGAGAAGCCTCCCACAAGGATGATAAAACATCAAATCATCTGGGCATCCCCTGGGCAACGTCCTTGCAGACGGCCAATTCTCTCACACCAGAAGCGACTTGCAGTTTCTCAAGTCGCTCCTGACACAACAAAAAAAATTCTGAAATTTAGTGGAGAGGGCAATCCCTTTGATTCTGGATGGATCAACTAATAACAACAACAACAACAAGCAACAACAACCTATTTCCTCCTCTTTTTCTGCAGCAGACCAGAAGCTATTGCACTTGAGAAAGAGCTCATGGAAGAGTTCAGATTTGGTCAGCAGCAACTTATTGAGATTTGGGGCCACGCTTGTGCCATGGCGGTCACTAAGGTGAGTTTATTTGAATCCATTCCCCATTTTAATAATGTCTCTATGGAAGCATCTATGCTGTACATAGAAATAATTTGACAGCCACGACTCAATGTTTTGGCATCCTGGGAATTGTAATTTGCTAAGGTCTTGAGTTTTCTCTGCCTCGATCGAACCGATTTATATTTTTCCGTGGATGTCTCTTCTCCAGGTTTTCCCCCGGAGGTCCCTCCCGAAAAAGCAGCCCACGCTTCTGGTGGTCTGTGGCTGTGAACAGAACGGCGCCATTGGCTTGGCCTGCGCCCGGCACCTGCGTGTTTTCGTATGTAACCTTTTCCCATTTGAGAACAGTGTAAGGAATGTCGATATAAAGATTTCCTCACTCCCTCTTTCTGTATTTGTGCCATTTCAGGAATACGAGCCCACCATCTTTTACCCGAAACGGTCCTCAAATCCCCTTTACCGAGACTTCACCACCCAGTGCGAGAAAATGGATATCCCCTTTCTTTCCTACCTACCCACAGAGGTGAGTGAAACATTTATAATCTCCCCAAATACCCTCCTTTTTACATCCTCCACTCGTTTCCTCTATCTTCCATCTACATCTTTACATCCTCCATTTGTTTCTCAATCTCCCATCTATATCTTTACACCTTCCACTAATTTCCTCCATTTCCCATCTACAATTTTACATCCTCTGCTCATTTCCTCTATCTCCCATCTATAACTTTACATCCTCCGTTTGCTTCTCCTTCTCTCATATACATTTTTACATCCTTTGCTCATTTCCTCTGTCTCCCATATATATCTTCACATCCTCTGCTCATTTCCTCCATCTCCCATCTACTTTACATTTTCCATTCCCTTCTCCATCTTCTGTATGTATATTTACACCCTCCACTCATTTCCTCCATCTTCCATCAACAACTTAGCCACTTTGAGTCCCCTTTGGGGAGATAAAGCGGGGTATAAATAAATAAATAAATAATAAAGTAAAACAAGCAGTCGAAGAAGAAAAACACACCCTGGCAGAATATGTCAACGAAAGCCAAGGACCTGCTTTAATTGAAGTCAATAATTGGAAACTTCTCAAAGCACAGCAGACAAAGAACCAGTACAAGAAAACTGCACTCCAAACCAGAGCTGACAGCTGGCACAACAAAGCCTTGCATGGGCAGTTCCTTGAGAAGATTGAAGGAAAAGTTGACAAGGAGAAGACCTGGTTATGGCTCATGAATGGAACCCTGAAGAAGGAGACAGAAGGCCTGATTCTTGCAGCCCAGGAGCAAGCCATCAGAACCAATGCAATTAAGGCCAGGATTGAAAAATCAGCTGATGACCCAAAATGCAGACTGTGCAAGAAGCTGATGAAACCATGGATCATCTCCTCAGCTGCTGCAAGAAAATCGCACAGATGGACTACAAACAAAGGCACAACTCTGTGACCCAGATGATTCACTGGAACTTATCTCACAAATGTCAGTGTGCTGGAAGAAGCAAAGACCACCAGCACTGAAGTGATGGTCCTCCGCCATCAACTCCGCTGGACCGGCCACATTGTCCGGATGCCCGACCACCGTCTCCCAAAGCAGTTGCTCTACTCCGAACTCAAGAACGGAAAACGGAATGTTGGTGGGCAGGAAAAGAGATTAAAGATGGGCTCAAAGCCAACCTTAAAAACTCTGGCATAGACACTGAGAACTGGGAAGCCCTGGCCCTTGAGCGCTCCAGCTGGAGGTCAGCTGTGTCCAGCAGTGCTGTAGAATTTGAAGAGGCACGAATGGAGGACAAAAGAGAGAAACGTGCCAAGAGGAAGGCCCATCAAGCCAACCCCGACCGGGGCTGCCTTCCACCTGGAAACCAATGTCCTCACTGCGGGAGACGATTCAGATCAAGAATAGGGCTCCACAGTCACCTACGGACTCACCCTGGAGGATTATCCTACTCGGACAACGACGGATAGCCTAAGTAAGTAAGTCACAAATACCACCTGCCAGCAGTGAAGAATTGGTGGGATCATAAACCTGCAAAGGTAGTGGAAAATTAACACGCAAAAATACTGTGGGACTTTCGAATCCAGACTGACAAAGTTTTAGAACACAATACACCAGATTGTGGAAAAAGAAAAAAGTCTGGATTATTGATGTCACCATACTAGGTGACAGTCGCATTGAGGAAAAACAACAGGAAAAACTCAGCCATTATCAGGACCTTAAAATCGAACTGCAAAGGCTCTGGCATAAACCAGTACAGGTGGTCCCCGTGGTTATCGGCACACTGGGTGCCGTGCCAAAAGATCTCAGCCGGCATTTGGAAACAATAAACATCGACAAAATCACGATCTGTCAACTGCAAAAGGCCACCTTACTTGGATCTGTGCGCATCATTTGAAAATACATCACACAGTCCTAGACACTTGGGAAGTGTTCGACTTGTGATTTTGTGATATGAAATCCAGCATATAGATCCCGTTTGCTGTGACATACTGTTTTTGTGTCAATAGAATAATTATAATTATAATTATAATAACATTCTCCATTCATTTCTCCATCTCCCATATATATCTTTACATCCTCCGCCCATTTCCTCCATCTCCCACCTCCATCTTTACATCCTCTGCTCATTTCCTCTGTCTCTCATCGACATCTTGATGGTGAGATTTATTGCCAATATTTTGGTCCTGGAGGTTCACCTTGTTTTTTGCTTTGCTCGTCAATAGGTTCAGCTAATTAGTGATGCCTATAATCTGGTCGTGGATGCTGTCCTTGGAGTGGAGGCCAATCCAGGCGAAATCCTGGAGCCCTATAGTACCATCTTGGCCATTCTCAAGCAAATCCACGTCCCTCTTGTCAGCCTGGATGTCCCTTCTGGTATGTATGGAGTCGTAGAAGGGATCCCCAAAGGCCATCCAGTCCATCCCCATTCTGTCATAAAGGAATGCATTGAATAATGTTAGAATTTGCCTCGGATTCGAGTCCTGACCTGGCACCTGTTTTTCACTTTGTAACCACTTTTCTGCTTATTTGCCCTTTCTTCTCTCTGCGGCCAAATGCCAGCATCCAAACAGTAGCCGTCTCCAAGAGAGGTGCTTTTTTGGAAGGTGATTTGGCTACAATAAACTGAGACATGATGTCATATCCAAACATGCTTTTTTCGCGTCTGGTGCAAAGAGCTTCTGGTTTCTCCATCAGGGGAGGAATGTTGTATACCAAATGAGGAAACATTGACTTCCTACAATACTCCGGATTTATTCCTTTAAGCTTGCAGCGAAACATACACAAAAACAAAAACAAAAAAGGGATGGGTTTGGTGAGGCTCCAGCAGAAGACCTTGGAAAACTACAACACCTAGGACCCCACACCACTCAGCTGTGGCAGTTAAAGCGGTGCCAAGATACATACATGGGATGCAGCCATTGATATTGATAGGAATAAATCTCAGCATCCCAATCCCACCTGAACTGTAGAATCCTGGGAGTTGTAGTTTTTGCAAGGCCTTTTCTGCCCAAGAGTGCCAAACTACACCTCCCAGGATCCCATCACAGTTAAAATTGTGCCAAGATCAATTAATTTGGCAGTGTATTGATGCAGAAGGCTCAAGACCTTGTCAAACTACAACTCCCAGGATCCCATTATACTGAGTTCAAATGCAGCATTCATTTTACAAATGGAGATACACCCAATGCTACGGGCAGGTGGGATCTGTAATTTAGCGAGAAACCAGCCTTCTTTAGCAGGGAAAATACCTTGTTGAACTATAACTCCCCGGATCCCATTACACTGGGTTCAAATGCAGCATTAATTTTACAACGGAAATACACCCAATGCTATGGGAAAGTGGGACCTGTAGTTTTGCGAAGCACCAATATTCTTTGGCAGAGAAGACTGAAGACCTTGTCGAACGACAACTCCCAGGATCCCATTGCACTGGGTTCAAATGCAGCATTAATTTTACAATCGAAAAATGCCCACTGTTATGGACAGATGGGATCTGTAGTCTAGTGAGGCACCAGCCTTCTTTGACAGAGGAGATTCAAGAACCTTGTCAAACTACAACTCCCAGGAGCTGATCTCATAGAGTCAGAACAGTTGAAGCAATACGCAGACACGTGCATTTGACCAGGTAGATGCATCTGTAGCTAACAAACAGCTTTCAGATGGGCGGGCCTTGGGAAACTACACATCCCAGGGCCCTATCTCATGGGGTCAAGCCATATTAATGTGAGCCATTATATGGCCATATTCCTGGATATATTGCCAGGCACAAGAATAACCTATCAACCGGCTCAGCAGAAAAGTTGATTTTTCCACATCATTCACATTGGGTCTGGCTTTTCTGATTATAACAACTATGTTCAGAAGATACGTAAAAGGGAAATTCAGACTCCTTGTACTGCTGTAATTCCACTGACCACAGGGTGGAATGGCACCATAGCTAAGTAGTCTGTATACAGTCTCTTTTAGGTATGTATTCCTTCCTTCCTTTCCTTTCCTTTCCTTTCCTTTCCTTTCCTTTCCTTTCTTTCCTTTCCTTTCCTTTCCTTTCCTCTTTCCTCCTTTCCCTTTCCTTTTCTTCCTTACTTCTTTTTTCCTTCTTCTTTCCTATCCTGTCGTTCCTTTTTCCATTCTTTTTTTCTTTCCTTTCCTTCTCTTCTATTCTCTTTTATTTACCTTTCGTATCTTCTTTCCTTCCTTCCTTCCTTTCTTTTTTCCTTTCTTTCTTTCCTTCTTTCCCTTCCTGCCTTTCTTCTTTCCGTTCCTTCAGTCCTTTCTTTTGTTCCTTTCTTCTTTCTATTGCTTCCCATCCTTTCTTCTTTCCTTTCCTTAACTTTCCTTTCCTTTCCTTACTTTACCTTTCTTTTCTTCTTTCTTTTCTTCTTTCTTTTCCTTTCTTCTTCTTCCTCTCCTTTCCTCTCCTTCCTCCTTACCTTCCTCCTGGGAGCCCCCGGTGGCGCAGTGGGTTAAACCCCTGTGCCGGCAGGACTGAAGACCGACAGGTCGCAGGTTCGAATCCGGGGAGAGGCGGATGAGCTCCCTCTATCAGCTCCAGCTCCTCATGCGGGGACATGAGAGAAGCCTCCCACAAGGATGATAAAAACATCAATTCATCCAGGCGTCCCCTGGGCAACGTCCTTGCAGACGGCCAATTCTCTCACACCAGAAGCGACTTGCAGTTTCTCAAGTCGCTCCTGACTTGCTTTACTTTACCTTTCCTTTCTTCTTTCCTTTCCTTTCCTTTCCATTCCTTCTCTCTCTCTCTCGCTCTCTCTCTCTTCCTTCCTTCCTTCCTTCCTTCCTTCCTTCCTTCCTCCTCCCTCCCTCCTCTCCCTCTCCTTCCTTCTTCCTTCCTTCCTTCCTTCCTTCCTTCCTTCCTTCCCTTTCCTTCCTTTCTTCTTCCCTTCCCTTGCTTTTCTTTACTTTTCCTTTCTTCTTTCCCTTCCTTACCTTCTTTTTCTTCTTTCCTTTCCTTTCTTTATTTTGTTCCTTTTCTTCTTTTCCTTCCATTACATTGTTTTCTTCCCCTTTGTCTTTCCTTCTTTTTCTCTTTTCTTTCCTTTCTTTTGTTCCTTTCTTCTTTCCTTTCCTTTCTTTCCTTTCTTCTTCCTTCCTTCCTTCATTCCCTTCGCTTCCCTTTCTTTTTACATTTCCTTTCTTCTTTCCTTTTTCCTTTCCTTTCTTTCCTTCGTTTCCTTTTCTTAATTTTCTTCCCTTCCCTTCCCTTTCTTTGTTCCCTTCCTTCCTGCTTTCCTTTCCTTAACTTTCCTTCCTTGCCTTCCCTTTCTTTTTCTTCTTTCCTTTCCTTTCTTCTCCCTTTCCTTATCTTATCTTATATTTCCTTTCCTTTCTTCTTTTGTTCCTTTCTTCTTCCCTTTCCTCCCCCCCCCCCTTTCCTTTCCTCTCCTTTCCTTTCCTTACCTTACTTTACCTTTACGAGGAAGCCATTGCAATTTTCCTGTGTCACTTCTTTGAACGTGCATCATTTTTCTCCCGAGGCTTTGCTTTTCCCTTTGTCCTTTTGCATCCTTCTCTTCTCTTTTTGAGTCCTTTTCCTGTTCTGTCATTCCAGGGTGGGATGTGGAGACGGGCAGCAGTGACGGCCTCAGCCCTGATGTCCTCGTGTCGCTTTCGGCCCCAAAACAGTGCGCCACTCGCTTTGTGGGCAAACACCATTTCATCGCCGGCCGCTTCCTTCCGTACGACGTCCAGAAGAAATTCGAACTCAATTTGCCCGACTATCCGGGCACGGAATGCGTAGTTTCCCTTTAAAATAAACACCGTTATTCCCCTATTTCCTTTACAGACCGAATTCAAAGTCCTTATCTAGACTCGAAGCGCATTATAGGGCCGTCGGATTATTCTATATGCTCCGTATATTGCAGTAACATCTCTGGTTCCGATTAAAAAAAAGAATTAACCCATATTTTATATCAGGCCTCAGTTGTTTGTCTGAATTCTTTTGCCATCAAAGTTGGCTGGAGAAGAGTTTTGGGGTATTTCAAAAGAAATCAACAAAGTTGGCAGGAAAGGATGGGAATGTAAGGAAGTGATGCCCTCGGGGAAAATATGGGGAGAAACGGAGGAAATTGAAATATAAGGTCTTATCGACCCCTTCCCCTCTTATTTGGAAATGGACCAGGTTCGTGTTCACTTACAGAGGCATGCCAACGAGGGCCAACATTCCAATATGGCACTGAGGTGGACTAGATGACCTTTGGAGGTCCCTTCCGGCTCCATACTTGTCTCCAAATGCAAAAGTAGTCAGAGACAATGGTGGGGTTTCCTCCTTTGGAAATCTTTAAGCCAAGGTTAGATATTTTGAAATTGGGCATTCCTATATGACTTTGAGGGTGGACTAGATGACCTTTGAAGGTCCCTTCCATCTCCAAATAATGATAATTGTGGATTCTCCCCTTTTGGTGATCTCTAAGCCAAGGATGGATGGGCATCTTTCAAGTTTGCCATAATCGGCCACTCCTATATGATTTTGGGGTGGACTAGATGACCTTTGAGGGTCCCAACTTCAAACTGGTCTCCCAGTACCAAAGTAGGATGAGACAATGGTGGGCCCCCCTCTTTAAGCCAAGGTTCGATTACTATCTTTCAGATATGTCAAAATTGGGCATTCCAATATGGCCCTGGGGTAGACTAGATGACCTTTGGAGGTCCCTTCCAGCTCCAAATAATAATACTGGACTATCACCTTTTGGTGATCTCTAAGTCAAGGTTGGATGGGCATCTTTCAAGTATGCCATAATCAGACATTCGTATATGACTTTGGGGGTGGACTAGATGGCCTTTGAGGGTCCTTTCCAGTTCCAAATACAAAATGTACAATGAGTTAATAGTGGATTGTCCTCCTTCGGTGATCTCCAAGCTGATGTTGGATAGACATCTTTCAAGTATACCATAATCGGATATTTCTATATGATTGGGGTGGACGTTGAGGGTCCCTTTCAACTCCAAATACAAAAAGTAGGGTGAAAGAATAGTGGCTCCAAATAACGATAATGGTGGATTGTCCCTCTTTGGTGATCTCTAAGCCAAGGTTGGATGTGCATCTTTCAAGTATACCATGATCGGACATTCCTAGGCGACTTTGAGGGTGGACTAGATGACCTTTGAAGTTCCCTTCCAGCTCCAAATAACGATAATAGTGGATTGTCCTCCTTTGGTGATTTCTAAGCCAAGGTTGGATGGACATATTTCAAGTATGCCATAATTGGACATTCCTAGGCGACTTTGAGGATGGACTAGATGACCTTTGAAGTTCCCTTCCAGCTCCAAATAACGATAATAGTGGATTGTCCTCCTTTGATGATTTCTAAGCCAAGGTTGGATGGACATATTTCAAGTATGCCATAATCGGACATTCCTAGGCGACTTTGAGGGTGGACTAGATGACCTTTGAAGTTCCCTTCCAGCTCTAAATAACGATAATAGTGGATTGTCCTCRTTTGGTGATTTCTAAGCCAAGGTTGGATGGACATATTTCAAGTATGCCATAATCGGACATTCCTAGGCAACTTTGAGGGTGGACTAGATGACCTTTAAGGGTCCCGCCTGGCTCCAAACTTGTCTACCAAAGCAAAAGTAGCCAGAGACAACAGTTGGGCTTCCTCCTTTGGAGATCTTAAAGCCAAGGTTACATTACTATCCTTCAGATATGTCAAAATTGGCATTCCTATATGGTTTTGGGGGTGGGCTAGATGACCTTTGAGGGTCCCTTCCGGCTCCAAACAACAATAATAGTGGCTTGTCCTCCTTTGGTGACCTCTAAGCCAAGGTTGAATGAACACGTTTTAAGTATGTCATAACTGGACATTTTTATATGACTTTGAGGGTGGAATAGATTACCTTTGAGGGTCCCTTCCGGCCCCAAAGTGCTGTCCAAATGCCAGTTTGTTGCCCTCTTGATGCATTTTTTCATCCCAACCCTATGAGCTCATCCTGCTTTTATTGCCTTTTGCTTCTCCGTCCAAGCAAGGGCTCCTGTTGAAGCGTTCCCAAAAACAATATGAATAACTACAAGGGAGGAATTCCAAGGTTTGGGGTGGGAGGGCTGTGTGTGTCTCCGGTTTCTTTGGTCCAAAGGTGTGCTGTCCAAAAAGGTGTCCAAGCCAATGGAAGGGAAGAGAAGGGAGGGTCGGGGGCTTATATAGGCCTCTGGCTTTTCACTGTCCTCATCTTGAAGCGGCCGCCTCGTCCTCTGAATCCAAAATGTTGGGCGCAAAGCCGGCCGTTTTCCTCGTTGCTGTCTTCTGCTTCGGATGGGTCTCTTCTCAAGGTACCGTCCTGCAAAATAGTGGCCTAAGACTTCTGCCGATGGACCTAGGAAGATGACTACGTATCTCTTTATTAGTAGTATTAGAATTTATTAGTATCATCATCATCATCATCTTTGTTTATATCCGCTTTATCTCTCCTGATGGAGACTCAAAGCAGCTTACAATTAGAATCCAGGCCATTGGTTGCAAATGTCTTTAAACTGAGACTAGATGGCCATCTGTCGGGAGGGCTTGAATGGTGTCTTTCTGCCTGAATGGGGTTGGACTGGATGACCTTTAGGGATCTCTCCCAACTCTAGGAATCTCTTATTCCATAGCCCTATTTAGAGGCTAGATGAGGGCTTGAATGATGCCTTCCTGCCTGGAATAATGGGGTTGGACTGGATGATCTCTTGGTATCCCTTCCAACTCTAGCATTCTGCCTGCCTCCCCCACATTTAATTTTCAACAGAGGAAATTGCAATATTTGTATGACATTTGCTTGACTTTGGGGCTTTAATCCCTTTCAGGTGACAATATCCTGGCTCATGTCGTGTGCGGTTGGCTTTCCGTTTTGCTTCGTAAAAGGCAATTTTCCATCTGCAAACATTGTCCATTCCCAATCATAGCTTAGAAGGGAGGAGACATGACACGAAAAGCTTGAATCTGAAAGTCACTGAATGAACTGTGCACATTTGAAGCTTCTGCATGTCATTTCGGGTGCATCTTCACTGCCAAAGGAATGCAGTTTGATCCCAGTTTAACTGCCCTGGGATGCTGGGAGCTGTTGTTTTGCAAGGACTTTGTCCTCCCTAGCCAAGCAATGTCAACTACAAATCCCATTATTACACAGCATTGAGTCATGACAGTTAAAGAGGAGCAAAACCGCATTCGTTCAACAGTAAAGATGCACATTGGCTCTCTTCTTGATATTCCTCAACAGATCCACAGCCGAAAAATGAAAAGCCGGAGAAGCAGAAGAAAAAACACAAGACCCTCATTAGTCTTGAAGCAGGAATGGCTGGTAATTAATCTATTATTATTATTATTATTATTATTATTATTATTATTATTATTATTATTATTTCAACTAATCAGTTCATCCAAGTTGATCCTTTTATATGTTTGGGCACAACAGACAAATTCGATGCCAAGCTCCTACCGCTCCAATATAATTCAATATAATATATTGATCCTGTGCCAGCTGGATAATAATGCCATTTGGGTATAGTTATCAATTTAGTAGAGATGGTGTCAAACTCCTAACACTTTGCATCCTCTCCAATATAATTCAGAGACCACATTATCCATAATGTGCCAATGGATAACAATGCCATTTAGAGATATTTTTCAACTATCCTAACGCTTTTTGCATTGTCTGCAATATAATTCGGAGACACCATTATCGATCCTGTGCCACTGGATAATAATGCAATTCAAAGATAATTAGGAGAATGTGCCAAGCTCCTAGCGCTTTTGCGTTGTCTCCAATATAATTTGGAGACCCCATTATCGATCCTGTGCCACTGGATAATAATGCAATTCAAGGATAGTTAGGAACACTTTTTGCATTGTCTCCAATATAATTTGAAGAGGCCATTATCAGTCCTGTGCCACTGAATAATAGTGCCATTCAAGGATAGTTTTCAACTTGGCATAGATGGTGCCAAACTCCTAACACTATGCAGCCTCTCCAATATCATTCGGAGACTCCATGATTGATCCTGTGCCACTGGATAACAATGCAATCCAAGGATAGTTTTCAAATTGGCATAGATGGTGCCAAACTCCTAACACTCTGCAGCCTCTCCAATATCATTTGGAGACCCCATGATTGATCGTTTTCAACTTGGCATTGATAGTGTCAAACTCCTTACACTCTGCATCTTCTCCAATATCATTCAGAAATCCCAATATTGACCCTGTGCCACTGTATAATAATGCAATTCAAGGAGAGTTAGGAGAATGTGCCAAGCTTATAACGCGTTTTGTATTGTCTTTAATATAATGCGGAGATGCCATTCTCGATCCTGTGCCACGGGATAATAATGCCATTTAGGGAAAGTTATCAACTTGACATGGATGGTGCCAAACTCCTAACACTCTGCATTCTCTCCAATATAATTCAGGCCTCAGTATCAATCCTGTGCCACTGGATAATAATGCAATTCAAGGATAGTTTTCAACTCGGCACATTCAGTGCCAAGCTCAGAACAGTTTTTGCATTGTCTCCAATATAATTTAGAGACCCCATTATTGATTGTTTTCAACTTGGCACAGATGGTGCCAAACTCCTAACACTCTGCAACCCCTCTAATATCATTCAGAGACCCCATTATTGATTGTTATCAACTTGGCATTCAGTACCAAATTCTAATAGCTCTGCAGCCTCTCCAGTATCATTCGGAGATCCCGTTATCAATCCTATGCCACTGGATAATAATGCAATTCAAGGATAGTTAGAAGAATGTGCCAAGCTCCTAATGCTTTTTGCATTGTCTCCAATATAATTCAGAGACCCCTTATCGATCCTGTGCCGCTGGATAATAATGCCATTTAGGGATAGTTTTCAACTTGGCATAGATGGTGCCAAACTTCTAACACTTTGCATCCTCTCAAATATAATTCAGAGACCCCATTATTGATCATTATCAACTTGGCAAATTCTAATAGCTCTGCAGCCTCTCCAGTATCATTCGGAGATCCTGTTATCAATCCTGTGCCACTGGGTAATAATGCAATTCAAGGATAGTGAGGAGAATGTGCCAAGCTCCTAACACTTTTGCATTGTCTCCAATATAATTCGGAGACCCCCATTATCGATCCTGTGCTATTGGGTAATAATGCCATGCACAGGATAGTTTCCAACTTAGCATAAATGATGCTAAACTCCTAGCACTCTGCATCTTCTCCAATATCATTCAGAAACCCCATTATCAATCCTGTGCCACTGGATAATAATGCAATTCAAGGATAGTTAGGAGAATGTACCAAGCTCTTAATTCTTTTTGCATTGTCTTCAATATCATTCAGAGACGCCATTATTGATCCTGTGCCAATGGGTAATGATGCAATTCAAGGATAATTAGGAGAATGTGCCAAGCTCCTAATGCTTTTTGAATTGACTCCAATATAATTCGGAGATGCCATTATTGATCCTGTGCCACTGGATAATAATGCCATTTAGGGATAGTTATCAACTTGGCATAGATGGTGCTAAGCTTCTAATACTTTTTGCATTGTCTCCAATATAATTCGGAGATGCCATTATTGATCCTGTGCCACAGGATAATAATGCCACTTAGAGATGTGTTTTGATGTAACCTGGTACCAACATGGCCCTTCTTTTCCCCAGGTGAATGGACCTCATGGTTCAACGTGGACCATCCTGGAGGCGAAGGGGACTTTGAGACATTGGAGGCCATCAGGTTTTACTACCCAGACCGCCTCTGTGCCAAACCAGCGTCCATTCAAGTCCGGACCACGGAGTGGGAGCTGCCTGAGGAAGTGGGCGAAGTGGTCCATTTCAGCCCTCAGGACGGGTTTCGGTGCCTCAACCGGGAGCAACGTGAGGGCAAAGGGTGCTCCAATTACCACGTCCGATTCCTCTGCCCATTCGGTATGTAGCAATAACGGTGGGCAAAGGGGTGGGAATATGCTTTTTGAGAGTGCTGAGAAACCCAGCAAATCGTTCACTTGGAAACCTGAGAAACTCTAGATTCTCAAGGATAGTTTTAATTTTAAAGTTTTGCCTTTCCAGATGAATTCAGCACAAGGTCCGCATGTGTCGTTTCATGCTTGAAATTGCATTGCTGGAGCAGCAAATGCTATTTCCAAGCAGTCAATGATATTTCAAAAAGGCGAAATCCTGGATGGGGTGAATGTTTTGCTATTTGGGATGAACTTGGCACAAAATTTCATACCTGAAATGAGCTGGAAAATCATGTTTCAGTAACAGCTTATCTGTGAGAAATGGCCTTTTCTGAGCAGGCATTGCTATTTCTCAGCCGCAAATACTTCTTACGGGAAACTTGAAACACTCTGAACGGGAGTTAATTTTTGCTTCTTGGCACAACATTTGCATGTATCCTTTTCTGCCCAAAATGCCATTTTCAGAGGGATAAAATACTATTTTTGAACATTTCACCACATCCTATTAAACTTAGAGAACACTTATGTAAGAATCGCTTGACCCTCTAGTGCAGCTCAGTGGTCAGGATCTCAAGATCCCTATAAATCAAATCTGTCAATGGGATTCAAGTGTGGCCTCTGGTCATGAATACTATTGAAACACTGAACTGCTGACATGACCAGAGACAATGAGACAGAGTATATCACAGGCACTTTAGACAGACTATATAGCTACATGTGTTACACAAACAAAGGGGATATTACATTTTACTCAGCATTCACATACATATAAACATTCAATCTCCATGCATACATGGCCATCCCTTCTTCCTTCTCCTGGAGAAGAGACTCAAATGTGGCCAAATTGCTGGTTTTGACCTATAAAACCCTATACGGCTCCGGCCCAGCGTACCTGTCTGAACGTATCTCTTTCTACGTCTTTCTACGTCCCGCCTAGGAATTTAAGATCTTCTGGAGGGGCCCTGCTCTCGGCCTCGCCCTTGTCACAAATGAGATTGGCGGGGACGAGGGACAGGGCCTTCTTGGTGGTGGCCCCCTGGCTGTGGAATTCACTCCCCGGGGAAATTAGATCATCGTCATCCCTCCTCTCTTTCAGAAGGAAATTAAAAACATGGATATGACACCAGGCCTTTGGATAATCTGGCAGACTGACAATGGACAATGACGACTAAAGCTTTGAAAACGGACTATGATAAGCGGAATGAATTTATTAATTACAGACTTGGCAAAACGATGGCTACCAGGCTGGAATTTTATTGTATTTTTATTGTATTAATGTAATGTTTTAACTGTTACAATTTATTGTTACTATGTATTTTACTATGTGAATTGTAGGCATCAACGTATGCCGGTTGGAAGCCGCCCTGAGTCCCCCTTCGGGGGTTAAGAAAGGTGGGGTAGAAATACCCAAAATAAATAAATAAATAAATTCCCAGTAAATCTGCCATTCTGCAAATGCACCATTTATCTCTGTCCTTTGGAGAAAGAGGTGGGTGTACAGACCCTGCATTCCTGCAGATTTGCCACACTTTTGGAAAGTAAGAAGGTCTCTTATACAGCATTTCCACTGTTGTTGTTCTAAATTCATTAACTTGTTATCCAGCGAAAACATGCTGACGCTCCATCAGTTCTGAACAGATGTTAGTTTTCCTTCTTAAGTAAGTTGTGTTGTATGTGCTTCCTTGACTTAAAGAATCATTGTCTTTGGTTACGCAAGCATGTTGTTTTTAAGAAGAGTGAATCATTGTCTTTGGTCATGCTAGCAGTTCATGAATTCTTCGCCTCCTTTTTGGTTTCTCCGTAATTCCATTTTTCCAGATGCCAATTTTCTTAGGATGGTGCCTTCAGTCCCCATTCATACACCTTTCATACAACTTCATTCAATCTGCACCTCATATTTATTACACAGAGAGTGGGGCATTTGGGAGACCAAGAAGTGCCCTCCAGAGAAGGAGGCTCTTTTTGCCGTTTTCCATAATGCCAATGTTCTTAGAATGGTGCCTTCAGGCTATATAGGCCCCAACCATGCACCTTTTGTACCATTCCATTCAAATCACACATCATTATTTATCACTCTCCTTGCTCCAAAACAGATCTGTCTGCCTGGTTGGGCTGGTCAACCTGGTCGGCTTGGAGCGCCTGTTCGCAGACGTCCTGCGGTGTCAGAGGGACCCGGACCCGGCACCGGACATGCTTGAATGCCTCTCCACAGCTCCAGAAGTGCCAAGGGAAACCTGCTGAGCGCCAGACCTGCTCGGCAGGACCATGCCAAGGTAATGGATCCACACCAGAGACTTAATGCAGTTTGACCCCACCTGAATTGTTACATATGGAATCCCACAAGTTGTTGTTTAGCAGGGCCCTGGCAATAATGGCCTTGTCACACTACAACTGTCACACTACAACTCCCATTGCCTGGAGCTAAACAACATTAATTTGTCAGTGTGGATCTGCCTAATATCTCAGCAAACCACAAGGCCTAGGATTACATTGCCGTGAGCCGTGGCAAATACATTGATTCAGCAGCATAGATCAGGCATGGGCAAACTTAGGCCCTCCAGGTGTTTTAGACTTTAACTCCCACAATTCCTAACAGCCAATGCCTAGTGTAGATGATGATAATGATTATAACAATGGCATTATACTAGATTTCCTTTGGCCAGAAGCTGGCCACTTAGAGTGCCTCTGGTGTGGCTGTGAGAAGGTCCTCCATTGTGCATGTGATAGGACACAGACTGCATTGTAGTAAGCAGTCTGTGGTTTGCTCTTCTCCACACTCACATGTTGTGGACTTCACTTTGTGGCCCCATTTCTTAAATTTGGCTCTGCATTTCATGGTGGTGCCAGAGTGCAGTCTGTTCAGTGCCTTCCAAGTTGCCTAGTCTTCTGTGTGCCCAGGAGGGCGTTTCTCATCCAGTCCAGGCCACTGATTGATGTTTTGGGTTTTAACCTGCCACTTTTAGACTCTCATTTGCTGAAGTGTTCCTGTGAGTATCCCTGTGGATCTCAGGAAGCTGTTTCTTGATTTAAGGCATTGGCATGCCGGCTGATACCCGAACAGAGGATAGGCCGGAGATGTCCATGCCTTGGTCCTTTCATTACTTGCTGATACTTCCCGATGAATGTCAGGTGGTGCAATACTGGCTAAACAGTATAATTTCTCCAGCGGTGTTGGGTAGAGACATCCTATGATAATGCGGCATGTCTCATTAAGAGCCACATCCACTGTTTGATCATGGTGAGATATATTCCACACTGAGAATGCGTATTCAGCAGCAGAGTAGCAAAGCGCAAAGGGCAGATGTCTTAACTGAGTCTGGTTTTGATCCCCAAGTTGTGCCAGTCAGCTTTCGTACGATATTATTTCTAGCACCCACTTTTTGCTTGATATTCAAGCAGTGCTTCTTGTAAGTCAGAGCACGGTCCAGAGTGACTCCCAGGTATTTGGGTGCGCTGCAATGCTTCAGTGGGATTCCTTCCCAGGTAATCCTCAGAGCTTGAGATGCTTGTCTGTTCTTAAGGTGAAAAGCACACGTCTGCATTTTAGATGGATAAAGGATCAGCTGGTTTCCCCTGTAATAGGCAGTAAGAGCACCTCAAGCTTCAGAAGGTTTCTATTCAACCATTTCAAAGCTCGCTGCTTGAACGATGATGGTACGATCGTCAGCATAGATGAAACTCTCTGTCCCTTCTGGCAGTGGCTGGTCATCTGTGTCAATGTTAAATATTTTTTTAATTAATCATTTTTATCAGTGCACAATAACCATACATAACCACAACATTAAACACATTTACCAAAAATAACCACAACAACGAGAAAGAAAAAAACAAACAAAATTAAATAAATAGATGAGTAAATAAAATATTGAACAAATACGAATAGACAGATGATGCTGATTCCTTATACAGTGAAGATAAGTATAACCTGGTTGAGTAAAAGTTAGGGCTATGGGAGTGATGATGGGAGGTCTTTACCTACTTTCCTATATATCCGATTGTTCCTCCTCTCTTATTGTATTTTGGAAAAAAAACCAATAAAATGATTAAATAGAAAAAAAGAGGTGGGAGGTTTGATAATGAGAGCAACAATGGGAACAGAGGGAGGGGAGAAAAAGAAAAAAAAGGGGGGGGGAGAAAAAAAAAGAAACGAGAGCATATATAGAAAGAAAGAAAAAAAGAAAGAAAGGGAAAGGAGAGAAAATGAAAAATATGTAAGGAAGCAGCTACCCCACAATCACATTTCAACAGAAAGGAAGAGACCTTGAAAATGAACAAAATCTGGCTACCAGTATTAAAAAACTCTAAAATTACAACAGCAAAACAGCAGAGAGGAAACAACCAGGCACATCTTAACACCTCTCAACAAAAGATTCCCCAGGCTCAGCCAGGCCTTCAATGCTAATGAAGGTGGTCAGTTGAAACATTCACACCTAGCTCCAGCAGACAAGAGTCTTTGTCCCACCCTGGTCATTCCACAGATATATAAACCCCATTTTCCTAATTCCAACAGACCTCACTACCTCTGAGGATGCTTGCCATAGATGCAGGCGAAACGTCAGGAGAAATGCCTCTAGAACATGGCCATATAGCCCGAAAAAACCCACAAGAACCTAGTCATTCCAGTTGGTTTTGTTTGATATTGATCTGTTCTTGGCAAGTTTTTGTGTTAATAAGTCCATATTCATTATATCTATAGCTTTTTCAATCCATCCGTTCGTTGTTGCCATCTCTTTTGCTTTCCAGAAGCGGGCTATGGTTATTCTTGCCGCGGTAGCTAAATAGAAAAAAAAATCTTGTCTTTGTTTCTGTCCAGTTGAAAGTCTGTAATTCCCAACAGAAAATATTCTGGTCTAAAATCAAATTTTATCTGTAAGATTTCTTTCATCCTCTTTGTACCAAATTTCGTACCAAATTTTTTTATGACCTTACACTCCCACCACATATGAATGAAGTTGCCCATGTTTTTCTCCCACTTCCAACATTTTTTACTGATTTTTCCTTTACTATATTTGTCAATGTTAAATATTTATGGAGCAAGCACACTCCTCTGAGGCAGGTTGTTCTTCTGTCTTCTTCATCTGCTTCTCTGACCCTGGAACTCAACAAAAAAGCTCCTGTTTTGTAGCAGATTTCCTATGAAGCAGGTTAGGTGGGAGTCCTTTGTGATATTATACACTTTTCTCAGGAGAAGGTGATGATTGAAAGTATCACAGGCTGCTGACAGCTCTATGAAGACAGCTCCTGTAATCTGCTGCCTTTCAAAACCATCTTCTATGTCTTGAGTCAGGTTCAACATTTGTAATGTGCAACTTTTCCCTTTCCTGAAACCAGCTTGCTGTGGAATCATAAATATGTAACACAATGGGTTAAACCCTTGTGCCACCAGGACTGGTGCCTGACAGGCCAGCAGTTGTAGTCCGGGGAGAGCACGTTGAGCCCCCTTTGTCAGCTCCAGCTCCCCATGTGGGGGCATGAAGAAAGCCTCCTACAAGGATGGTAAAGCATCAAACATCCGGGCATCCCCTGGGCAACGTCCTTGCAGAGGGCCAATGTCTCACACCAAGAGTGACTTGCAGTTTCTCAAGTCGCCTCCTGACATGAAAAAAAATACATGGGTCTATTTTTTCTGTAATTATATGCAAAATAAGTCTCTCCAGAAGAATAAGATAAAATAAGAATAATAGATACTCCATAACTTTCCTTTTGGGGACTTTCTTCAGTTTTGATGTATAGACTATCATGATCGGGTCAAGTCAGGTTGGCGTTTAGATTGGATAGTCAGATATTCCTAATAATAAAGGGGTATAGAAAGGGCGGAGAGGTGGGCATTTCTTGGACTCTCCAACAAGATTTACTTTTATTAAATATTCCCCTCTTTCCCCCGCTTTTTGTTGGCTTCTTTTGCCCACCTGCCTCCGTGCCTTTGGGCCTTTTGGCATTGTTCCGGCTTCATTTCTCTTCCAAAAAAAGGGCAAGCGAGGCTGCTTTCTTTGCCCTCTTTTCCCCTGATTTGTCTCCAAAACGGGGTCAATCCATCTCTGCCAAGGCATTCCAGCCATACTTGCGGTCTCCGCAGGACTGGTAGGAATATATATATATATATTACATTGCAACTGCCAACCGGGGAACCCAGCCAAGTACATTTTGGGAACATTCTTGTTGGAGAGACATGAAATGCGATCACTTTCCCTCCTTCTTTTCTGGGTGGGTGGAAGAAAGGGGATACGTCCCCTAATGGGCCTGGCAATGGTTTCTTTTTCTTTTCCCCAAAAGCCATTTAAAAACATTGTCGGCAGGTATGTTTTGATGGGAAGAGCAGAAATTTCGGGTTTTTCTGTTGCAAAAAAGAGTCTGCAAATGCATGGCACTAAAAGGAAAAGAGTGCACATGGTTTCAGTCATAGGTCCTAATTAAGAGGGATGCCCAAGGCCATCCAATCCAGCCCCATTATACTATGACACAATCCGATCCCTCCCAACAGATGGCCATCCAACTCCATTATACCACGATGCAATCTGATCCCTCCTGACAGATGGCCATCCAACTCCATTATATCATGAGACAATCCGGTCTCTCCCGACAGATGGCTATCCAACTCTGTTAAACCATGACACAATCCAATCCCACCCAAAAGATGGTCATCCAATACAACCACCATCAGTTCCTAATGGAGAGGATTTATATGTTTTCAGAGCCCAAATGGAGCAGCTGGGGGACCTGGAGTCCCTGCTCCAAAACCTGTGGAAGTGGAGGCAAGCGAATACGCCGCCGAAAGTGCCCCAAATCCAAGTTACACTGCGTTGGACGTCCCTCGGAGGTGCAGAAATGTCCCCAGGCACCTTGCCCAGGTACTGAGCTGTTCAGGGGCATTTAACTATAACAACAACATTCTGTTACTGGTTTGAAAGTGCTAGTTCTTGTTTCATTGCGCATTCCTTACTTTGAAAGTAAAACACTTGTTCTTTTCTGGAAACTTTGTTTTTGTGGCTGCCACAATGTTGAATTAGTTGAGACTTGAGATATTCATCAGCAAGGTCTAACAAAATGTGCTGCAGGATGTTTTTGTAGTTGAATAAACTATTCCCATGTTTTGTTTTGTTTTTATGATAGAACCAATTAGGAATGACATATATAACCCAGGAACAAAATTGTATTATGGGAGCCAATATAGAATGGGCAAACTGTGTGGAGGAGGTCTTGAAGCAGAGGTTGGATGGCTGTCTGTCTGTCTGTCTGTCTGTCTGTCTGTCTGTCTGTCTATCTATCTATCTATCTATCTATCTATCTATCTATCTATCTACCTACCTACCTACCTACCTACCTACCTACCTACCTATCTATCTTAAGGAGAGTTGGACTGAGTGGCCAACTGTCAGGAGGGCCTGGATGGTGTCTTCCTGCATGATTGGGACTGGACTGGATAGCCCTTGGGGTTTCTTCCAGCTCTAGGATTCTGTCTGTCTGTCTGTCTGTCTGTCTGTCTGTCTGTCTGTCTGTCTGTCTATCTATCTATCTATCTATCTATCTATCTATCTATCTATCTATCCATCCATCCATCCATCCATCCATCCATCCATCCATCCATCCATCCATCCATCCATCAAACTATGTGGGGTTGGAATGGATGGCCCTTGGGGTCTCTTCCAACCTTAGGATACTATCTATCTATCTATCTATCTATCTATCTATCTATCTATCTATCTATCTATTCATCTATCATTTATTTATCTATCTATCTCTCCTAAGGGAGGCTGGACTGAATGGCTATCTGTCAGGAGGGCTTAGATGATTTCCTGCCTGGCAGAAGAATGTTGGACTGGATGGCCTTTGGGATTTGTTTCAGATCTAGGATTCTATCTATATATCTATCTATAATTTATTTATCTATTGTAAGGGGACTGGACTAAATGAATGTCTATCGGGGAGGGCTTGGCTGGTGTCTTCCTGCATGAATGGGGTTGGGCTGGGTGGCCTTTGGGTCTCCCACTCAACTCTAGGGTCCTGTGATCACCTACTCTTCCCTTTGATTCTCCATCCCTAGCTTGCAAGCTCACCTGCAAGGTCGGCGTCCCCAATAGGAACTGCACTGGCTGCGTCTGCCGCAACCACACCGTCCTGGGCAGCGTCCACAGTGCTGACGGGATGGCTCTTGCCAACGCCCGGATTTCTCTTACCGGCCAACCTCGATCCGTTTTGACCCGCAGCAACTCCAAGGGCCAGTTTGTCATCCGCGGCCTCTGCGACGTCAACCTCAGCGCAGCCCTCGACCGCTTTGCCCCAGGGAGCGCCCCGACAGTCAGCAACGGCTCTGTGACATCCATTGCAGAGATCATCCTGCAAAGACTTGGTAAGTTCAAGCAGATTTGGGAGATAAGGCTAGCCATTGTTTGATCTGGTATCTCCTTTTTGCAGAAAAACCCTATATGGTGTGCCAGCCTGAATCCAAAGTGAGGACGATGGGACAGGAAGTGAGGTTCTGCTGCAAAGCTCATGGTACCCCCGAACCCCAAAAGTATTTCTGGTAAGCAACATATTTTAGAAGAATTTGAGATTATATTGGTGGCTCTCAAATTGTGGAGCGCCCTGTTAAATAGATCATGCATTGGCTGTAACACTATGGTGCAAAAATGGTGGGAAATACTGTTCTAATGGACATGTGTTCACACACCTGCTGAAAGGTTAAGTAGGTAGTGATGTGTAACTGGAAGGACAGGCCAAAGAAGCGGAGTCATGACCAGGTGACATTCATGAAGAGGGTTGCATCATTCACTTTTGTCTGTTGCTGATGATGAGCAAACAATGGGTATAAAAGAGGGCAGCAAGTGTGTATTCTTTCTCTTGCCATTATTCTCTTGCTTATCCCCATAAATCTGTTGCTTATATCTGTTACTTATGTCGTGAGTATATCTCTGTATATGCCATTGACTGATAGGAGATCAGGGGATCCTGATGTGTGTGTTCAGGCATGGGCAAGCAATAAAAAAAATGTTTCAGAAGTCATTACAAAACTGGAGGGCGCTGGGATTTCATTTCTAATGTATGAAAATTATTGAAAATTTCATTACTGTAATGAGTGTAATGAAATGTCATGACTTTTCATTAAGTAATAGTGCCAATGGGAAAACTTCAGGGGTGCGTTTCTCCCTCATTGTTGGGGCTATTGACATGAAACTTGCTATGAAACTTGCTATGAACACATTTTCCACTGTTAGCCCACCAAGTTTCAGAACGTTTGATTTATCCACTGATTTTTGTGGAATTTTCAAAAGTTTTATAAACCATTTTTTTTAAAAAAAAAACCACAACAGCTGTCTCCTTGACTTTTCTATACACTGACACGAGATCATACCCCCCCCCCAACTTTCAGAAATATTTATACATCTATTGATATTAGGGATTTTTTTGAAGTTTTGACAAAAACTTCTTTTCAAAAGCCACAACAGCTATCTCATTGAATGTCTCTCATATTAACCAATCGAACTTCCATTGAGGGTTTTTTTCCCAGCCCAGCAAAGAGATGTACTTACTAGAAGTATCAGTCCGTCCTCCTCTTTGGCAAGAGGCAGCCTATCTCTTCTTAATTTAAAGAGAAATGGCAGCCTTTTTGGCTTTGTTTCATTTGCTTGTGCTGAACATAAAACTGACTTTGAGAGGCTTCCGAGCTTTACAAAATTGAAATGAAAGGTATTGGGAAAGTTTCAGTTCTTAAGACCACGTGTTGGATATCACATTGTAAGTACAGATTTAATCTGATTTACGACAACTAAGGAAAAAAATGCACAGTCCATGTATGTATATAGCTATAAATAAAGCAACGTATCAAGGCTGAGAGGAGATATGATAGCCATGTATAAATATGTGAGAGGAAGTCACAAGGAGGAGGGAACAAGCTTGTTTTCTGCTTCCCTGGAGACTAGGGCACAGAACAATGGCTTCAAACTACAAGAAAGGAGATTCCATCTGAACATGAGGAAGAATTTCCTGACTGTGAGAGCTGTACAGCAGTGGAACTCTCTGCCCTGGAGTGTGGTGGAGGCTCCTTCTTTGGAAGCTTTTAAACAGAGGCTGGATGGCCATCTGTCAGGAGTGCTTTGAATGCAATATCCCTGCTTCTTGGCAGGGGGTTGGACTGGATGGCCCATGAGGTCTCTTCCAACTCTATGATTCTATGATTCTAAGATTAAAAACCTCCACTCTGAGTTTGGATGAAAATGGAGTCAAGGAATTTTCTTTAACAGAGAGCAGCACAAGGTCAGATGATGCAGTAAAACACTGCTGACAACTGATAAAGACTTTGTTATGCATAGGTTTATTTTCATAGCTTGTCTCTGAGACAATCAGTCCGGTGCGCAGCAAATTTAGGGAATGGTTGGAAGGAGAAAACTATAAACCACGCACCTATTGTGCTTCGACATGCCCAACCACTCGAGCATTGATTGGCAGCTCTTTCCACCAATGGGCAGACAGTGTTTTGGTCTGGGTCATCATTTACACTTTTAAAAATGGGGAGATTGCTTTTCAAATGATAAAATAAAAAGGAAAGTAGAACAGAACTGGTTTATCCAACTTTATTCCATTTTTTCTCCAGGTATCACAACGGGACGCTGCTGGACCGCCAGGCCACCAAGTACAATGACAGCTTGGTGCTGTATGACCTGAAGCCACACCAAGCGGGATCGTATCACTGCAAAGCCAGCAATGAACACGGATCTATCAAATCATCTGTCGCTCACTTGACGGTGATCAGTAAGTCTGGCCTGCCCATATCTTCAATTACGATACACAGAACTGGATAATGTATTATTCCAGGTCAGCTCAGCTCAAAGCAGAATAGAGTGGGACTACGACTTCCCTTGATCTCAGCACTAAACTCCTATTAATGCAGCCTTTTTAGCTGCATCCCACTGTTGGCTCATGTTTGGCTTGTGGTCTACTAAGACTCCTAGATTCTTTTCATAGCCTTTGCTTTGTTTCCTAAAATTTTGGAGGGGGCCCTGTTTTGTTCTGTAATCCAACTCTCTGAAGCATTGTAATTGTTTCATCCAGATTTGATGCATCAGTGGCAGTGGGGAAATTTCCAGGCTCATTTCGCCATCATTTGTAGGGCTATCGGGATGAAACTTGGCACACTTGTAGGCAATATTTATGACTTTAAGCCTGCCAAGTTTCAGAACGTTTCAGGCATCCACTGATTTTTTAGGAATATTTCTTTTACAAATATTTTTTAAAACCCTACACAAGTTATCTCCTTGAATTTCTGCACAATGAGACAACATAAGCAGGGCATCAATCCTGCAATGTTTCAGAAAGATTTGTTCAACTATTGGTTTTTAGGAATTTAAAAAATAATTGCAAATAAAAATTGGTTTTTAAAAAGCTACAGTTTGAAATGCCCCAAAACAACAAACTTTACTAATCTCTCTAAAATGTTTTGTTTCACAATGCTTTGGAGGGTGTCCCATTCCGATTAGTAATTTGGAGACTTGTATTAACAAATCATATAAATCTTCAAATTATGAAACGGACCTCCAAAGCTTTGCACAGCCCTAATGACCAGGATATCGTTGGACCAGGATAGAATCCACACTGTGTCCACCATATGAGAGTAGCTTGCATAGTTTTCCATCCATCTATATCATTTCAGAGGGTCTACCATTTAAGTGATCATCTGTCTTGTCTCCACAGATCCAGAAGTGCCAACCTGTATATCGCAGCCAGAGGAATATCTCATCAGGCTTCCGGACGAGTGTTTTCAAGAAGAAACAAGTTCTTACTTCTACAACGTAGGCCACTGCCCAAATACCCGTTGTGCAGGGCACCTAGCAGAGATGCTGGAGTGTCGTGACAAAGACGAACACTGCTGTGGACCACAGCGAATGGAGGTGCGCGAAATCCCTTGTGCCAGCTACATTTTGCCCATCAAGGTGGTCGCTGAGTGCGGGTGCACATCCTGCACTCAACCCAAGGTCCTTGTCCGGGGCAAAGTTTCAGCAGTAGATGATGGAGAACCCTTGCGATTTGGGGAGATCTACCTAGGCATGGAGAAGATTGGCTTCACGGGCTACAAAGGGACCTTCACCATCGAGGTCCCTCCTGACACTCAGAGGCTTGTGGTCAAGTTTGTGGACCCAGCAAAGAAGTTTGTGGACACAGTGAAGGTCTTCCCTTTTGACCAACGTGGTGGGGCCGTATACCAAGAAGTCAAACTCTTAAGGAGGAAGAAACCTGTTGACATAGAAGCCATGGAGACCAATGTCATCACGCTGGGTGAAGTGGAGGATGAAGACCCAGTTGGGGAGGTCGTCATCCCACCGAGCTCTTTCTTCAGAGCCAACGGGGAAGCCTACAATGGGACCGTCAAGGCCAGCGTGACCTTTGTGGACCCTCGGGACATGGCCACCGTGAGTGCGGCCTCCACTGACTTGAACTTCATCAATGCCGAAGGAGATCTCCTCCCTCTCCGGACGTATGGCATGTTTTCCATGGACTTCTGGGAAGAGGAGAGCCACCAGAGCTTGGAGACAGGCAAAGTGCAGGTCAGGATGGATGCCGAGCTCATCAAGATGCCCGACCATCTCCGGAAAATGAAGCTGTGGTCCCTCAACCCAGTGACAGGCTTGTGGGAGGAGGAATCGTCCTTCCGGCTGGCAAACGGCAACCGCCGTAAGCGTGAAGAGCGAGCCTTCCTGGTTGGCAACCTGGAGATCAGGGAGCGGCGGCTGTTCAACCTTGACGTCCCAGAGAACCGCCGTTGCTTTGTCAAAGTCCGTGCCTATATCAGTGAAAAGTTCAACCCCATGGACCAGCTGGAGGGAGTCGTTGTCACCCTGATCAACCTGGAGCCGAGACCCGGTTATCCAGCCAACCCGCAGGCCTGGGGTCGTTTCGACAGTGTGGTGACCGGTCCCAACGGGGCGTGTTTGCCCGCCTTTTGTGATGGACAGCGAGCTGATGCTTACACTGCTTACGTAACGGCCACCATGGGAGGCGAGGAGCTCGAGGCCGCCCCATCGAGCCCGAGACGCGACCCACTTACTGTGGGTGTCTCACAGCCTTACCTCAACAAGCTTGGTTACCAGCGAAGCGACCACACAGACCCGGCCCTTAAGAAGACAGCCTTCAAGATCAACCTTGCCAAACCTAATCCGAACAACCTCGACGAAACCAACGGGCCCATTTACCCCTACCGGAGCCTGAAGGACTGTGAGTCTGCACCAGTTACGGCCAACCATTTCCGCTTCTCCCGTGTGGAAGTTGATAAGTACGAGTACAATGTGGTGCCATTCAAGGAGAGTGACTTGACCACCTGGACAGGGGACTACCTCTCATGGTGGCCCAACCCACAGGAATTCCGGGCCTGCTACATCAAAGTGAAGATCAACGGGCCGCAGGAATACATGGTGAGGTCACGGAATGTGGGTGGCACGCACCCGCAGACCAGGGGGCAACTCTACGGCCTCCGAGACTCCCGGAGTGTGCGGGACATCGAAACGTATAACAGTTCCGCAGCATGTGTGGAGTTCAAATGCAGTGGGATGCTATTTGACCAAGAACTGGTAGACCGGACGTTGGTCTCCATCATCCCGCAGGGAAGTTGCCGCCGTACAGCAGTCAACAGCTACCTGAGAGAGTACCTGGGCCGGCACCCGCCGGCAGTGGAGAACAATGACACGGCAGCCTTTGCCATGTTGGCCCCATTAGACCCACTTGGGCACAACTACGGGATCTACACGGTGACGGACCAGAACCCGCGGCTGGCCAAGGAGATCGCCATTGGGCGGTGTTTCGACGGCACCTCAGATGGCTACTCACGGGAGATGCGGTCCCTCAAGGGCACGGCCCTGACTTTTACCTGTCAGGAGAAGCCAGTGGGGCGGAAGAGCTTCTTCCAACGACTCCTTGAGTCCCCTTCCCAAGCGCTGACAGAGATCCAGCGAGAAATGAGCGCCAACGAGCAGCGCCGCGGTCCATCCCGCGCTGTGCCTTACCCAGCCAGGTTAAGGACTGTGGTTCACAAACAAACTGGGCAAAACCCTGGGCCCCAAAGGCAGGCATAACCAGGATTGTTGGGCTGTCTTTGTGCCACCTTGCCTACTCCTTGAGTACACTGGTAGGCAAATATCTCACCTTGGCAAATTTCATCCCTTTCCCATCCAGGACAACCACTTTACAGATGCGGACTGGACTCTAATTTCAGAGGAACACTTGGGGACGGACGGACCCTGAAATGCCAACATATTATACCTTAAAAGTTCCTAGCTTCACCTCGCTTCCCTGCCCCCCCCCCCCAAAAAAATAAACCTTTCCAAAACTTGATGGCAATAGCCTTTATTGCACCGAACTCCGAAAATATTTCCGAGTTTCTCATTCCCTCTCTGAGTTAGTGAGCGTTGGTGATGTAGGGGATGCCTCCATGATAATATTTGTTTCCGGCTCTTTAATACAATCCAGTTTTAAGTGTCAGGGGTTCCATGATTGGATTTGTAATTCATGAAGGCACTAGAGCTCTCTGGCCAAGGGAATCTAAACACCCTTCACTAAACTATGAAATGGGTGCATTTTGGCCCTGATGGAATTACCCAGATCTGTATCCCATCTGCTGTACTATTGATAAGGATTTCTAGTATTCAGGTTCCAAATAGTCACTAAAGACAGGAGATCCCTGTTTAGTGAGCTTATTTGATAAGATAAATGCCCAGTTAGCCATACAAACAAAGGAAGTGCCACACCTACACCTTGCTCTAGCTTCAGTTTATATAGACCATTTAATTTTCGTTTCCTGGAGGAATCTTTTCCCTCTCTCTGAGCATGTGCCATAAAATCATCATGTAATCCTCATTGCTCGAGCATGGTGTTAAAAAATCATTACGTCCATGATAGCTAATCTGCCTCCTTGTTTTTCCCATTTGCCTATGAGAAGATTTATGGTGTTGCTGTGTCGACCCTCTTACTCCCCAACTACATCGCCCTGCGCTGAACTTTGCAAAATAAATCTTTAAATCTGATATTTTGAAGTTCTATGCTGGGTCAAGCCATCCTTACGTGTTTCTGTTACAAGCTAACTTTTGGAGAGGTGCAAAACAATGATCAATATATCAATGCATTATGAGTGAGCTATTAGGCAATTATCAATACATATTGTTGTGAAGCAAATCAAAAGCCGTGATTAATATATATTATGCAATTTGTGTTAAGTAATAAGTACACTTGTTATTTATTGTGTCAGAACGAATTGAAAATACCATTATAATGTATAAAAAACACAAACAAAGTTAAAACCTTGGCATTATGCTAAATTTCCTTTGACTAGTAGCTGGCCATTTGGAGTGAGTCTGGTGTTGCTATGAGAAGGTCCTCCATTGTGCATGTGGCAGGGCTCAGACTGCATTGTAGTAGATGGTCTGTGGTTTGCTCTTCTTCACACTTGCATGGCACAGACTCCACTTTGTGGCTCCATTTCTTAAGATTGGCTCTGCATCTCGTGGTAGTGCCAGAGCGCAGTCTGTTCAGTGCCTTCCAACGCACCCAGTCTTCTGTGTGCCCAGGGGAAGTTTCTCATTTGGTATCAGCCATGGATTAAGGTTCCGGGTTTTAGCCTGCCACTTTTGGACTCTCGCTTGCTGAGGTGTTCCTGCAAGTATCTCTGTAGATCTTAGGAAGCTGTTTCTTGATTTAAGGCATTATCTTGCTGGTTGATATTTGAAGAGAGGATGGGCTGGAGATGTCCATGCCTTGGTCCTTTCACTACAGGCTGCTACTTCCCGGCCGATATCAGGTAATGTGATATTGGCTAAACAGTATAATGTCTCCAGCGGTGTAGGGTGTAGACATCCTGTGATAATGCGGCATGCTTCATTAAGAGCCACATCCCCTGTATTCCACACTGGGCATGCGTATTCAGCAGAAGAGAAGTAAAGCGCAAGGACAGATGTCTTCACTGTGTTTGGTTGTGATCCCCAGGTTGTGCCGGTCAGCTTTTATATGATGTCATTTCTAGCACCCACTTTTTGCTTGATATTCAAGCAGTGCTTCTTGTGAGTCAGAGCACAGTCCAGAGTGACTCCCTGGTATTTGGGTGTGCTGCAATGCTCAGTGAGATTCCTTCCCAAGTAATCCTCAGAGTTCGAGATGCTTGTCTGTCCTTAAAGTGAAAAGCACACATCTGCTTTTTAGATGGATTAGGGATCAGCTGGTTTCCCCTGTAATAGGCAGTAAGAGCACCTCAAGCTTCAGAAAGCTTCTGTTCAACCATTTCAAAGTTCCTTGCTTGAGCGGTGATGGCATGATCATCAGCATAGATGAAACTCTGTGTCCCTTCTGGCAGTGGCTGGTCATTTGTGACAATGTTAAACACTGATTGAGCAAGCATGCTCCCCTGAGTTAGGCCATTCTTCTGTTCACCAGAAGTGACTTGCAGTACATTTGTTAAGCAGTAATCATTAACAACTAAGACAGAACTCAAATATTCCAACATATGTCTCTTCATCACTTAAAAAAAATCCCAAAAATTAGTAGGTGCATGAAGATTTCTGAAACTTGGAGGGAATGATCCCCTCTTATCTGGTATCATTGTATAGAAAATTCAAGGAGATAGCTCTTGCAGGTTTTTTTTAAAAATGCTGTTTGTAAAAACTTTGGAAATTCCCTAAAAATTTGCAAATGAGTGAAACATTTTGAAACTTGAAGGGATAACAGTGGTAAATGTGTTCTATAATCATACCAAGTTTCATGCCAATAGCTCTAACAATGAGGGAGGAAGCAGCCCCGGAAATTTTCCCCTTGGTGCAATTACTTAACGAAAAGTAGCAAAAAAGTAGTTAACTCATTATAGTTACTATAATGGCCCCGTGCAATTTTGGAAACATTTTAGAAATTGTTTTTCCCCAGCCCCTAATTTTGTAATGAGTATTGAAATATTTTTGTTATTAATCACATTAATAGTGGGTACATTTTGGGGCATTTAAGGATTCGTCCAAATAGAGCCAGAGACCAAATACCTTTTGGGAACACTGAGTTAACGGCAGACGGCGGGGAAGTCAGTTTTTGTAATGGGAATGAATGCAAAACATTTTCCTCCAGCCTGGCTTTCTCATTATCCTCTTCTTTGGGCCCCGAAAAGAGGGCAGATCAACAGTCCTACAGAGCCAAACCACAGGCTTCGGGTTCGAGGATCGCCAGCAAAAACCAAAGAAGGTGAGCATTAGCAACCATTATTTTGGAGCCTTGCTCAAATTTCCCCTCGGAGGGAATTGATCTGCATAGACCATTATCCTCGTCGGAAAACGTAACCCCAAATCCACCGAAATAGGCCCAATTCAACATAGCAAGGCTCTGAAGCTGTCATAAGCTGAGCTCTTCATCTTTGGAGGATTATTATTATTATTATACAAATTATATCATTATTACAATGTTATTATTGCAATATCATTATTACAACAATATTATAACATTCTTATTGCAATATTATTATTGCTGTGGTATTCTTATTACAATATTATTAGTAGTATTATTAAATCATTGTTGTTATTATTATTAACCACTTCTTGTCCCTTTAACAGAGACTTCAAAGCGGCAAACACAATACAATAAAAACACAATACAAAACCAAAAGGCTATGAATATTAGAATAAAACTATTTTAAAAACAACCTATTAAAATCCCATGGGCTTTCAGTGATCGATACTGCAATATTCACATTGGCATTTTGAGACACCAAAGGTGTGGTTCTCTATTAAAAAGCATGGGATTTTTAAAAAAGAGTCCCAGGATTCCATCACATGCATCCATGGTAATTAAAGTGGTATGAAACTGCATTTGCTCAACAGTGCAGAAGCAGATCTGTAAGACTTTGGCATCCAGAGGATTGAACAAAACGAACACAAGAGCAGCTCCGAAAGTCAGACAAACCAGATGCCAAAATCTCTCTCTCTCTCTACATAATAAAAGAACATGTGTATGTGGCGGAGGTGTCCACTTACAGCCTCCTGCCTCCACAAACAGCTATAACCCAGTGCTGAAGAGCCACCAAAAGCACTCCCTCCAAGGACATTTCAGGTTACAGTGGGCACTATGAACATGTCTCTCAACCCCTGCCAATGTCCTCCCCAAACACCATATTTCCCGCCACACAAGTGAAGGCTTTCATTCAAGGACAGATGTTCCATTTGTCCTCCAGAATGGACACCCCAGGGTTCCTTACTCTTTCCATTGCTTTGGAATTTGCATGGCCCTGCCCACTGCTTCCCCCTTAACCCTTTCCTACCCTTTCCTATGGCACACAGCAAACAGGAATTGATCAACAACTGAACAAAAGGTTTGGAAAGAATTCACCTACATCCAGAGAGCACTGTGAACCCAATCAACAATGGATCTGGACCACACTTGCCACGGATGATGGGATCTGCAGTACTTTCACTCACTTCCTGAGACCACTGCAACCCCCACAAATGACGGACCTGGACCAAACTTTCCACACAGACCTCACATGACATACTTTATGTTTTGATGAGTCTTGGGAGAGAATGGATCAGGGACAATTGGAATTGCAGTATCTTCGCTTGTTTCCAGAAACCACAGCGACCCGAATGAAGCACCTGGACAAAAATTGACACACAGACTCCCTATGACGCACTTTCTGTCCTGGTGAGGGTTGGAGAAGGATGGACCACAGACGATGGGATTTGCAGTACCTTCACCAACTTCCACAGACCACTGTGACCCCCTTGAATCACGGGCCTGGACCAAACTTGGGACATAAAACCCCCATGGCCAACAGAACATACCGGAGAGGTTTGCATCCAGAACACTCTGAACCCTGTCAATGACAGATCTGAACCAAACTTCGAACACAGAACCCTGGTGACCAACAGAACATACTGGAGGTGCTTGTGGGGGGACTGACCAGAGGCAGCCCTAGGTAATTTTCAACGGTAAGCAAACAGTATTCCCCCCCCCCCCAAAAAAAAAAACAACCAATTACTGATTTATACTTTTTGTTCGTCGTGGGAGTTCTGTGTGCCATATTTGGTTCAATTCCATCATTGGTGGAGTTCAGGATGCTCTTTGATTGTAGGTGAACTATACATCCCAGTAACTACAACTCGCATATGTCAAGGTCTATTTTCCCCCAAGAGCGCCCCTGGGCAAAATCAATTATACTGCAAATGCTTACTTTGCATAATGGGTTGAGCCGCCGCTGGGACCGACCCACCCATGTGGGAGTTGTAGTTCACCCTGCACCCAGAGAGTGTTCCAAAGGCCCCAATGGCAGATCTGTAACACATGTGGAATACGGAACCCTGATGGCCAACAGAACATACTGAAGGAGTTGGGGGGTGGGAATGACCTACCCACATGGGAGTTTATTTATTTATTATTTATTTATTTATTATTTAAACTTATATGCCGCCACTCCCCTGGGGCTCGGAGCGGCTTACAAGAATAGCTAAAATCTAACAAAATTTAAAAGCAATTTAAAACAATTTAAAAACAACAATATCAAACATTAAAAGCCTGTCGAAACAGGTATGTCTTACATGCCCTGCGGAAAGCTGGTAAGTCCCGCAAGGCACGGACTTCAGGTGGCAGAGTATTCCAGAGTGATGGTGCCACTGCTGTGAAGGCTCTGCGTCTGGTTGCTGTTAGACGCAAGGTCTTGACACTGGGGACTTCCAATAGATCTTGGTCCTCAGAACGCAGGGATCTCTGGGGTTGGTAGGGGGTGAGGCGGTCCCTCAGGTACATCGGCCCCAGACCATGCAAGGCCTTAAAGGTGAGTACCATCACTTTGAAAGTGATCCGGTGCTCAATTGGTAACCAATGCAGCTGTAGTAAGATTGGTGTTATGTGGCATCTCATCAGAATTCCCGCAAGAAGCCGAGCAGCTGCATTTTGTACCAACTTGAGCTTCCGGATCACCGACAGAGGAAGGCCAATGTAGAGGGCGTTACAGTAGTCCAGTCTTGAGATGACCGTGGCCTGGATCACCGTAGCTAGGTCGTCCCTGGACAGGGAGGGGGCCAGCCGTCTAGCCTGCCGCAGATGAAAAAAGGCGGTTCTGCTCACGGCGGAGACCTGGGCCTCCATCGTCAGCAGAGGGTCCAAAAGGACTCCCAGACTCTTTACCAATGATGACGGGCGTAACGCCTCGCCATCCAGGGTAGGCAGCTGGATGTCCCCACTGCCCGGTCGACCCAGCCATAGGATCTCCGTCTTTGCTGGATTCACCCTCAACCTGCTGGCACGCAACCATGATGGAAACAATCGGGTACAGAGTCCGGTCGGCCTTCCATCTTCAGCACCATCTGAAGTTCACCTTGCATCCAAAGCACTCTGAACCCCATCAATAACAGATCTGGAACAAACTTGGAACACAGACCCAACATGCCTAATTGTGAATACATGCAGAGTTTGGGGGTGATTGGCCTGGGAATCTGGGAGTTGTAGCTCACCTGGATCCAAGGAAACTGGGACCCCCACTGACAATGGACTAGAACCACACCTGGCACAGAGAAGCCCCATGACCAAGCGAACATATTGCAGGGGTTTGTGGGAATTGAGCTTAATTGTGGGAATCGTAGTTCACCTGCATCCAGAGCACTGAGCCCAGCCAACTTCAAATCTGGACCGAACTTGGCACACAGACCCAACATAGCCAACTGTGTATACAGGCCTGGTTCGGGGAGGATTGACCCACAATTCTGGGAATTGTAGTTCACCCACATCGTTATGTATTTTCTAATGGGAGCAGTCATAAAAAACGAAATCAAAGACTAGCTTTTTTTCTAATAAATAGTATTTGTAATTAACTAAATGATATGACCTTTCACCCCAAAACAAACAATGTTTTTTCCCAAATAACCTGGGCATCGCCCAAGCTAGTACACAATAGAATCATAGAATCAAAGAGTTGGAAGAGACCTCATGGGCCATCCAGTCCAACCCCCTGCCAAGAAGCAAGAATATTGCATTCAAATCACCCCTGACAGATGGCCATCCAGCCTCTGTTTAAAAGCATATAAAATATATGCTTTTAAAAGCAATATAAAAATACTACATAACATTACCCCCTGGATCTTGCCTATTTAAATGCCAATTGCATGAAACACACTATGATAAAAGTCCAGCCATTGCATTGAATTCGACAGTGCAGGCCCAGGCTAACAGCTGAGATCAGGTAGCTGTCTATCGCACTGCCTGAAATATAAAAAAGCCCCAATTTTGCCACACACTTCGAGCTAAATAAATATCTGAAAGAAGAGGAGTGTGGCGAAGCCGTTGGTGTGCGGGACGGCGACGGGGTGGAGGACTAAAGAGGGTAATTTCGATCAGGCGCGGCTGAGGGCAGCCTTAAAACGCGACGCGGGTAGAGAAGGACCCTTGGCGCCGTTTTGAGAAACCCGGAAGCAGTGTCGGTAGAGACGCTATCATGGCGTCGCGGGAGCGGAGGAGGAGAAGTCGGTCTGGCTCCGAGGCCAGGGAGGGCCGGCACCGGAAGGGGAGAGAGCAGGAAGCAGGGGAGAGGTAGGCACCCACTACTCATATATATGTATAGGTATATGTATTAATATTATGTGTACACCACCTGCTGTTAGGAATTGTGGAAGTTGAAATCCAAAATACCTGGAGGGCCCAAGTTGGCCCATGCCTGAGATCTATCTATCTATCTATCTATCTATCTATCTAAGTGCTCTGTGCATAATGAGTACCTTAAAAACAAAAGAACCAATGAAAGAAATCACACCAAATTTGGCAACAAAATATCTCACAACACAAGGAGTGACCATCACTCAAAAAATTTGATTTTGTCATTTGGGAGTTGTAGTTGCTGGGATTTATAGTTCACCTACAATCAAAGAGCATTCTGAACTCCACCAATGATGGAATTGAACCAAACTTGGCACACAGAACTCCCGTGACCAACAGAAAACACTAAAGGGTTTGGTGGGCATTGACCTTGAGTTTGGGAGTTGTAGTTCACATACATCTAGAGAGCACTGTGGACTCAAACAATGATGGATCTGGACCAAACTTGGCACAAATACTCCATATGCCCAAATATAAACACAGATGGAGTTTGGGGCAAAATAGACCTTGACATTTGTAGTCACTGGGATTCACAGTTCACCTACAATCAAAGAGCATTCTGAACCCACGAACGACAGAATCGGGGCAAACTTCCCACACAGAACCCCCATGACCAACAGAAAATACTTAAGGCCATCCAATCCAACTCCCTTCATCAGGGCAAGAAAACGTAATCAAAGCCCTCCTGACAAAGAGCCATCCAGCCATAGATAGATAGATAGATATGATTCACACAGAGAGAGATATAGTATCATAGATTTGAAAGGGACCCTTAAAGGACAATGATATGTTGCATGTTCCATGGTGGGCAAACCAGACACTCTCCACATCAACACTGACAAAGAAACAGCAAGAAATACTGTTTACCCACACGCATAAAGAAATTACATATATTAGAAACCAACACTTTCTCATTACTTTATTTTCCAGATCAACAGACTGGGCCACAGCAATGCGTGGCAGGGGACAGCTAGTATATATACGAAGTGTAATATATGTATTTATATGTGTGTGTGTGTGTGTGTATATATATATATACACACATAATATTCATATATTTATATCCACACATAATGTTTTATATATATATATAGAAAGAGAGAGAGGCACGCAGTCATATACACATAATATTCTTTCATATATATATATATATATATATATATATTGCATATACAGTGGGGGAAAAGTATTTAGTCAGATACCAATTGTACAAGTTCTCCCACTTAAAAAGATGAGAGGCCTGTAATTGACATCATAGGTAGACCTCAACTATGAGAGACAACATGAGAAAACACATCCAGAAAATCACATTGTCTGATTTTTAACTAATTTATTTGCAAATTATGGAGGAAAATAAGTATTTGGTCCATAACAAAAGTTCATCTCAATACAGTGGGTTAAACCCCTGTGCCAGCAGGACTGAAGACCATAGGTCACAGGTTTGAATCAGGGGAGAGCGCGGATGAGCTCCCTCTGTCAGCTCCGGCTCCCCATGCGGGGACATGAGAGAAGCCTCCCACAAAGGATGGTAAAACATCAAAACATCCTGGCATCCCCTGGGCAACGTCCTTGCAGACGCAATTCTCTCACACCAGAAGTGACTTACAGTTTCTCAAATCACTCCTGACACGGGGGGAAAAATCTCAATACTTTGTTATATATCCTTTATTGGCAATGACAGAGGTCAAACCTTTTTTGTAAGTCCTCACAAGGTTGGCACACACTGTTGCTGGTCTGTTGGCCCATTCCTCCATGCAGATCTCCTCAAGAGCAGTGATGTTTTGGGGCTGTCGCTGGGCAACACGGACTTTCAACTCCCTCCAAAGGTTTTCTATAGGGTTGAGATCTGGAGACTGGCTAGGCCACTCCAGGACCTTGAAATGCTTCTTATGAATCCACTCCTTCGTTGCCCTGGAGGTGTGCTTGGGATCATTGACATGCTGAAAGACCCAGCCACGTTTCATCTTCAATGCCCTTGCTGATGGAAGGAGGTTTGCACTCCAAATCTCACGATACATGGCCCCATTCATTCTTTCATGTAAACGGATCAGTCGCCCTGGTCCCTTTGCAGAGAAACAGCCCCAAAGCATGATGTTGTCACCCCCATGCTTCACAGTACGTGTGGGGTTCTTTGGATGCAACTCAGCATTCTTCCTCCTCCAAACACAACAAAGAGTTGTGCTTCTGTCAAACAGTTCCACTTTGGTTTCATCTGACAATATGACATTCTCCCAATACTCTTCTGGGTCATCCAAATGCTCTCTAGCAAACTTCAGTTGGTCCCGGACATGTACTGGCTTAAGCAGGGGGACACGTCTGTCACTGCAGGATCTGAGTCCCTGGTGGCGTAGTGTGTTACTGATGGTAGCCTTTGTTACGTTGGTCCCAGCTCTCTGCAGGTGATTCACTAGGTTCCCTCGTGTGGTTCTGGGATTTTTGCTCACCATTCTTGTGATCATTTTGACCCCATGGGGTGAGATCTTGCGTGGAGCCCCAGATCGAAGGAGATTATCAGTGATCTTGTTTCTCTTCCATTTTCTAATTATTGCTCCCACAGTTGATTCCTTCACACCAAGCTGCTTGCCTATTTCAGATTCAAACTTCCCAGTCTCGTGCAGGGCGACAATTTTGTTTCTGGTGTCCTTTGACAGTTCTTTGGCCGTCACCATAGTGGAGTTTGGAGTGTGACTGCTTGAGGTTGTGGACAGGTGTCTTTTATACTGATAACAAGTTCAAATAGGTGCCATTACTACAGGTAATGAGTGGAGGACAGAGGAGCATGTCTGTGAGACCCAGAAATCTTGCTTGTTTGTAGGTGACCAAATATTTATTTTCCACCATAATCTATATAAATAAAAATGTAATGTTCGTTTGTGGGATTAACAGAACTCAAACACCACTGGACGAATCGACACTAAATTTGGCCACAAGACACCTAACAACCCAATGTATGTCCTTCACTAAAAAATGATTTTGTCATTTGGGAGTTGTAGTTGCTAGGATTTATAGTTCACCTACAATCAAAGACCATTCTGAACCCCACCAACGATGGAATTGAACCAAACTTGGCACACAGTTCTCCCATGACCAACAGAAAATACTGGAAGGGCTTGGTGGGCAGTGTCCTTTAGTTTTGGAGTTGTAGTTCACCTACATCCAGAGAGCACTGTGGACTCAAACAATGATGGATCTGGACCAAACTCTACAAGAATACTCAATATGCCCAAATGTGAACACTGGTGGAGTTTGGGGAAAATAGAATCTTGACATTGGGGAGTTGTAGTTGCTGGGATTTATAGTTCACCTACAATCACAGAGCATTCTGAACCCCACCAACAATGAAATGATGATAGGTGAACTATAAATCCCAGCAACTACAACTCCCAAATGACAAAATCATAATTTTTGAGTGATGGTCACTCCTTGTGTAGTGAGACGTTTTGTTGCCAAATTTGGTGTGATTTTGTTCATTGGTTCTTTTGTTTTTAAGGTACTCATTATGCACAGAGCATTTATATATATATATATATATATATATATATATATATATATATAGATGTATGTATATGTATATATGAATATATGTGTACGTATATTATACACATAATATTCATAGATATACACAATATATTCATGTATATACACACACATAATAATCATATATATATACACGCACACATATAATATAGGTATACTTAATATGTGTATTTTATATATATATATAGAGAGAGAGAGAGGGAGGGAGGGAAGGGCAAAAGTTTTCCCTGACATTAACCAACCTTTTGGTTAGCAAGTTCTGCAGCTCAGTGGTTTACCCCGCAGTGCCACCAGGAGGTCCTTTTCATATATATATATATGCACATAATATACACATATAAATACATAATATTATATATATATATATATATACACACACACACACACACACACAAAGTAATTATATATACACACACACATAGTATTCATATATATATATTAATATTATGTGTGTAAATATATCTATAGTGTGTGTATATATATATATGAATATTATGTGTAATATATATAATCATATTCATATATATATATACACACACACACACAGAAGGTTGAAGGCCGTGTGCGACTATAACTCCCAGCATTCCTTGAAAGTGAAGGTGGCGTAATTTTGCATTTGTTCTGCAGAGTAGATGCATCCTATGCTCACTTGTGTCCTCTGCTTTTGCTTTCTTGGCAGCGAAAGTGGCATCAATCTGTATTTGTTTTGCAGTGTAGTTGCATCTTACGTTCACTTGTGCTGTTCTCTGCTTACAGCTCGGAGGAAGAGCGCCGAAAATGGAGGAAGAAGAAAGAAAAGAGACGGGAAGGCCACCATAAGAAGAAGGAGAAGAAGCGCTCCTCGCCTTCACCGAGCCCTGACTCCTCTCCGGAGAAGCGCAGCCGGAGCCACGAAAGGCGGGGGAAGCGGAGCCGCAAGCGTTCACCATCGCCACGTTCCTCAGTCTCTTCGGTATCGTCACCCTCGCCGTCCCGCTCGCAAAGTGACCTGGGCGAGACACTGAGCCTCCAGGAGCGGCTGAAGCTGAAGGAGGAAAAGAAGCAGCAGAAGGAGATGATGAAGGCCTTGGAGACCCCTGAGGAGAAGCGGGCCCGGCGTCTGGCTAAGAAGGAGGCCAAGGAGCGAAAGAAGCGGGAGAAGATGGGCTGGGGGGAAGAGTACATGGGCTACACCAACACCGACAACCCCTTCGGGGACAACAACCTCCTAGGTGCCTTCATTTGGAGCAAGGTGAGCCCATGCCCGGCCTCCCCGGATGTCCCCGGATAGGGTGGCCATCTGTCTGGAGGGATTGGATTGAGAATGTAGTGGAACTAGATAGCCCTTGAGATCTCTTGTCAGCTCTAGGATTGGGTTGCTTTGAGTTTTCCGGGCTATATGGCCATGTTCCAGTAGCATTATCTCCTGACATTTCACCTGCATCTGTTGGCAGTGAGGCAAGTGAAGTGTGTATATATCTCCCAATCTCCCACCTAGGATATTCCACACACACACATACACAAACTCCACTTGCCTCACTGCCAACAGACTTCTGAAGATGCCGGCCAGAGATGCAGGCGGAGCATCAGGAGAGAAAGCTGCTGGAATATGGCCATACAGCCCGAAAATCTCACAGCAACTCAGTGATTCCGGCCATGAAAGCCTTCAACAACACAGCTCTAGGATTCTGTGATATGAAGCGCTCAGACCATTGATTTCTATGCATCTTTAAAGAGGGTCTGGATTGCCATTTGTCAGGAAGGATCCAATGATTGTCTATAGATCTTGTATATTAAATTTCAGCACCATTAAAACGAACAAAGGCAGGATGAAATAATTCACATTATCATTATTATTTTAGTAGTCATAGTGCATTAGTAGTAGTACCTTATATTATTATTCTTACGGTGTTATATCATAATGAAGGCAGGATATAAATCATAGTCGTCATCAATATAATAGACCTTGCATATTAAATTTCGATACTGTTACAATAAATTTATAAAAACACAACAGTAAAAGCACTACATCAAATAATTGGCCGATGGATCGTCTGTATTACATTGCAACACTATTAAAATAAAGTTAATATGATGTAAAAGTACTATATCGAATCATTGACATATGGACCATGCATATTAAAATTCAATGTCATTAAGATAAATATAGTAAATAAATTCAAAATATATTATTATAATACACATATATATGTAAATATACAAATACAATGTGTGTGTGTGTGTATACATACACACACATACTTGGTAATATTATAAATTATATATTGTGTCTTCATGGCAGAATGGGGTTGGACTGGGTGACCCTTGTGGTCTCTCCCAGCTCTAGAATTCTATTGTTGTTGTTGTTGTTGTTGTTATTGTTATTATTATTATTTGCTGCTGCTGCTCTTCTCTCTTAAAAGAGACTCAAAGCGGCTAACTATGTTAAGAGCAATGCAAGACATAATTTAATGTAATAAAGTGGCATACTATTAATAATATTTTTAAATGCCACTTCTCTCTTAAAAGACACTCTTAACAATGCTAAGAGCAATAGAAGGTTCTCTCATGTCAGCATTTCATTTCAAGCCTGAGACATATTTGATTATAATTATTATTATTACATGCTGATGCTTCTATTTTAAAAGAGAAGCAAAGGAGCTAACAATGCTAAGAACAATACAATGATAAGAACAATACAATACAAGATATTTCATGTATTTGAAACCTATGACATACCAACGCTAAAATAAAATTAAGATATAGGAATATTAGGGTTCCCATAAGGTAAGAGGGTTGCCGTTGTTGTTGTTATGGTTGTTGCAGAACTTGCTAACTGGAAGGTTGGCGGTTTGAATCCTCAGGATGGAGTGAGCTCCCGTTGTTAGCCCCAGCTTCTGCCTATCTAGTAGTCTGAAAATATGCAAATGTGAGTAGATCAATAGGTACCACAGGAAGGTAACGGCGCTCCATACATTCATGCCGGCCACATGACTTCAGAGGTGTCTACGGACAACGCCGGCTCTTCAACTTAGAAATTGAGATGAGCACCACCCCCAGAGTCACGATTAGACTTCATGTCAGGGAGAAACCTTTACTTTCATTGGTTGCTTTTAGGCCCTGGAGAAAAAGGGCATTGGCCACTTGGAGGAGAAGGAGCTGAAGGACCGGAACAAGCGGATCCAAGAGGAGAACCGGCTGGAGCTGCAAAAGGTAAGCAACAAAAGGGTGGAATTGGAAACTGTGCTTTTTGCTATGAATTCTACTGTTGCAGTAGGGCCTTGAAGCCTCTTTTTACCACAAACCATACACTGTCCAGGTAATCAAATGAGTACAAGTTTATTCAAACCATAGTACATAAAAAATAAGCAAATTCAAAAGAGAAGATCAAAGCTCAGAAGGTTATTTCCATGAAAACCGAGAGTCCAAAAATCCATTCAAAGAAAGTCCACAACAGCAATGTTGTGTTTCAAGATTCCCAAAGGCAAGATAACCTGAATCTCAGGCAGGCAAACTAAAAGCAAGAAGAGCTTGAAACTTTAATCCATGAATTCCTAAAACGTAGGCCCCAAGAAACTTAGACCTCTTCACCTGAATGCAGTGTTGATTTCACAAAAGATTGTATCACCATGAACTACTTCTTAAAATAATCCCTCCCATGAGATAATTTTGCCTGCACCTTCCTTCCTGCTTCTTATCTCTAATTCCCTGGGAGAAGCAGTCTGTCTTAAACTGCTGAGCTGCTGAACTTGCTGACTGGAAGGATGGTGGTTAGAACCACGGGTGAGCTCCCGTTGCTCCTGCCAACCTAGCAGTTCAAAAACATGCATATGTGAGTAGATCAAAAGGTACTACTACTTCGACGGGAAGGTAAACGATGCTCCATGCAGTCATGCTGGCCACATGACCTAGGACAGTGGTTCTCAACCTGGGGTCCCCAGATGTTTTTGGCCTTCAACTCCCAGAAATCCTAACAGCTGGTAAACTGGCTGGGATTTCTGGGAGGTGTAGGCCAAAAACATCTGGGGACCCCAGGTTGAGAACCACTGCTTTATCTGAACAACGCAGGCTCTTTGGCTTAGAAATGGAGTTGAGCACCACCCCCCAGAGCTGGAAGGGGAAGCCTTTACCTTTATCTGTGTGTTGGTTGTTTCTAGGCATTGAATGTTTGCCTTGTGTTTGTGTATACTGAAATGCACCCTGAGACCCTTTGGGGAGATAGGACAGAATACAAATAAAGTATTATTGTTGTTGTTGTTTAAATTTTTAAATTGCCTTGAACAGGCAGGACTACTTTTAATATATGTGTGTTATGGCGACAATATTTATGCTTATATTTTGTTTTGTTAATCTTATGGTTATGTTGTTTTTACTTTGTATGTTTTGTGATGTTACCTGGGAACTGCTCTGAGTCCCCTCGGGGAGATGGAGTGGTATATCAATAAAGTTTTATTATTATGATTATTCTGAACACTCAGAATCTGACCAGGCTACAACATCCACCGATGAGGCCCGACTAACACAGAACCTAGATTTAGGGCTCCTGATCTCTCTCTCTTTTGTGTTTCTTCCTCTGCCTTTTGCAGGTGAAGCAGCTGCGCCTAGAGCGGGAGCGAGAGAAGGCCATGCGGGAGCAAGAGCTGGAAATGCTGCAGCGGGAGAAGGAGGCCGAGCATTTCAAGACCTGGGAGGAGCAGGAGGACAACTTCCATTTGCAGCAAGCCAAGCTGCGGTAAAACAAGGGGGAAGGTCTGGGTTTGAGGTTTGGGCCTAGGTCCTAAGTACAGTCGAACACTCGAACTCTGGCTTTCATCCCACAATGAAAGTTTCATCCAAACTCATTGCTTATTTCTTATTTATTTATTTCAGGAATTTCTATGCCACCTTTCTCCCAGTGGACCCAAGGCGGCACACAGCATATTTAAAATATACAATGTAACATAAAACTATTAGCTAAAACAAAGAGTTACATGAATGCCTCATTCATCTAAACTGTTTAAAATAAATTAAAATTAAATTACGTGTACATCAGGATCCCCTGATCTGCTATTGATATATACAGAGATCTATTCTCAGCAATAATACAGCAACAGTACAGTGAGAAGCAATGATCATTGCAAAAGAACCGCATGGCAAGAGAGAGTGCACATGACAGATACTTACTTTTATACCCATAGGCTTCTTGTCATTAAACATGGACAACAGTGAATTGCGTAGTCCTTGTCCTACCTGTCACATGCTCAGGACTCAGCTTCTTTTCCTGTCCCTCCCGTTCCATGTCAGCACCTACTTAACACTTCAGTAGATGTGTGAGACCACATGTCTATTCGAACAGTATTTTCCCAAACAGTAATGCACAATGGAGTTACAGACAAGGCATTTCTATCTAACAGAGCATTATCTACCTAACAGCTTTGTTTGGGCGGTTTTGATTCCTGGTCTGTTTGGCTTCATGAAGAGAGAGAGCAAGAGAGGGAGGGAGGCTGGAATGAGTCCAGTAGGAAGAAAAAAAGGATACTTTTGCCTCTTCACTTGGTGTTTTGGGTTTCCATTGTTCCACAACTTTGTGTTCATTTATACATTATTTGTTAGTAAGTATGTTTTCCTATTTAAAAACATGTAACAAAAAATGGGAGGGGGGATTTGGGCCAGAATGGATTAATAGCACTTTAATGGTAAATTCACTTTGAGATAAGAGTGATTTGAGTTAAGAGCTTGGCCATGGAAACATTAAACTCTTGATTCAAGGTATCTATGAGGACTCCAAAATCTTTTTCACACTTACTGCTGTTGAGCCAGACTTCCTCCATTTGGTATCTTTGTAGAAAAAATGAAATGCAAAGCTACAGAATGGGGGATGACCTTCCTCGTAGACAGGAAGGTGAACATGAGCCAGAAATGTCATGCGGCAGCAAAAAAAGCCAATGGGATTTTGGCCTGCATCAATAGGAGTCTAGTGTCTAGATCCAGAGAAGTCATGCTTCCCCTTTATTCTGCCTTGGTCAGGCCACACCTGGAATCACACTGTGTCCAGTTCTGGGCAACACAATTTAAGGGAGATGTTGACTCTAAGCTGTAATGTGTCCAGAGGAGGGCGGCTAAAATGATCAAGGATCTGGAGAACAAACCCGATGAGGAGTGGCTTAAAGAGCTGGGCTTGTTTAGCCTGTAGAAGAGAAGGCTGAGGAGACATTATGGCTATGTATAAATATGTGAAGGGAAGTCATAGGGAGGAGGGAGCAAGCGTGTTTTCTGCTGCCCTGGAGACTAGGATGCGGAACAATGGCTTCAAACTACAGGAAAGGAGATTCTACCTGGACATTAGGAGTGGAACTCTCTGCCCCGGAGTGTGGTGGAGGCTCCTTCTTTGAAGGCTTTTAAACAGAGGCTGGATGGCCATCTGTCAGGGGTGCTTTGAATGCAATTTTCCTGCTTCTTGTCAGGGGGTTGGACTGGATGGCCCACGAAGTCTCTTCCAACTCTATGATTCTATGATCACAGTACACCCCCTTCCTTTGGTAGAGGTACAGCGAGGTAGAAATAAATATAATAATAACAACAATAATAGGCACATCTCTTTTCTGGTTTTCCCGACAGCTCGAAGATCCGGATCCGGGATGGACGGGCCAAGCCCATCGATCTCCTCGCCAAATACATCAGTGCTGAGGACGACGACCTAGCTGTAGAGATGCACGAGCCATACACTTTCCTGAATGGACTCACCGTCTCCGACATGGAGGACCTGCTTGAGGACATCCAGGTAATGTCCCTCAATGGGATCCGGATAGCATCCCTTTGATAGTATCCAGGTAGTTTCCCTTTTTTGGGATCCAGGTAGCATCCCTTGATGCGGTGCAGGTAGCCTCTAGAGCTGTGTAAAAATTTGGACACGGTTGTAAGTTGTAAATATTTTGACAACGTTCATACTTACGGTATCAGGATTCATTCTCCAGTGCTTTTGCATGCAGCCACCAACTTATTAGCCTAGCAGTCTGAAATTGGAAAAAAAATTCCCAAAATAACAGTGGGATGACCCTGATTGATTCCTGTCTGGAATTCCCTTGATTTCTGAGTGTTCCTCTTTATTTACGGTCCTGATTTTAGACTTTTTTTTATACTGGTAGCTGGATTTTCTTCATTTTCATGGTTTCCTCCTTTCTGCTGAAATTCCCCACATGCTTGTGGATTTCAATGGCTTCTCTGTGTAGTCCAGCATTGCTTTCTCCAGGTTGGTTCATCAGGTGCTCTGCTGTGACTGACTTCTCCAGTTGAATGAGTCTGTAGTGCCTTTCATGTTCCTTGATTTGTGCCTGGGCAATGCTGCTGCATTTGGAGGTCCCTGTGTCAACTTGTCCACAGCTGCATGGTATATGGGAGACTCCTGCAGAGAGGATCCCTCTTGTCCTTCGCTGAATTGAGCATTGGTTGGATTTTCTTAGTGGGTCTATAGATAGTTTGTAGGTTGTCTCTTCCTCAGCTTCCCTATGTGGTCAGTGGTTCCCTTGTCTGGTAAGAACCCTTTTCCTCTGGTTGGATCTTTGTCTTCACTCTCGTGGCTTGTTCTTGGTCTTGCCACTCTTCTTATGTCTGTGGTGGGGTCTCCATTGGCCTGTAGAGCCCAGTTGTGGTGGTTCAGTTCAACACATAGGAGTGGGCTTCACAGATTAGTTTTGCACGGTCTGCCAGAGGTTTGATTGTGCTTATTTTTTTACTTGGGTGATGGTTGAAGTTTTTATGATGGTATCTATCTCTGTGAGTAGGCTTTCTGTAAACTGTGTGGCCCAATTGCTGATTGGGTTTGCGGATGACTAGGATATCTAGAAATGGCAGTTTTCCTTCATTTTCTTTTTCCATGGTGAATTGGATGTTTGGGTGGATGCTGTTGAGATGGTCCAGGAACTTCTTGAGTTCTTTTTCTCCATGGCTCCTCCAAATGGTGAAGGTATCATCCACATATCTGAACCATATCGTGGGCTTTCTTTATTGTTCTTTCAAGGGCTTCTTTCTCAAAGTGTTCCATGTAGAAATTTGCTATGACCAGCCTGAGAGGGCTCCCCATGGTTACTCCATCTTTCAATTCACAGAATTTATTGTCCCACTGGAAGTAGCTTGTGTTGAGGCAGGGCTGTGATGTCTTCTGGGACATGTTGGTTGTTTAGTGCGATGGGGTCTGCTACCAGGACCTTGATAAATATTGTACTTCTCCGCTTCAGGTTTACATGGAGCTGGAGCAAGGGAAGAACGTGGATTTCTGGAGGGACATGACTATCATCACAGAAGATGAAATAGCCAAACTGCGGAAGCTGGAGGCTTCGGGGAAAGGGCCGGGTAAGTAACGGGAGATCCAGAAGAGGGCAAGTTGACCTGTGTGTCCTCCAGCATGACTTTATGGGATCTTTTTCCACCTCTGTGTCCTACAGGCGAGCGCCGCGAAGGGGTCAATGCCTCAGTCAGCTCAGACGTCCAGTCTGTCTTCAAGGGCAAGACCTACAACCAGCTGCAGGTCATCTACCAAGGGATTGAGGGCAAAATCTTAGCCGGCGGACCCAACCTGGACATCGGCTACTGGGAGAGTCTGCTGCAGCAGCTCAAGGCCTACATGGCCCGGGCCAGGTACAAATACACATACTTCTTTTTGGGAAGGATAACAGCAGTTTGTTGAAGTTATGGATTCCATAGAGTTTAAGGCAAATAGGATTTGGGATGTTGAGGCTCTTAGCAGAGAGACCAATGCATCCAAAGTCAGCAGGAGACAGGACAGAAGGGCAATTGACCATATTAGCGGATGGCTTTATAAAGGATTTTGGGGTCTAGTTTGAATGGTTGGAATAATAGAATCTGGCCACTGTTTTCTCCCAATTTCCCAGACCCTAATCTCTCCAGATAATCTATACACATAATAAAAGTGAAAATATGTTTATGTCTGGCTGACCACTTACACAGACAAGCTCCTGCCTCCATGAAAAACTATATCTCCCACTACTTCAGGAGACACCAATGACCCTCCCTCCAATGACATTGCAGGTTATAGCAAGCACCATGAACATGTCGAAGAGCCCTGCCAGTGTCCTCCACAAACACCACCCTGCCCATCACCCAAGTGAAGGCTTTCATTCAGGGACAGATGTTCTCTTTTTCCATCCCAGGATTCCTTACTTTTTCCATTGCTTTGGACTTTGCATGACCCCACCCACTGCCTTTCCCTTAACCCTTTCCTACCCTTTCCTATGGCACACAACAAACAGAGAAATTGATCAGCAACTGTATATACTGGAGGGATTTTGAGAGACTGACTCAACTTGATCAGCAACTAAACAAGAGGTTTCAGAAGACATTGACATTGAAGGTCATTGTGAGGACCATGAACATGTCCAAGTGGCCTGCCAATGTCCTCCACAAACACCATATTGCCCACCACCCAAGAGAAGGCTTTCACACAGGGACAATTTCATCCTAAACGTTATGTTTTTCCTCCACCACAGACACCCCAGTGTTCCTTACTCTCTCCATTGGTGTGTTATTTCATGACCCTGCCCACTACCCTCTCCCATGGTGTACAGCAAACAGAGTAATTGATTAGCAACTGAACATACTGGAGGGATTTTGGGGGCCTGACACAACATGATGGAAGTTGTAGTTCACCCAGCATCAAGACAGAGCACTGTGATCCCCTTTGATAATGTACTTAGACCACATTTGGCACATAGAACCCCCATGACCAATGAGAACTACTTGAGAGGTCTGGGAGGAATTCACCTTGATTTATAGGAGTTGTAGGTGCTGGGATTTATAGTTCTCCTGCAATCAAAGAGCACTCTGAACCCCACCAAAAAGGGAACTGGACCAGACTTGGCACACAGAGCCCCCATGACCAGTAAACATGCTGGAGGTCTTTGGGGAAAATTCACCTTGGTTTGAGGGAGTTGTAGTTCACCTACATCCAGAGAGCACTGTGACCCCAAACACCAATGGATGTGGACCAAACTTGGCACACAGACCTGATATGCCGAAATCTGATTATTGGAGGGCTTTGGGGGGAACTGACCTTCCTTTCTGAAAGTTGTAGTTCACCCACAACCAGAGAAACAATGACCTCCACTGATGATGGACCTGGACCAGACTTGGCACACTAACTCAACCTACTGGAGAGGTTTGAGGGGACTGACTCACCATAGTGGGAGTTGGAGTTTACCCTACAGCCAGAGAGCACACTGAACCTCTCAGATGATGCATCTAGAGCAAACTTGCCCATCATAACAAACTTTAACCACTAATGGCATTTCAGGGGATTAACCTGAGTGTGGGGAGGCTAAATTAACTGATTTATGAGGCCATAGAGAAGACTCCAGCAAAGCATTCCAGCGGGGAAGCATGCGGGGAATGCGGAAGTGCTTCATCAGTGTCGCAGATGGACGATGAAAGCGACAGCTCCCCTGGCGGCCAGAAAAAGTTAAATAGCCTCTGTCTATGTCTGTATATGTTGTATGTCAAAATTGGCATTGAATGTTTGCCATATATGTGTACACTGTAATCCGCCCTGAGTCCCCTGCGGGGTGAGAAGGGCGGAATATAAAAGCTGTAAATAAATAAATAAATAAATTCTGGTGAGTTGTAGTTCACCCACAACCTTATGCAAACCTCATTTTGTAAAATGAAAAAAAAAATGACTTTTTCAAATAACCTGGGCAATGCTGGGGACCCAAGCTAGTAATAATAATTATTAGTAGTATTATTATTATTTCTTACCCGCCTCTCCTCATGGCTCAAGGCGGATTCCAACATTGCTCAAACATGTCATCAAAACACATAATCATTTAAAACACATAGAATACACATATTAAAACATTTCCATAAAATTACATATTAAAATACACAAAACAAAAATGAGACCTAGAATGGAAGTTTCAAATGTGTCATTACAACTGATCCGAGGCCACTGACTTTCTGTTTTATTCTTTTCCATCGAAGGCTACGGGAACGGCACCAAGACGTCCTGCGCCAGAAGCTGTACAAGCTGAAACAGGAGCAAGGAGTGGAGAGCGAACCTCTGTTTCCCATCATTAAGAAGGAACCATCATCCCCGGGTGCTGGGAGCAGCAACAGGTAAACCTTGTGCGAAATAGAATGTTCCTTTTCATATAACCCTCATGGTGGAAGGGACTCCCAAGGCCATTGAGTCCAGCCCCATCTGCCACAAAGGAAGGCACTGTCTGAGCCCTCTCAGCCATAGATAGAGATAGAGATATATATTGTAGAAATAGAATCACAGAAAGGGACATCCAGCCCTTGGAGGAAGACACAATTCAATCCCTCCCAGCAGATGGCCATTCCATTCATCCTCTGTTTTGAAACCTTCCAGGGCAGAACCTGAAGAGAGCGCCTCGTCGTCACAGCCGGGCCCCTCGTCCTCTTCAGCGGAAGCTGGCACCGAAGCGGAGTCAGAAACCAAAGGGGAAGGGGAGGCGGTGCTGATGGAAGAGGACCTCATCCAGCAAAGCCTGGATGACTACGACGCCGGGAAGTACAGCCCCCGCCTCTTGACCTCCCACGAGCTGCCCTTCGATGCTCACGTGGTGGAAGTGGACGAGGACCTCCAGCGCCTGCTTCTCTCCCGGCAGCAGCTCCAGGTCACAGGTAGGCCTCCTTTCTCTGGACCCCGTACGTCTTACCCATCTCCTTCTTGAATCGGGTTGTCCCAGTTTATTCCCGGTGAGGTCTGACCAAAGCCAAAAAGAATGGGACTGCGACTTCCCTCTATTCAAACACCATCCTCCTCGGGATGCAGGTGGGTATAATATAAATTATTATTAGTATTATTATTATTACTTCTACTATTCTACTCAATCCTGATTCTAAGACACGTACCCAATCCCAATTCTAAGACAATACTCAATCCTGATCCTAAGACATAGACCCAAAAGGAGAGGCCGGCAATAAGTAAAAACAATTTCCCCCCCCCCCCCCCTCCCCCTCCTCCTCCTCCTCCTCCTCCTCAGTCCTGATTCTAAGACAATACCCAATCGTGATCTTAAGACACAGAACCAAAAGGATAGGTAGATAATAAATAAAAACCTATTACACTATGTAACAAATGTTGTCATACACAGTAATAGTTTGAAAGTGTTATTTCTGTCAGAAATATTAAAAATTAACTGGGAATTTTTGATTTAAAAAGTGTGAGTCAAGCACTGAAAGAGTTAGTAGGCCGAAGCCTGTTATAGTCAGTGGGCCAAAGCAAGTGTTGTCCTGAGGAGTCTGAGGTAAACCTCAGTGGGAGAAATGTTTCAGTCTGTGCGGTAGGCCTCACAGTGTGAGGTAGGCCTTAGTCTATGAAAGGCCAAGCGTGAGAAGGCCTGATGTGAGAAGCTTCGGTGAGAGAAGCTCCAGGACCCTTAATAAGTTCATTCGGCCAACAATTTCCTATTTTAATTGTGTGGTCCTTACGTTGAAAGTCATTGTTCTGCTCCAGAAACTTCATTGTTTTGTGCCACAAACTATTGAATTGCTGGAGACTCACTATTCATTGAAAAACTATTGCAAAATAGGCTATAGCAGGATGTCCTTCCTGCAAAGACAAAGTGTTTGCAGTATAATAAACTTTCCCTGTCTTTATATGATAGAACCAATTAGGAAATGAGATTGATAACCCAAAAATGCTGTTGCATAGTGTAATGATTATGATGCTTAATCCTGATCCTAAGATCTTTGTGCAGTTGTCCCAATGCTAAGACTTGTACCCTATTCCTCAGGGGACGCCAGTGAGAGCGCCGAGGACATCTTCTTCCGGCGAGCCAAGGAAGGGATGGGGGCTGACGAGGCCCAGTTCAGTGTGGAGATGCCACTGACGGGCAAGGCCTACTTGTGGGCCGACAAGTACCGGCCCCGCAAGCCCCGCTTCTTCAACCGCGTCCACACGGGCTTTGAGTGGAACAAGTACAACCAGACTCACTACGACTTCGACAACCCGCCACCCAAGATCGTCCAGGGCTACAAGTTCAACATCTTCTACCCGGATCTCATCGACAAACGCTCTACCCCGGAATACTTCCTGGAGGCCTGCCCAGACAACAAGGACTTTGCCACCCTCCGCTTCCATGCCGGGCCGCCCTACGAGGACATTGCCTTCAAAATCGTCAACCGTGAGTGGGAGTACTCCCACCGCCACGGCTTCCGCTGCCAGTTTGCCAACGGCATCTTCCAGCTCTGGTTCCATTTCAAGCGCTATCGCTACCGGCGGTGAAAGGAAGACGATTCCATTACATTGCTGGGAAAAGTGAACCCTGTAAAGCAGTGACTCCCATTCTCTGTCGAGAGAGCAGAGCCCCGCGAGGCCAAGCAAACTAAGACCCATAAGATGGGAATTCCCTAACTTTGCCAAGAAAACCGGACCCTGTTGGGTAGAGATTCCCATACTATACTGAAAAGGCTCAACTCCATACACTTCCCAAACTTTGTCAAGAAAACTCAACCCCGTCAGGCAGGGATTCCTTTACTTTGCTGAGAAAGCTGAATCCTGCAAGGCCGAAAAACCTCAACCCCATAAGATAGGGTCAAACTCAACCTCGTAAGATTCCCAAATTTTCTGCGAAAATGGTACCCCATAAGTTGGGTATTCCATTACTTTCCTGAGAAAACAGAACCATGGAAGATTCCAAATTTTGCCAAGAAAACAGGACCCCATCAGGCAGGGTTCCCAAACTTTATCGAGAAAATCCAACCCCATAAGATAGGGATTCCCAAACTTTGAGTGGGAATGGCTTCCTATGGGTCACCCTCTATTAAGAGCAATCCCCCACAAAGTTTACAAAGTGTACGCAGTTTGGGAAGTCTCCATTTGGACAAATCCTGGATGGTTTTGAGTCTGACTTCCCAGAAGCTTTGGGGATTCTGGGAGCTGAAATCCCAGGCGAGGTCTGCGACCAAATTTTGTCTCCAAATCCCCAAACGTATCTATCTATCTTTCTTTTAGGGCTGTTTCTCCAATGTATATTAGTCAGACTTTTATCTCATAGTCGAGTCCCAGAAGGATCCTGATGGGCTTTTTTGTAATCGTTGCCTCCAGACATTATCGATCGCGGGGATTGGATGACAAACACTCTCTTTCTCGCAATAAATGACTTTTTGTTTTTCACATGGTTGACAATGCTTTGCAGGAAAAAGGAGGGGGAAGGCATTGCAGGGGAAAGGGGTGAAGGAGGGAAGAAAGACAAAAAGGGAAGCAAAAAATCCATCCATCTTCTCCTTCTCATCATCCTTTTTCTTTTTCCTGCCTCATCCTTTTCTTCCTTCCCCTCTTTTCTTTCCACTCACCCTCCTTCCTTTCCTTTCATTTCCTTTCTTTTCTCTTTTCTTACCTTCTTTCTATCCTCTACCCATCTTTTCATTTGTTCCGTCTCATCCTCCTTTTTTCTTTTCCTCTCTCATCCTTTTCTTTCTTCCCATTGCTTTCTTCTTTCCCTCCATTCTCCCTACCTTCTTCCTTCCCTTCATTTCTTCCTTCCTCTTTTTTTTACCTTCTTTCTATCCTCCATCTCCTTTCTTCCTTCTCATCCTCCTTTTTCCTTTTCCTTCTTTCCTTTCCTTTCCTTTCTTCCTCTTTTCTTACCTTCTTTTATCCTCCATCCATCTTCTCCTTTCTTTCTTCTCATCCTCCTGTTTCCTTTCCTTTCTTTCTTTCTTTCTTTCTTTCTTTCTTTCTTTCTTTCTCTCCTTCCCCCCTCACTCCTTTCCTTGCCTCTTCTCTTACCTTCTTTCTACCCCCATCTTTTCCTTTCTTCCTTCTTATCCTCCTTTTTTCTTTTCCTCTCTCATCCTTTTCTTTCTTCCCATCTCTTTCTTCTTTCCTACCTTTCGTCCTCCTTCCTTTCCTTCCTTCTACTTTTTTACCTTCTTTCTATCCTCCATCCATCTCCTTTCTTCTTTCACTTCCTCCTTTTTCCTTTCCCTTCCTTCCTTCTTCCCTCCTTTCCTTTCCTTCCTCTTCTCTTACCGTCTTTCTACTCCCCATCTTCTCCTTTCTTCCTTCTCATGCTCCTTTTTCCTTTTCCTTCCAACCTCCGTCCCTCCTTTCCTTTCCTCTCCTCTTTTCTTACCTTCTTTCTCTCTTCTGTTCATCTTCTCCTTTCTTTCTTCTCATCCTCCTTCCTTTATTTATTTATTTACAGTATTTATATTCCACCATTCTCATCCCAAAGAGGACTCAGGGCGGATCACAGAACACATATGCGGCAAGTATTCAATGCCCTTATACACTGACAAGACAGACAACTGTACATACCTAGAGGTATATATAGGCTTTCCCATCTTCGGCATCTTGGAGGCTGTGCTCAGTTCTGACCACTGGGGGTGGGGTGCTGTCACTCAACTTTCCCTGCCAAAGAGCTTTGTTCGTAAACTTCCTCCTTGATCTAATCGCTGGCATTTTTCTGGCATTTCATTATGGGTGCCTTAAATACCTCCCCACTTTAAAGCGGTACCTATTTATCTACTCACATTGCTATTTTTGAACTGCTAGGTAGACAGAAGCTTGGCTAAAGGCCAGGAGCTCACCCTGAACCAAGCTTCAAACTGTCAACCTTCTGGTTGGCAAGATTTACTGAAGCTGGTGGTTAACTTGTGTGCTAAAGCCCGGTCCTTCTCATCCATTAGAATGGATGTGTACAAGATTTGAGTAAATATGGATAATAATAATGCTTTACATAATTTTCAATGTTGCTGTACATCAGGTATGGGATTCATTGCTCTTTCTGATTATATTACAGGCACTACCATTCCCATCATTTTCGACATTGCTGGCTAGTTTTTGACTTGGCTGGTGTGCCATAATATAATATATAATGTTATATGTACACCATCCAACTTCATGATAGATAGATAGATAGATAGATAGATAGATAGATAGATAGATAGATAGATAGATGAAGAGTATGTGCAACAGTTTTCCTATTGTTTCTCAACCAAAGCTCGAATCCTTCAGCTTTTTCCGCTAATACAAAAGCTCCATTTTGGCTTGTCTGTTCGCCAACGGAGCAGCAACTCTTCCTAATAATGGCTTAATGGATTTGCTGGAACCAAATCATAAACGTTTGTTTGTTTGAATTGAAATGTACTTTTTAAGAAAGTGCCAATGACGGAAGACGAGTTCCCGAAAGTTTCAACCAAGTGATCAAAGCCAATCTGACTCTTGAAGTTGGGCAAATAGTCAAAAGCAGTCTTGTTTGTCTATGTCTTGATTTGCATTTCAGTATTAAGTCAATGCATGTATTAATTATATTTAATAATAATAATAATAATAAGATATTATCATATATTATATTATTATGTTATTTTACTATTTTATTACTTTATAATATTAAGCCAATATCAAGTCAATGTATATATTAAGTATTATTATTATTATTAATTATTTCCAGTATTTCTATCCCGTTCCTTCTCAACCCCCAAGGGGGACTCAGGATGGCTTACATTTGGCAGCATTTCGATGCCACTACATATAACAGAGCAATATAATAACAATTAAAACAGTAAAAAACAGTATTGATAGCCGTATCATCATTCCAGTCAATTCCATATACAATTCCATGTCCAAAGTGCTATGTCTGTTGTCCAAAAGCCTGGTCCCAGAACCACGACTTCAATTTCTTCCTAAATGACAGGAGGGACAGAGCCACTCTTACCTTAGTGGGAAGCGAATAATATATTATTTTATTATTTTATTATTTTACATTATAATATTAAATCAATATGAAGTCAATGTATATATTATTTTAAATCATAATTATATGATAGTCTTATAATATATAATAATATATTATTATCATATTACATTATAATATTAAGTCAATATCAAGTCAATGTATATATTAAATATATTATTATTATGTATTATAATAATATAATATTATTTTGGCCTGTTCTGGAATGGAGACTCTCTCTGTATCCGATTGAAGATATAATATAATATTATAATATAAAATGTTAGTATAATATTATATTATAATAATACATTAAAATATTTTAAATATGTTAATAAAAATGTATGCATTGACTTGATATTGACAATATTATATTACATTATAATACATCAATATCAAGTCTATGTATATATTTATTATAATGTATTTAAATACATATATTTATTGTAGTATTTTAATATATTATTATATTAATATTATATTGTTATATATTATATCTTCAGATGGCTAAGGAGAGATGCTCCATTCCACAGGGCAAAATATTACGTTATATTATGTTATTATAATATATAATATTTATTTATTTATTTAAAAGTTTTGTATACCGGCCTTCTCACCTCTCTCGAGGGACTCAGACCGGTTTCCAACCATAATATCACATACAATCAATAAAACATCATAATTCATATTACAGTAAAACATTAAAACAGCAATTACAATCAATAACTACGATGGTCAGTCATCAGACTAAAATCATTGCTCATCATCCTCCATCCATATCTCAGGGTGTTTATTACATTAATATATAATAATATAATTATTATATATTAATGTAAATTTATTATAATATTAACTAAATATCAAGGCAGTGCATATATTTATTATATTATAATTATATTATACTTATATATAATTATTATAAAAGGTAAAGGTTTTCCCCTGATATTAAGTCTAGTCGTGTCCGATTCTGGGGGTTGGTGCTCATCTCCATTTCTAAGCCGAAGAGCCGGCGTTGTCCGTAGACACCTCCAAGGTCATGTGGCTGGCATGACTGCATGGAGCGCCATTACCTCCTTCCAAGAGCGGTACCTATTGATCTACTCACATTGTTATGTATTGTATATTATTTTAATATAGTACTATAATACTATAAGTCACGAAGAGTCGGAGACGACTGAACAAATGAACAACAACAACTATAATATTTTATAATATTATAACTATAAATATAGAATTATATTGTATTATATCTTCAATCAGATAGAGATGTTCCATTCCAGACAGGTCAAAATAATAATATATTATTATAATATATTTCATCAATATCAATGCATATATTTACTATATCATATTATTGTACAACTAGCCATCCCCTGCCACGTGTTGCTGTGGCCCAGTCTGTGTATATGTGTTTTGTGTGTGTAGATATGCATATATGTGTGTATATATATTTGTGTATATATATTGCACATGCATTGTAATGTATTTTTAATATTTTATTTTGGCTTTTTAAGTCTCTTCTGCTGTGTTTTTCAGTGTTTTAATGAGTGATGGTCACTCATTGGCCTGATAGGCATATTGTGTCCAAATTTGGTGTCAATTCATCCAGTAGTTTTTGAGTTATGTTAATCCCACAAACAAACATTACATTTTTATTTATATAGACTAGCCGTCCCCTGCCACACGTTGCTGTGGCCCACATGGGGGTTCTGTGTGGGAGGTTTGGCCGAACTCTATCGTTGGTGGTGTTCAGGATGGTCTGTGATTGTAGGTGAACTGTAAATCCCAGCAACTACAACTCCCAAATGTCAAGATTGTATTTTCCCCAAACTCCACCAGTGTTCACATTTGGGCATATTGAGTATTCGTGTAGAGTTTGGTCCAGATCTATCATTGTTTGAGACCACATTTCTCCCTGGATGTAGGTGAACTAAAATTCCAAAACTCAAGGTCAATGCCCACCAAACCCTTCCAGTATTTTCTGTTGGTCATGAGAGTTCTGTGTGCCAAGTTTGGTTCAATCCCATTGTTGGTGGCATTCAGAATGCTCTTTGATTGTAGGTGAACTATAAATCCTAGTAACTACAACTCCCAAATGTCAAGGTCTATTTTCCCCAAACTCCATCTGTGTTCATATTTGGGCATATGGAATATTTGTGCCAAGTTTGGTCCAGATCCATCATTATTTGAGTCCACAGTGCTCTCTGGATGTAGGTGAACTACAACTCCCAAACTCAAGGTCAATGCCCACCAAACCCTTCTAGTGTTTTCTGTTGGTCATGGGAGTCTGTGTGTGCCAAGTTTGGTTCAATTCCATCGTTGGTGGAGTTCAGAATGCTCTTTGATTGTAGGTGAACTATAAATCCCAGCAACTACAACTCCCAAATGACAAAATCAATTTTTTTGAGTGAAGAACATACATTGGGTTGTTAGATATCTTGTGTCCAAATTTGGTGGCATTTCCACCAGTGGTTTTTAAGATCTATTAATCCCACAAACGAACATTACATTTTTATTTTTTATAGATTATAATATATATTTATTTATATAGATTATAATATTACATCAATCACAAGTCAATGCATATATTTATTATATTATAATAATATAACAATATATTACAATTATATATTATTATAACATTAAGTCAATATCAGCATTTATTTACTATATTATATTATTATAATATTATATTATTATATCTCAATCGGCTACAGAGAGATGCTTCTCCATTCCAGACAAGCCAAAATCCTCCCCGAAATTTCCATGTAAGGAATTGAAAGGTATATATATGACATTGATCAGGATTCCTTGGCCTTTGCCAACCCAGTCTCCTCCCAAAGTAGGAATGTTAGGTGTTTTAAATGGAGTCGGTGGGGTCTGTTTTGTGTCCATAATATGCCCGCACCCTATAATTCACTTTTTCCTGCTATTACTGAACTTTAAAAACCTTTTGGATTATCTCTTCAAAGTCCTTTGCCCTTTTGACACGAACCAGATCAAGAAAGAAGCCTTATCTTCCTCTGGGTTTCTTTTTTTGGTGCAGATCAAAAGGCATTCATTCCTTCCCAATCCAGGGATTAGTTGGCTTTGATAGGATAAGATTCGAACCCAAGTCTAGGCAAATGCTAAAACCATATTGTCTCTATTTCATAGCCAGATTGATTCAGAGAGAGTTTTCTTTTGCACCCAGTGGTTCTAGGGCTACACTAAACTAACAACAACAACAACAACAACATAATAATAATAATAATAATAATAATAATAATAATAATAATTGTATTAATGGCCTTTCTTTGGGGCCCTCAATATGATTCCTTTATGGCCGAATGGGGTTAGACGAGATGGCCTTTAGGGGTCGCATCAGACTCTATAGACTTCCGTATATCCCTTTATAGCCAAATGAGGTTGGAGTAGATGGCCTTTGGGGGTCCCATCGGACTCAATAGGCTTCCATATATCCCTTTATGGTCGAATGGAGTTGGACTAGATGGTCTTTGGGGGTCTCATCAGTCTCTATAGGCTTCTGTATATCCCTTTATGGCTGAATGGGGTTGGACTAGATGGTCTTTGGGGGTCTCATCAGTCTCTATAGGCTTCTGTATATCCCTTTATGGCTGAATGGGGTTGAACCAGATGGCCTTTGGAGGTCTCATTGGACTCTATAGGCTTCAGTATATCCTTTATGGCCAAATGAGGTTGGACTAGATGGCCTTTGGGGGTCCCATCAGACTCTATAGTCTTCAGTATATCCCTTTATGGCCAAATGGAGTTGGACTAGATGGCCTTTGAGGGTCCCATTGAACTCTATAGGCTTCCGTATAACCCTTTATGGCCAAATGTGGTTGGACTAGATGACCTTTGGAGGTCCCATTGGACTCTAGGCTTCAGTACATCCCTTTATGACCGAATGAGGTTGGACTATATTGGCTTTGGGGGTCCCATCAGACTTTGTAGTCTTCAGTATATCCCTTTATGGCTGAATTCGGTTGGACTAGATGGCCTTTGGAGGTCCCATTGGACTCTATAGGCTTCCGTATAACCTGTTATGGCCYAATTCGYTTGGACTAGATGGCCTTTGGAGGTCCCATTGGACTCTATAGTCTTCAGTATATCCCTTTATGGCCAAATGGAGTTGGACTAGATGGCCTTTGAGGGTCCCATTGAACTCTATATGCTTCCGTATTACCCTTTATGACCGAATTTGCTTGGACTAGATGGCCTTTGGAGGTCGCATTGGACTCTAGGCTTCAGTACATCCCTTTATGACCAAATGGGGTTGGACTAGATCGGCTTTGAGCGTCCCATCAGACTCTGTAGTCTTCAGTATATCCCTTTATGGCTGAATTTGGTTGGACTAGATGGCCTTTGGAGGTCCCATTGGACTCTATAGGCTTCCGTATAACCTGTTATGGCCGAATTTGGTTGGACTAGATGGCCTTTGGAGGTCCCATTGGACTCTAGGCTTCAGTACATCCCTTTATGACCGAATGGGGTTGGACTAGATTGGCTTTGGGGGTCCCATCAGACTCTGTAGTCTTCAGTATATCCCTTTATGGCCAAATGGAGTTGGGCTAGATGGCCTTTGAGGGTCCCATTGAACTCTATAGGCTTCAGTATATCCTTTATGGCCAAATGAGGTTGGACTAGATGGCCTTTGAGGGTCCCATTGAACTCTATAGGCTTCCGTATTACCCTTTATGGGRGAATTTGCTTGGACTAGATGGCCTTTGGAGGTCCCATTGGACTCTAGGCTTCAGTACATCCCTTTATGACCGAATGGTGTTGGACTATATTGGCTTTGGGGGTCCCATCAGACTCTGTAGTCTTCTGTATATCCCTTTATGGCTGAATTTGGTTGGACTAGATGGCCTTTGGAGGTCCCATTGGACTCTATAGGCTTCCGTATAACCGGTTATGGCCGAATTCGGTTGGACCAGATGGCCTTTGGAGGTCCCATTGGACTCTATAGTCTTCAGTATATCCCTTTATGGCCAAATGGAGTTGGACTAGATGGCCTTTGAGGGTCCCATTGAACTCTATATGCTTCCGTATTACCCTTTATGGCCAAATTTGCTTGGACTAGATGGCCTTTGGAGGTCCCATTGGACTCTAGGCTTCAGTACATCCCTTTATGACCGAATGGTGTTGGACTAGATTGGCTTTGAGGGTCCCATCAGACTCTATAGTCTTCAGTATATCCCTTTATGGCCAACTGGAGTTGGACTAGATGGACTTTGGGGGTCTCATCAGTCTCTATAGGCTTCCATATATCCCTTTATGGCTGAATGGGGTTGGACTAGATGGCCTTTGAGGATCCCATCGGACTCTATAGGCTTCAGTATAACCCTTTATGGACAAATTTGGTTGGACTAGATGGCCTTTGGAGGTCCCATCAGACACTATAGGCTTCAGTATATCCCTTTATAGTTGGACTAGATGGTCTTTGTTGTCCCTTATTATTAGGACTCCTTTATGGCTGAATGGGGTTGGACTAGATGGTCTTTGAGGGTCCCATTGGACTATAGGATTCACTATATGACTGAATGGGGTTGGACTAGATGGCATTTGGAGGTCCCTTCCCACTCTAGCCCTCTGTATATCCCTTTAGTGGCTGAATAGATGACCTTTGGGAGTCCTCTCTGATTATGATTCCTTTACGGCCGAATGAGGCTGGATTAGATACCCTTTGGGGGTCCCTTCCCACTCTAGATTCCTATTTCTTCCCCTTTCCTTGCCCTTTAGGCCTGGAATTGGATGAGCCAATGGTTAAGCCCTGCAGCCAGTCCCCTTTCCTCCAAATCCCTCCTTCTTTTCTCTTTCTTTTCCCCCTTCTCTCTTTTTTTCCCAACAGAGGGCTGAGAAATCCCAAAGCGAAAGGTTCCCACCACTTCGGCCTTTTCCAGATCTGCGGAAAGTAGGTCCATTTCTCTGTTACAATCCCCTCTTTTATATTGATTATCTATCCATTGACATATTCATTGCCTTTATCGATTAATGAATTAATCTCTTGATTGATTAATTGATCTTTAACTGTCTTTCTGTCTTCTTTGCTCCGGTTTATCCTTTATTATTCTTCCTGGTCATTTCAAAAGTGTATTGATAGACTGATTGGTTTTTCATCCCCATTGATATTTCACTCCAATAGTTTCTATTGATTCTTGACTCTTATTGTATTATTACAATATATTCTTATAACAATATATTCTTGACTTATTATCTTTTTTATAATATTTCCCTATTATAATCTATACTATTATTAGAATAGATTATAATAGGAAAATAAATTATTATTATTAGATTTTCCTATAAATATAGTGATTAATAATATAGTATTATAATACTAGCATAATATATTATAATACATATAATAAAGAATTAATATTATATGCATTATTATTAGAGCATATCATAAGAAAATATAATAACATGTTTATTTTTATATAATAATTTATTGTATTATATATTTATTATATTATTGTATTTTTATATTATAATATAATAATTTATATTATATATTAATAATATAATATTTTATTATTATTATATTTTCCTATAAATATAGTGAATAATAATATAATATAATGAAATAATAATAGTGTAATGGTATAATAATATAATACGATGACACTATTATTATTTCATTATATAATTTTTATTTCATGGTATAATATATAATATATATATTATATATTATATAATTATTATTTTGTGGTATAATAATAATATAATAGGAGCCCCCGGTGGCGCAGTGGGTTAAACCCCTGTGCCGGCAGAACTGAAGACCAACAGGTCGCAGGATCGAATCCGGGGAGAGGCGGATGAGCTCCCTCTATCAGCTCCAGCTCCTCATACGGGGACATGAGAGAAGCCTCCCACAAGGATGATAAAAAACATCAAATCATCCAGGCGTCCCCTGGACAACGTCCTTGCAGACGGCCAATTCTCTCACACCAGGAGTCACTCCTGACACGACGATAATAATAATAATAATAATAATAATAATAATAATAATAATATATCAATAATATAATAAATTGTTGTTATACAATAAATTATTATTATTAGAACATTATAAGACAATATTATATTATATTTTTATTATTATAACATATAATAATAAAATATTATAATATATTATAATTTTATAATAATAATAATAATTTATGATTATTATTATAGTTTCCTATAAATATAGTGATTCATTGATTTTTTAAAACCCCAATCAGCTTTTCTTATTGGCATTCCGTTCTTTTAAAGCATTGGAATTTTGGCTTTTTCTTTCAAATTGAAACATTAATTTCAGTCCAAATATTTGCAGGATCTTTTCAGCTGGGATTTAAATCGGGTCTAAACATGTCATATAATGAAAACAAAACACTTTCCAGCCTCATCCGTCAAAATAAGGTTTTAAATGCTTAGACTTGGGAATGATCTAAAGTTCAAAACTTGGTAAAAAGTTTGGGGCCATTTTCCCATTGAATTGTATGTTTACATAAATAGATAGATATAGATATGTTATAATTCTTGCACAAACAAGACATCCAGTTCTCTTGTCAAGTCAGTACAGCATTGGGGTTATTTTTAAATGGGGAAACTTAATATACTACAGATCCCAGCTTCCTTCCTCCTTTTCTTATGATGGGGATGTGTAGTCCGGTGGCTAGATTGGGGGCTGTTTCTGGGTTATTAGAAGAACGCATGTTTGTTTTGGGATGTTAGGTAATTTTGTCCAGATCCATCATTGACTGGGTTCAGTTCTCTCTGGATAAGAGAGAACTACAATTCCCAGATTCCCTGGGCAATCCCTTCCATATCCTGACAGTATTCGCAGTTGGCCATGTTGGGTCTGTGTGCCAAGTTTGGTTCAGATCCGTCGTCAGCTGAGTATGTTCATGGGACGTCTGTGTGCCAAATTTCATCCAGGTCTGTCATTTGTGGGGTTACAGTAGTCTGTTGAAGTTAGAGCTGAATTGGGTGAAGGTACTGCAAATCCCATCATCCATGGTCCATCCTTCCCCAATCTGCACCAGAACATAAAGTGGCTTTACCAAGTTTCGTCCAAGTCTGTCATTTGTGTGGGTTGCAGTGATCTGTAGAAGTTGGAGCTGAATTGGGTGAAGGTATTGCAAATCCCATCATCCGTGGTCCATCCTCTCTCAAATCATACCAGGACATAAAATGGATCCCGGTGGTGGGGGTGTCTGTGTGCCTGATATGATCCAGATCCATCACTCATGAGGGTTGCAGTGGTCTGTGGGAACCAAATCAGGTGAAGGCACTGCAAATCCTATTATCCGTGGTCCATCCTCCCCCAAACCAGGACATAAAGTGGGTCACGGGGGTTCTGTGTGCCAAGTTTGGTCCAGATCCATCAGTGTTTGGGTTCACAGTGCTCTCTGGATATAGGTGAACTACATCTCCCCCAAATCAAGATGAATCCCCCCCCCCCACACACACACACAGATGCCCAGTATTTTTTGCTGGTCATGGGGGCTCTGTGTGTCAAGTTTGGTCCAGTTCCATCTTTGGTGGAGTTCAGAGTGCTCCTTGATTGCAGGTGAACTATAAATCCCAGTACATACAACTAACAAATGTCCAGGCCATTTCCTCTCAAAATGGACCAGTATGTGGGCATATCAGGTATGCATGCTAAGTTTGGTTCAGATCCCCCATTGTTTGCGTTCATAGTGCACTCTGGATGTAGGTGAACTACAACTCCTCTCAATCTCTCCAAAGGCCTCCAGTATGTTTTGTTGGTTACGGGGGTTCTGTGTGCCAAGTTAGTTGCAGGTCCATCGTTGGTGGAGTTCAGATTGCTCTTAAATTGCAGGTGAACTACACATCCCGGTCCCTACAACTTCTATAAATCATGGGGAATTCTCTCCGAACCTCTCTAGTGTGTATGTTCAGTTGCTGATCGATTCATCTATTTGCTATGTGCCATAGAAAAGAATAGGAAAGGGTTAAGGGAGAGGTGGTGGGTGGGGTCATGCAAATTCCACACTAATGGAGAGAGTCAGAAACACTGGGATGTCTGTGATGGAGGAAACACATGAAATCTAGGACAGAATTGTCCCGAATGAAAGCCTTCACTTGGGTGGTGGGCAGTATGGTGTTTGGGGAGAACATTGGCAGGGCTCTTGGACATGTTATAATATAATAATAATAATAATAATAATAATAATAATAATAATAATAATATCATATAATAATAATAATACATAATAAATTCATCTCTCACGTCCCTTTGAGAAGGAGGCATCCCTGGCTCTCCTTCCTTACATTCAATTTATTATTATATTATGCCTTGCCTTTCCCAGCCCCGCGCAGGCTTTACGATGCTACAAAAGGCAATGAGCGTCCCATCTCTCGCCTGGGACCAAAGCCATAGATCCAGGATGGATGTGGTGTCGCTTTTCTGGAAACCGACCCAAGGCGAATTATGACCCGTCTTGTTGGGCTTCCTTGCCAGGTTCCCCAAATTTGGGCCTCTTGAATAAGTTATTTGGCCTCTCATCAAAGCATGAAGATTTGGCACATAATCATAAATGTCAGGGCAAGTTGAGAATCTCTTCTCCGAAATTCTCAGGAACAGAAATATTCTGGATTCTGGAATATCTTTATTTATCTATTGCAGGGAAAGTGATTCCACTTAAACATGAGGAAGAACTTCCTATTTCTCCATGAACACGGGCACACACACACTCACACACACACACACATATATGAGACTAGATGGCCATCTGTCTGGAGGGAACGGATTGTGCCTTCCATGGGGTTGGATTAGATGGCCTTTGAGGGGTCTCTTCTGATTCTATTTCTCCATGAACCCACTAATGCATATACGGCTGGATGGCCATCTGTCGGGAGGGATCGGATTATTATTTTTTATTTTTTATTATGATATATATGTGTGTGTGTGTGTGTGTGTGTGTGTGTGTGTGTGTGTGTGTGAGCCCCCGGTGGTGCAGTGGGTTAAAGCACTGAGCTGCTGAGCTTGTTGATCGAAAGGTTGCAGGTTCGATTCCGGGGAGTGGTGTGAGCTTCCGCTGTCAGCCCTAGCTTCTGCCAACCTAGCAGTTCGAAAACATGCAAATGTGAGTAGATCAATAGGTACCGCTCCAGCGGGAAGGTAACGGCGCTCCATGCAGTCATGCCGGCCACATGACCTTGGAGGTGTCTATGGACAATGCTGGCTCTTCGGCTTAGAAATGGAGATGAGCACCACACCCCAGAGTCAGACATGACTGGACTTAATGTCAGGGGACTACCTTTACCTTATATATGTGTGTGTGTGTGATATTATATTATATCATATTATTCTATTCTATTACTTTATTATTTTGTTATATTTTATTACTTCATTATTATATTATGTTACATTATTATATTTTATTATTTTTATTATATTATGTTATGTTATATTATTATATTACTTTATTATTTTTATTATATTACATTATTCTATATTATTTTCGGAGCCCCCGGTGGCACAGTGGGTTAAACCGCTGAGCTGCTAAACTTGTTGACTGAAAGGTCGCAGGTTCGAATCCAGGGAGTGAGCTTCCCTGGATAGTGAGCTTCCACTGTCAGCCCCAGCTTCTGTCAACCTAGCAGTTCGAAAACATGCAAATGTGAGTAGATCAATAGGTACCGCTCCGGCGGGAAGGTAACGGTGCTCCTTGCAGTCATGCTGGCCGCATGACTTTGGAAGWGTCTATGGACAACGCCGGCTCTTCGGCTTAGAAATGGAGATGAGCACCAACCCCCAGAGTCGGACACAACTAGACTTAARGTCAGAGGAAAACCTTTATCTTTACCTATATTATATTATTATATCATTATATTACTTTATTGTTATATCATTATATCATTTTATTATTTTATGTTATTTTAATTTTAAAGAAATTCCACTTAACCATAAGGAAGAACTTTCTGATGGTTAGAGCTATACAAAAGAGTCCTATTGGAGTCTGGATGGTCATTTGTCGGGAAGGATCGGATTGTGTCATCCTTCCTGGCAGAACTGGGTTAGACTGGATGGCCTTTGGGGGTCTCTTAGGACTAGAGCAGTTTTTTATTCCATAGCTCTATTTCTCCATGAACCCACTGGTGCTTATGAGGCTGGAGGGCCATCTGTCGAGAGGAATTGGATTGTGTCGCTCTTCCTAGCAACCCCTGGAGTGTCATCTACGGGACGCACGAAACCCCATTAAGCTCCATTATGGATATAGTGTGCTTACATTGCTCTATGAGGTTTCAGGCATTTGGGACCAATGTACAAGCTGTGCTCTATTGGATGCGTTTTTTCATCCCTTTTCTCATATTAAGTTTCAGATCATATAAGTTTAAAAACTAATCAGATTTCATCGCCAAAATATCATAATATCATCCGAATCCATCCCGTTCTCGTCTTCAATTTCAGATCATATTAGTTTTGAAACTTATAGATGATAGAAGGATAATAAGAGTTGGAAAGGGCAACGAAAGGCCATAATTACATAATGCAAGATATTATATTATTGTATTATTGTTACATTATTATTTTATTATTATATTGTATTATATTACTATTATATTATTATTACATTCTATTTATTATTTATTATTATTACATTCTATTATTCTATTCTATTATTAGTCTATTTATTATTTTATTATATCATTATTCTGTTATGTTAATATTATATATTATCTTACTATAATTTTATTATAATTATATTATAACAATATAATAATAATATAATAGTATAATGTATATTGTTTTATTTTTTATTATTTTACTATTATATTATGTTATTATATATTATCTAATCTATATATATATAAATGTTCTATTATATTACTAAATTACCATATTATTATATATTAGTATTATTTTATTATTATTACATTGTTATTTATTTTTATATTATTATATTATATTATTTTTATTATTATATTATATTATTATATTGTTATATATTATTTTATTATTAATAATAATAATCCAGTCCAACCCTTTTCTCATTTGGAAGACACTATCCAAACCCACCTGACAGATGGCCATTTTAGTTGGAATCCTGGCTATTATAGATAGCATGGTTTCTGTTTGTTCTTCATCCAGAGCCTCCCAAAGGGTCGTGTCCCATTCGTCATTACTCTTTTGTCAGCTTATTTTGCATCATTTTCCGGAACGACGGGCATTGAGCATTCCTTCTTTCTGACGCATTTTGATTTATGCTTCCAGAGGCTAAACATGGGCCAGATGTCGGAGATGTCAATACACGAAAAAGCAGCTGGGATCCATCTGACAGCCTGAGACGTTGTCGTATCCATTTGTTTCTGGAAACGATTTTCCAAGCTAAACATAACCCGTTCCCTAAGCCACTCCTCATTGGAATTCATTGCTTCCAGACATTGCCCTGCATTGTCCCATCGCCTTCTTGAATTGTGATCCACTAAGATTCCTAGATCACAGACTGTTTCCAAGCCCAATGTCCAGACATTAATCTAGAATCCATTAGATAGATAATGCATTGTTAGGCAGGAAGGCATTGGTGGTAACCCTATTGTGTAAAACTGGTGGGAAGTACCATTCAAATGGACATGTGGTCACACACCTGCTGAATGATTAAGAGGGTTGTGTGATGTGTAACTTTAGGCAACAACCCCATTTAGCCATAAAGGCGGAATATATTGAATCCTAGAGTTGGAAGGGACCCTCAAAGGCCATCCAGTCCAATTCCATTTAGCCATACATTGCATAGAGTCGGAAGGGACCCCAGAGGTCATCCAGTCCAACTGCATTCAGCCATAAAGGAATACATTGAATCCTAGAATCGGAAGGCACCCCTCCATCATAAAGGAACACACCAAATCCGAGAGTTGGAAGGGATCCCCAAAGGCCATCTATTTGGCCATAAAGGAATATTATTTTTATTTATTTATCATGTCAGAAGCAAATTGAGGGTATAACACACAAAAGTTTAAAACTTGGCATTGCTCTAAATGTCCTTTAATCCGAAGCTGGCCACTTGGAGTGCCTCTGGTGTCGCTGTGAGAAGGTTCTCCCTTGTGCATGTGGCAGAGCTCAAGATGCATTGAAATAGGTGGTCTGTGGTTTGCTCTTCTCCATATTTGCATGTCATGGACTCCACTTTGTAGCCACATTTCTTAATGTTGGCTCTGCGTCTCATGGCGCCAGAGTGCAGCGTGTTCAATGCCTTTTAAGTCTCCCTGTCATCTGTGTGCCCAGGAGGGAGTCTCTCATTTGGTATTAGTCATGGATGAAGGTTCTAGGTTTTAGCCTGCCATTTTTGGACTCTTGCTTGCTGAGCTGTTCCTTCAAGTATCTCTGTAAATCTTAGAAACCTATTTCTTGATTTAAGGTGTTACCGTGCTGGCTGACATCCGAACAGAGGATAGGCCAGAGATGTCACTGCCTTGGTTCTTTCATTGTTGGCTGCTACTTCCCGGCGGATGTCAGGTGATGCTAAAAAGTATAATTTCTTCAGGGTGTATGGCGTAGACATCCTGTGATAATGCGGCATGTCTCATTAAGAGCCACATCCACTGTTTTGATGTGGTGAGATGTGTTCCACACTGGGCATGCGTATTCAGCAGCAGAGTAGCAAAGCGCAAGGGCAGATGTCTTCACTGTGTCTGGTTGTGATCCCCAGGTTGTGCCAGTCAGCTTTAGTATGATATTATTTCTAGCACCCACTTTTTGCTTGATATTCAGGCAGTGCTTCTTGTAGGTCAGAGCATGGTCCAGAGTGACTCCCAGGTATTTGGGTGTGCTGCAATGCTCCAGTGGGATTCCTTCCCAGGTAATCCTCAGAGCTCGAGATGCTTGTCTGTTCTTAAGATGAAAAGCACACATCTGCATTTTAGATGGATTAGGAATCAGCTGGTTTTCCTGTAATAGGCAGTAAGGGCACCTAGAGCTTCGGAGAGCTTCTTTTCAATCATCTCAAAGCTCCCTGCTTGAGTGGTAATGGCACGATCATCAGCATAGATGAACTCTCTGTCCCTTCTGGCAGTGGCTGGTCATTTGTGTAAATGTTGAACATGGATGGAGCAAGCACGCTCCCCTGAGGCAGGCCGTTCTTCTGTTTCCGCCATCTGCTTCTCTGGCCCTGGAACTCAACAAAAAAGCTCCTGTTTTGTAGCAGATTTCCTATGAAGCAGGTGATGTGGGAATCTTTTGTGATATTATACATTTTTCTCAGGAGAAGGCAATGAATTACAGTGTCATAGGCTGCTGACAGGTCTATGAAGACAGCTCCTGTAATCTCCTGCCTTTCAAAACTATCTTCTATGTGCTGAGTCAGGTTCAAAACTTGTGATCTGCAGCTTTTGCTTTTCCTGAAACCAGATTGCTGTGGAAATATAAATCAGTTTGTTTTTTTCCATAATTCCATGCAAAATAAGTCTCTCCAGAACCATAAAGGAATACACTGACTCCTAGTGAGAAGGCACCCCAAAAGCCATTCAGTCCAACCCCAATCAGCCATAAAGGAATATCATGAATGCTAGAGTCAGAAGGGACCCTACAGATCATTCGGTCCAACCCCATTTAGCCATAAAGGAATATAATGAATCCTAGAGTCATAAGGGACCCCCAAAGGCCATCGAGTCCAACCCCATTCAGCCATAAAGGAATACATGAATTCTAGAGTCATAAGGGGCCCCCAAAGGCCATCCAGTCCAACCCCATTCAGCCATAAAGGAATACATGAATTCTAGAGTTAGAAGGGTGTTTGCAAAGTCGATCAGTGAGAGTATCTGCCTGGAGGTAGCCTAACCTTTGTTGCTTGGAGGCACCCTCTGCTTGGGAGGTGTTCACTGACCCTTGATTGTTTGATTAATTATCTTATTAATTCTCCCTGTCAGTTCTTCTTTGCAGCAGACTCGACAAGATGGAAGTGTCGAGGCCTCCGAAGAGTGATCTCACCACTTTAGGAGGCAACGGCCCAATCTCTCACCACTCGAAGTTGGGCTGAGGTTTGGCTGCGATGTGGGACAACTCAAGCACCACTGGTGCCCACTTGGGCTCCTGCTTCCGCTCAACGAATGCCACGGAGGAGCCCCCGGCCCCCATCGCCTCGCCGTGGTTCTCAGCCATCTTCGGCGCCATCGGCTTGGGCTCCAACCTCTTCGCCCTGTGTGTCTTGGTATCCTCCTCCCGCAAAAGGCACAGCCGCTCCCGCTCCTCCTTCCTGGTCTTCCTCTGCGGCTTGGTGGTCACTGACTTCCTAGGCCTCCTGCTCACCTTCTCCATCGTGGTGCCATACCACTTCATCCGCTTCGACTGGCGGCGACTTGATCCTGGATGCCACCTCTGCAGTTTCATGGGCCTGGTGATGGTCTTCTTCGGGCAGTGCCCGCTCCTCCTCGGGGCCACCATGGCCGGCGAGCGCTTCGTGGGCATCAACCGGCCCTTCTCCCGTTCCACCAGCATGTCCAAGCACCGGGCCTGGTCCCTGGTGGGCATTGTCTGGGCAGTGGGCTTCCTTTTGGGCCTCTTGCCCATCTTCGGCCTTGGCGACTACAGCCTACAGTATCCCAACTCTTGGTGCTTCCTGACACTGGTCCACGATGCCAAGAATGTGGCCTTCAACCTGATTTTTGCCCTCCTGGGCCTCTTCTGCGTCGGCCTCTCCTTCCTCCTCAACACCGTCAGCGTGGTAACCCTCTGCCGTGTCTACCATGATTCCGAGGCCATCCAGCGCCGCCGGGATAGTGAGGTGGAGATGATGGCCCAACTGGTGGGCATCATGGTCATTGCCAGTGCCTGCTGGCTCCCATTGCTGGTGAGTCGCCTCTTTTCGTTTAGCATCATGGAATCCAAAAGTTGGAAATTTATCCAGACCAACCCCTTTGCTATGCAGGGGCACACAGTCAAAGCCCTCCCAACATGTTAGGTAGATAATGCTGCATTAGAATTACATTGTGTGTGAAAAAATACAGTTTGAATGGACATGTTGTCACAGCACAGTCCACTGAAAGGGTTAAGAGAATAGAGATGTGATCCAAGAGGGACTGCTGAGTAATTTCCTGTTGTCTGGATGGAAGAATGAGAGTAGCTTGTGTGTGCACTTCCTCTCTGACATGTGCTTGCTCTCTACCATCTTGGATAGCTTGCATCTGTAATCCATCACCATCCTCGTTGTATAAGTGCCTTGCTATGCTTGTATCTCTATACTGACAGCAGACCTGTAAATAATAGGCATGGGCAATCCATGGTTCAAATGGTTCTAAAGTACTTACAAAACTAAAGTTCTGGTGGTGAAAACTAGGGGGCGCTGGTGCTTTCTACAGTGTTGCTAAAGTTCTGGTGGTGAAAAAAATCAGAACTCTTAACAAAACTTTCAAAATTTCATTCTAAATGGCAGTTCCTAATTGGTTCTGTCCTAAAAACCACCAATAATGAAATAATAATAAAATTTTGAAAGTTTTGTTAGAGTTCTGAAATTTTCACCACTAGAACTGTAGAAGCAAAGCACCTGGACACTAGGACGCGGAGCAATGGCTTCAAACTACAGGAAAGGAGATTCTACCTGAACATTAGGAAGAACTTCCTGACTGTGAGAACTGTTCAGCAGTGGAACTCTCTACCCCGAAGTGTGGTAGAGGCTCCTCCTATGGAGGCTTTTAAACAGAGGCTGGATGGCCATCTGTTGGGAGTGCTTTGAACGCAATTGTCCTACTTCTTAGCAGAATGGGGTTGGACCGGATGGCCCACGAGGTCTCTTCCAACTCTATGATTCTATGTTCTATTGGTCATGGGGAATCTGTGTACCAAATTTGGTCCTGGTCTGTCATCCGTAAGGGTTGCAGTGATCTGTGGGGGCCAAATTGGGTGAAGTTACTGCAAATCCCATAATCTGTCATCCATCATCCAAACAAACCGCTGCAGGACGTAAAGTAGGTCACAGGGGATCTGTGTGCCAAGTTCTTCTCCGGTCTGTCATTTGTGGGGGTTACAGTAATCTCAGGAAGTGAGTGAAAGTACTGCAAGTCCCATTATCTGTGGTCCATCCTCTCCCAAACTACACCAGGACGTAAAGTGGGTCATGGGGGTCTGTGTGCCAAGTTTTGTCTGGGTCTGTCATTTGTGGGGGTCGCAGACTCGCAGTGGTCTGTGGAAGTGGCAGTCAATCAGAAAGCTGCCACATACACACATACAAAATTGAGTTGGGCGTTACTTTTGTAAGTGTTGTTTATGTTTTGATATTGTGTTGTTACTAATGTAGTTAGTAATTTTACTTGTGTTTTATGTGTTTATAGCACTAATATGTGCTGTTTTGTTAGCTGCCCTGGGTCCCTTTGGGAGATGGTGGCAGTATATAAATAAAATTATTATTTGAAACACAACAAGATGAGATCACCAGACAAGATCACTCTGCTGGCTGTTGTATTGGATCACACGTCAGACCCTTCTCAAGTGTCTAGGACTGCGTGATGTATCGGCGAATGATGCATACAGATCCCAGTAAGGTGGCCTTTTGCAGCTGGCAAATGGTAATTTTGTCAGCGCCAATTGTGTTTAAGTGCAGGCCAAGGTCTTTAGGCACTGCACCCAGTGTGCCGATCACTGCTGGGACCACCATTATTATCATCATCATCATCCATCATCATCATCATCATCCTGCATATCAGATATTTACATTTACATTTGCCTTGTCTTTTACTTGTATTTTGAAATGGTAATATGATTGGTAAAATAAATAAATTATTATTATTATTGTATTGTCGAAGGCTTTCATGGCCGGAATCACTGGGTTGCTGTAGGTTTTTTCGGGCTATATGGCCAATACAATTACTTGTATTGTATTTTGAAATGGTCATATGATTGGTAAAATAAATATATTGTTGTTATTATTATTATTATTATTATTATTATTATTATTATTATCCTGCATATCAGATATTTATATTTACATTTGCCTTGTCTTTTACTTGTATTGTATTTTGAAATGGTCATGTGATTGGTGAAATAAATAAATAAATAAATAAATAATTATTATTATATTACGATTCATAACAGTAGCAAAATTACAGTTATGAAGTAGCAACGAAAATAGTTTTATGGTTGGGAGTCACCACAACATGAGGAACTGCATTAAGGGGCTGTGGCATTAGGAAGGTTGAGAACCACTGATCTAAGTGAATGACCTGGAAACTAATGTAAGTGACGGGAGTAAATGGGAAAGAAATTACATTTTATTATGTTGTTTAGTATGGCTCTTAGAAGGCTTGATTTGTGTCGTATCTGTATGTTTTCCTGCCGCCACCACTATGCTATATGTAATCATGCTTGTTCTCTCCTCCTCCAGATCCTCATTGTCCAGACGGCACTCCAGGGCCCAGCGCCCGGCGTGGCCCCACACCAGATCCCTCGTGCCACAGAGGAACTGCTCCTGATCTACCTGCGTGTGGCCACTTGGAACCAGATCCTGGACCCATGGGTCTACATCCTCTTCCGGCGGGCCGTCCTGCGCCGCATCTACCCCAGCTTCAAACCCAGGCCCTCCATCGTCTCCTTGTACCCCGTGATCAATCCTTCCCTCCGCCGGAAATTCACCCAGGAGTCTGTGCTCCAGTAAGAGAGAGAGAGAAGAAAGTGGCTGCATTGAGAGCTAATGGTTACACATTGCTTTGCAATGGCAGCCGCAACCGGGAGGAGAGAATCATTGCATCATTGCGCCACCACGTTGTCCATCTCTAAAATAGCATGAGCGCTTTCAACCCTGTCGAGTCTCAGAAGAGTAGAGAAATGAGTACCACACACTCTCAGTTAACAGCAACTCTCAAAGTAAAATAATGTTAAATTAATATTGCACTCTCCATACTGTTTTTTATAGTCTAGCAAAGTCAACATAGGTGTGTATGTTTGTCTGATGTTGTGATTGAAGTGGCCCTCTGTGACATCAATACAGCCAGTGGCCTGAATCCAAATGTAATCGACTGTTTGGATGTGGCCAATGATTTGGATATGGTCCATGGTTCAAATTAGGTCAACAGTCTGGATATGGCTTATGGTTCAAATGTGGTCAACCGCCCTGATGTGGTTTACATCCTAATGTGACCTATTGTCCAGGTGTGGCCCATGATCCAGATGTGGCCTACATTCAAATGTGACCTATGTCCAGGTGTGGCCTGCATACAAATGCAACCTATTGTCCAGAAGTGGCCTGTGGTCCAGATGTGGCCGCCGCACAAATGTGACCTATTGTCTGGAGATAGCCTATGGTCCAGATGTGGCCTACATTCAAATGTGACCTATGTCCAGGTGTGACCTGCATACAAATGTGACCTATTGTCCAGAAGTGGCCCATGGTCCAGATGTGGCCCCCACACAAATGTGACCTATTGTCCGGACATAGCCCATGGTCCAGATGTGGCCTACATATGAATCTGGCCTATGTTTAAGAGGTGACCTGTGGTACAGATGTGGCTCATAGTCCAGGTGTGGCCTGCATACAAATGTGACCTGTTGTCAAGATGTGGTCCATGCTCCGGATGTGGGCTACATACGAATATGATATATTATCCAGATGTGACCATAGTCCAGATGTGGCCTGCATACAAATGTGACCTATTATCCAGAGGTAGTCTATGGTCCAGATGTGGTCTACATACAAATACGATTTATTATCCAGATGGCCCGGGAGTGGCCTACATACAAATGTGACCTATTGTCCAGAGGTGGACACTCCGAATGGGGGGAAAAAAAGGTAGATACAAAGCTTGGAAATGGGATATATTTTGGACTACAATTCCCCCCAATCCCCAATCCAGCATAGCTGCTAAGGCATAGAGACCATAATGCATGACTGTGGTGGCAATAAATACTATGAAGATTTTCTCGAATTTGCTATTTTTTTTCCAAGTTGAGAGTAAGGTTTCCCATTCGATTCCATCTCATTTGGGGTTTCTGGGCCTAGACCTGGTCCTTTCCATCTCATTTGGGGTTTCTGGGCCTAGACCTGGTCCTATAAATCTATTACACTATGTAATACAATTTTTGTTCCTGGGTTATCGATGTCATTTCCTAATTGGTTCTATCACAAAAACATGGGAAAGGTTTAACACTTTCAAATCAGGAACAGAATTTCCAAATTTTGTTACATGGCATTATGCATTCTTTGTCTCTCCTTTATTCCAGGCCGCATGAATGAAACAGGGCCATTTTTTAAAATAATGATTTATTATTCCAAAAACAAACCAGCTTGGGAGTGAGCGCCGAGAAGACGTCCCTTTCAATGGTTTCATAACCCTAAAATAGCCTCCTCTCCCCCTATGTTTTGCCACGCTATGAATCCAAGGGTGGGATGAATGGGGAATCGTAGAGGGAGAAACTAGGAATGCCAGGAAAGAGAAAAAGGGGGGTACATGAAGAAGGCGACCCTAAAGACACCCCGCCATCCATTCATTCCTTAGGGACACCTCGGGCCTCGCAGATGGCTGTCCAGACCTCGGCCACGAACTCTTCCGGGAAAGCAAACTCGCCCAGGAGCAAATCCAAGCCGCGGGCAAAGTCGTCAGGACTCTGCCGCTCTTTGGCCATCTCCACCATGGTGGATGCTGTGGAAAGCAGGCAAAGGGGGAGGAAAACAATTTGGCCACCGATCCACAGCCCAGATGTAGTCTAAGATGCAGATCTGGCCTATGGCCCAGATGTAGCCTGTCGTCTGCGTGTGGTCCATGGTCCGGATATGGCCCATAGTCAAGACATGTGCCATGGTCCAGATGTGGCCTACATTAGAATGTGACCCATTGTCCAGATGTGGTTCATGGTCTGCATGTGGGCCATAGTCAAGATGTGTGCCATGGTCCAGATATGGCCTATAGTCTGGATTTGGCCTACATTCAAATGTGCCCTATGGTTCAGATATGGGACCTGGTATGAATGTGACCCATGGTCCAAATATGGCCCATAATCTAGATGTGGCCCATGGTCCGAATGTGGATCATAATCAAGATGTGTGTCATGGTCTGGATATGGTCTATAGCAGGGGTCCTCAAACTTTTTAAACAGAGGGCCAGGTCACAGTCCCTCAAACTGTTGGAGGGCCGGATTATAATTTGAAAAAAATGAATGAATTCTTATGCACACTGCACATATCTTATTTGTGGTGCAAAAAACACTTAAAACAATACAATAATTAAAATGAAGAACAATTTAAACAAATATAAATTTTTTAGTATTTCAATGGGAAGTGTGGGTCTGCTTTTGGCTGATGAGATAGGATTGTTGTTGTTGTTGTGTGCTTTCAAGTCGTTTCAGACTTAGGTTGACCCTGAGCGAGGGCCGAGTAAATGACCTTGGAGGGCCATATCCGGCTCCCGGGCCTTAGTTTGAGGACCCCTGGTCTATAGTCTGGATGTGGGCTACATCCACATGTGATCCATAGTTCAGATGTGGCCTATAGTCTGGATGTGGCCTGTGGTTCAAATTAGGTCAATGGTCCGAATGTGGCCCATGGTTCAAAAATGGCCAATGGTCCAGATGTGGTCCATAGTTCAGGTGTGGCCTGTGATCTGGATGTGCCAACATACAAATGTAACCTATTGCCCAGATGTGGCTCATATTCCAGATAAGGCCTACAAACAAACATGTCTGAATGTCCAATTGTGGCCCATGGTCCGGATGTCGCTTACATACAAATATGACATATTGCCCAGATGTGGCCTGAGGCCTAGACGTAGCCTATCCCAATATGGACCAAGGTCTGGATGTGGCCCATAGTTCAGATGTGGCCATCATTTCTGCATAGGACACTACCCTATACATTTGGGGTTCTGTATCTCCCCAAACCCCACACCCAGTTAGCCGAATCATAAATTTTCAAAGCCAGGGTCTCAGGTAGTGTGTCTTTGAATGTGGAGGGACCCATTGATGTGCTATCCCTCCCGTCCCACGCTACTCACCCAGCTCCACGTCTCGGATGCCCATGTAACTCTCCAGCAGATCATCGACTTTCGCTGCCGCAGCTTCTTCAAACTCATTGGGCTGCAAGCAGGAGGAGAGCAGGTGAGAAAATAATCATAAAGAGGCTGGAATATGATTGCCCCGTCTCCTTGAGGCCTTACTCACCGCCTCTTCCAGGGTGGCGTCGCCCTTGGAACGCAGGCGCAGCGTCTCCCGCCCGCTGGAGAGACTCCCCTCGCCTGCACACTTGCTGCCACGGCTCCGTTGCCCAATCATGTCTGGAAATGGTCAGACAGAAAGGGAACAAAGCTCACTCACACCCATCCTTACAAGGCCCAATCCAGGTTTGTTGAAACTGTGTTTATTGAAACCTGTTTTGTTAAAACTGTATTAGTTGCACCCTGGTTAGTTGAATCATAGTTTGTTGAAACATAGTTTGTTGAAATATGGTTTGTTGAATCCCAGTTTATTGAAACCCAGTTTGTTGAAACCTAATATATTGAAACCTGGTTCACTGAAACCAAGTTTGTTGAAACCCAGTTTATTAAAACTGAATTAGTTGCTATCTGGTTTACTGAAACCTAGTCTGTTGAAACCTGGTTTACTGAAACCTAGTTTGTTGAAACCTAGTCTGTAGAACCTCAGTTTGTTGAAACCTAGTTAGCTGAAACCCGGTTTGCTGAAACCGAGTCTGTAGACCCCTGGTTTATTGAAACTAGTCTGTTGAAGCCTAGTTTGTTGAAACCTAGACTATTGAAACTTAGTCTGTAGAAACCCAGTTTGTTGAAACGCAGTTCTTGCCACAACTCACCGAAAGCCCGCTTGGGTTGGACAAGGCGCAAGGTGAAGGGCTGGGCCTTGGGCATCTCCCTCAGCATCTTGGCCACCTCGTAGTGGCGGCAGCCCACAATGGTTTGCTCATTGATGGCCTCGATGCTGTCCCCAACGCAAACGGAAGGGATGCGGTTGATAATGCTTCCCTCCTTGATGCGCTACGGAGGCAGGAGGAGAGAGACGGTCATCAAGGCTGCCCTGTGCTATATCCGTCCCTACGTAACCCCAAACAAACCTCCCCTTCCTGACCTTAATGAAGGCATATCCGGCCCCATTGTCGGTGATGGTCAATCCTAAGGCGTCCTCCGTCTTGGTTACCTCCACCTCCTTGGTCTCGCCCCGGACGTGGGCAAAGATGAAGTCCTCCAAGCCGATCTGGCCGCCTAGCAGCTTCTGCATCTCCACTTTGTGTGTGTTCAGGGTGCAAAACAGGATCTGGGTGCCAGAGATGACAAGCACAAGGCAGTGACTTGCCCGATACTGTTGCATATGTGTATGTGAGAGAGAGATAGTTCTATCATTGAACCATATCTTATTTAACTTTCTCAATATACACACACACACACATATGTATGGGAGATAGGTATAATTGGGTGAGACCCCCAAGGGCCATCCAGTTTAGCCCCATTCCGCTATGACATCATCTGATCCCTCCCAACAGATGGACATCCAGCAGTAGATCTGATCGGTTAGATATGCGAAAGTTAAATAGATATGTTCAATTGATATATATGTGTGTGTTTGTATGTGTATGATATGATATGTGTGTGTATAGATATAGATATATATCTATACACACATATATATGTGTGTAGATGTATGCATGTATATATATAACTGTATGTGGGTATATATATGTGTGTGTATGTGTATAGATAGTTATTACTCGTGTGTGTGTAGATAGATAGATAGATAAATAGATAGATTGATAGATAGATAGATAGATAGATAGATAGATAGATAGATAGATATGGCTGATATATCTGTGTGTGAGTGTATGTATATGGATGCGTGTGTATATATAGATAGATATGATTGATTTATATATATATATATATATATACACACACACACACACATACACTCACATATAGATAGATATGTATGTGTGTGTATATATGTATATATATATATATAGATAGATATAGATATATATGTGTGTGTATGTATATGTGTGTGTATATATATTATATGATATATATATATATACTCTTATATAGATATATAGATATGTGTATGCATATGTTTGTGTGTGTACGATCGAGATACACACACACACATATATATATAAACTAGCTGTACCCACCACGCATTACTGTGGCCAACCTTCCCTCTTTCTCTCCCTCTTTCCTTCTCTTCTTCCTTCCTTCTCTATCTCTTTCTTTCCTTCCCCCTTTTTCTTTCTCTTCTGCTTCTTCCTTCTCTCTTTCCTTCTTTCCTTCCCTCCCTCTTTCTCTACATCTTCCCCCCTTCCTTCGCTCCCTCTTTCCTTCCTTCTTTCCCTTTTTTTTCCTTCTCTCCTTCCTTCCTTCTCTAACTTTCCTTCCTTCCCCCTTTTTCTTTCCCTCCCTCTTTCTCTCCTTTCTTCCTTCTCTACCTCTTTCCTTCTTTCTCCCTCTCTTTGCTTCCATGCTTCCTTCTCCCTTTCCTTCTTTCTTTCCCTCCCTCCCTCTTTCTTTCTTTCTTTCTTTCCTCTTTCTTCCCTTTTTTCTGTATTGTCATTTAGCTTTTTGAGGCTTTTAAGTCGCTTCTGCTGTGTTTTTCATTGTTTTTTTTTTTTTTGAGTGGAGGACATAAATTGGGTTGTTAGGTGTCTTGTATCCAAATTTGGTGTCAATTCCTCCAGTGGGTTTTGAGTTATGTTCATCCCACCAACTAACATTACATTTTTATTTATATAGATATATATATATACTAGCTTTACCCGCCATGCGTTGCTGTGGCCAGCCTTCTCTCCCTCTTTCTCTGCTTCTTTCACTCCTTCCTTCATTCCGTTTTCTTCTTTCCTTTCTTCCTTCTCTACCTGTTTACTTCCTTAGCTGTTGGCTTTCATCCTTCCTTCTCCGTATTTCTTTCCTTCCCTGCGTCTTTCTCTCCTTCTTTCTCTTTTTCCTTTGCTGCGTCTTTCCTCACTTCCCTTTTTTCTTTCCTTCTCTCCTCCTTCCTTCTGTACCTCTTTCCTTCCTCCTCCCTTTTTCTTTTCCTTCCTCTTTGTCTCCTTTCTTCCCTCTCTTTCTCTTTCCTTCCTTCCTTCGCTCTGTAGTTCCATACTTCCTTTTCTTTCTTTCTTTTTCCCTCCCTTTCTCTTCTTCATTTGCTTTCTTTCCTCCCTTGCCTTTTCTTCTGTCCTTCCTTCCTTCCTTTCCTTCGTTCCTACACCTTCCCTTCCGCTCCTTTCTTCTTCCTTCCTTCCTTTTTCCCTTGTTTCCCATGCTCCTACTCTCTCTTTCTTCTTTCTTTCCTACCTTTCTTCCCTCATATACTTTCCCAACTTCTCCTTCCTTCCTTTTTTCATACACCTTCCCTTCCCTTTCCCTCGTTTTGTTTATTTCCTACCTTTCTTCTCTGATATACCTGTCTTCCTTCCTTCTTTCCTTCCTTCCTTCCTTCCTATTTACACCCCTTCCCCTCATTTCCATCCTTCCTTCCCTCACCCGCTTCCTTCCCTTGTTCCCGTTCCTCATCGTCCCCGATGGCGGCGTCCTTCCTTCCCTGGAGCCAGACGCCGGTGTGCGGGGGCGGCCTGGGCCTGGCGTGGCGGAGGCCGAAGGGCTGTCCTCGGGAGAGGCGGGTCGCGGCCTCTCCCGGGCGGGCCATGAAGGTGCGCAGCGGGGGCCTCCCGGGCAGCCTCCGCTGGTCCAGCCCCAGGAAGGCCACCAGCTGTCCGGGCTCGTGGAAGGTGGACAACCCTCCGCGCTGTACATGCACCAGGCCGGCCCCCAGCGCGCACAGGCGGGCGAGCCCCCACTCCCAGGCCGGGGCTTCAGCATCGGGAAGGGGCGGGGTGGCGATGGGAAGGGGCATGGCTTGCGGAGGGGGCATGGTGCGGCCATGTGCGCGCGCCAGGCGACTCGCGCCGGGACGCCTCTGCTCATGCTCCGTTTGGTTGTGTAATTGTGAGTTTGTTGTTATGTTTTTTAGAGTTGTGATGAGTGTTCTGCATACCTTGTGGTTTGAGGTATGCGTACGCCAAGTTTGGTGATTTTTCGTCCAGGGGTTTTCGCGTTTTGCGGCCCCTAATGACGCCCTTTTGGATTTTATATATATAGATGTAATGTTCGTTTGTGGGACTAACATATCTCAAAAACCATTGGACAGACTGACACCAAATTTGGACACTATACCCTAACAGACCAACAAGTGACCATCATTCATAAAACCTCCCCCAAAAACAGCGGAAAGGACTTAAAAACCCCAAAAAAGCTAAATGACGAAAAGCTAAATGATGATCCAGAAAAAGGGAAGGAAGAGGGAGGAAGGGAAGGGGAGAAAGTAAGAAAGAAAGAAAGGAAGGAAGGAAGGAAGGAAGGAAGGAAGGAAGGAAGGAAGCAAAGAGCGAAGGAAGGAAGGAAAGTGGTAGAGAAAGAAGAAAGGAGGGAAAGAGGAAGGAAAAGAAAAAGGGGGAAGGGAAGGAAGGAAGGAAGGAAGGAAGGAAGGAAGGAAGGAAGGAAGGAAGGAAGGAAGGAAAAGAAAAGGTGAGACAGAAAGGAAAGGGAGGAAAGTATGAGGAAAGAAGGAAGGAAAGAAAGATAGAAAGAAGAAAAAGAGATAAAGGAAGGAGAGAAAGAGGGAGAGAGGGAAAGAAAAGTGGGAAGGAAGGAAAAGAGGTAGAGAGGAAGGAAGAGAAGAAAAGAAGAAAGAAAAGGAAGGAAGGAAAGAGGGAGCAAAAAAAGGAGGGAAAGAAGGAGAGAAAAAGGGAGGGTAGGTTGGCCACAACAACGCATGGTAGGTACAGCTAGTGTGTGTGTATATATATGAAAGATAGGTAAATCATAGAACCTTAAAAAGTCATCCAGTCCAAGCCGCTTCAGCCAGGCAGGAAGGCACAATCTGATTCCTCCCGACAGATGGCCATCCAACCGTATATAGGTGGCCATAGTTATGTGAGACAAAGAGATGATACATAGATAGATACATAGATAACATTGAGGAAGATGTTGATTATAGATATATCATAAGAGTCGGGTGAGACCCCTCAAAGGCCATGTAGTCCAGCCTCATTCTGCCGGAACACCACCCGATCCCTCCCAACAGGTGGCCTTCCAGCTACAAATCTGATAGATATTTGAGAAAGTTAAATAGATATGATAGATATGGTTGATAGATGTGTCTGTGAGCGTGTGTGTGTATACAGAGATATATATAGGAGAGATAGGTATATCATAGTATCTTAGAGTTGGTGGGACCCCCCAAAGGCCATCTAATCCAGCCCCGTTCTGCCAGGACAGGACCTGATCCCGCTTGACAATTGACTGTACTGACTATAGATATATCATAAGAGTCGGGTGGCCATCCAACTGTAAATAGGTGACCATGGATATGAGATATAAAGAGATGATACATAGAAAGGATTGAGGAAGATATTGATAATTGATATTATCATAAGTCGGGTGAGACCAACAAAAGGCCCTCCAGCCACATATCTAAGAGATATCATTGAGAAAGTTAAATATAGTTGATATCTATCTATTTATACATATACATACATACATACATACATGAGAGATAGGTATATCATAGAATCTTAAGAGTTAGCTGGGACACACCCAAAGGTGATCTAGTCCAGTCCTTTCTGCGACACCATCCAATCCCGCCCGACAGATTCCCTCCAGCCATATAGGTGATAGATATCATTCATATGAGAGATAGAATTTTAAGAGTTGGGTGAGACCCCCCCAAAGGCCATCCAGTCCAACCTCATTCTGCCAGGACACCATCCGATCCCTCCCGACAGATGGCTTCTGCTTAAGAACCTAGAATCATAGAGTTGGAAGAGACCCCCAAAACTCATCTAGTCCATCCGATCTCTCCCAACAGAGCATTCTAATAGATATATCATAAGAGACTCCCAAAGGCCATCTAGTCCAACCTCATTCTTCCAGGACACCACCCGATCCCTTCCAACCTCTGCTTAAGAACCAAGAATCCTAGAATGGAAGAGACCGCCAAAGGCCATCGGATCAAGCCTCTTTTGCCAGGACACCATCCGATCCCTCCCAACAGATGGCCTGCCACTCTGACCTCACCTCAGTGGGAGAGATGCCGAAGACCTGGGCGATTTTGGCGTAGAGCTCCTTGACATTGGTGAAGCCCTCGATCTTGCCAGTGGGGCTGCCGTGGGCCAGCTGGGTGTGGAAGACCAGCCGTGGTCGGGGCCGGGGAGGAGGGTCGGCCCTCCCGGACTGCCCGGCCCGCCCGGCACCCGAAGCAGCGGGGGCCCCGTTCTCCATGGGCTGCGCTGCAGGGAACGAAGGGCTGGCCACACCGGACAATAACACAATTCCAGGCTGAATTATTGATGGCCCAGAGCTGCAGGTGGAAAGGGGCAGCAGGGAAGGCGATCCGGGCCTTGGCAGGCTTCCCAGAAACCCGATCCTTTGTAGGATAAGACTCCAGAGATAGGCCACTTATAAAGCTCCAGTGCTATAGAGTTCTGGGAGTTGTAGTTTCCCAAGGGCTTTCCCCAAGCTTGTTTGCCTTCTCTGCCAAAGAGGGGTTGTTGCTTCACATAACCGCAAGGGATGCTTAGTATTATTCTTTTATTATTATTATACAATTAATATAACTATTAATAGAATTATTATGTTATATTATTCATTATATTATTAAAATATAAAAATTAATATTTTTTTTAAATTATTATGCTCCATGTAGTCGTGCTGGCCACATGACCTTGGAGTCATCTACGGACAACACCGGGTCTTCGGCTTAGAAATGGAGATGAATACCAACCCCCAGAGTCGGACATGACTAGACTTAATATTAGGGAAAACCTTTACCTATTATTATTATTATTAGGATTATTATTATATTATACTTTTATTTTATGTTATTATTGAAATATAAACATTAAAAATAAGGTCAGCAGTTCGAATCTGAGGAGCGGGGTGAGCTCACACTGTTAGCCCCAGCTTCTGTTAACCTAGCAGTTCGAAAACATGCAAATGTGAGTAGATCACTAGTTACTGCTTGGGTGGAGTCCCCGGTGGCGCAGTGGGTTAAAGCACTGTGCCGGCACGACTGAAGACCGACAGGTCACAGGTTCGAATCCGGGGAGAGGCGGATGAGCTCCCTCTATTAGCTCCAGCTCCTCATGCGGGGACATGAGAGAAGCCTCCCACAAGGATGATAAAAACATCAAAAATCATCCAGGCGTCCCCTGGGCAACATCCTTGCAGACGGCCAATTCTCTCACAACAGGAGCGGTTGCTCCTGACACGACAAAAAAACAAACAAACAACTGCTTGGGTGGGAAAGTAACGGTGCCCCATGCAGTCATGCTGGCCACATCACCTTGGAGGCGTCTATGCACAACGCTGGCTCTTTGACTTTGAAATGGAGATGAGCACCACCACCCCAGAGTCAGACACAGTTAGACTTAATGTCAAGGGGAAACCTTTACCTTTTTATTATATTATGAATATTATTCATAATATTATTATTATATTTTTATGTTTCTATTATTTTATAAAATATAATTATTAATATAATATAAAATGATAATAAATAATGTTGCTGTTCATTCGTTCAGTCGTCTCCGACTCTTCGTGACCTCATGGACCAGCCCACGCCAGAGCTCCCTGTCGGCGGTCACCACCCCCAGCTCCTTCAAGGTCAGTCCAGTCACTTCAAGGATGCCATCCATCCATCTTGCCCTTGGTCGGCCTCTCTTCCTTTTACCTTCCACTTTCCCCAGCATAATTGTCTTCTCCAGGCTTTGCTGTCTCCTCATGATGTGGCCAAAGTACTTCAGATAATAAATAATATATAAATATAATTAATAATATAGTGTAAATCATGGTAATAAGATATAATAATATATAACATTATCTACTCATATGATATAAATGTCATATGAGTGGCGCAATGGGTTAAAACCTTGTGCTGGCAGAACTGAAGACTGACAGGTCGGAGGTTTCCCGGGAGAGCGCGGATGAGCTCCCTCTGTCAGTTCCAGCTCCCCATGTGGGGAGATGAGAGAGGCCTCCCACAAGGATGGTAAAACATCAAAAACACCTGTGTGTCCCCTGGGCAACGTCCTTGCAGACGGCCAATTCTCTCACACCTGAAGCAACTTGCAGTTTCTCAAGTTGCTCCTGACACACAAAAAATTATATTATTATTTTATTTTATTATTAAAATATAAAAATTAAAAAATTATTATTATTATTATTATTATTATTATTAGCAGAGCCTGGATGGTCATCTGCCTAGCAAAATAGGGTTGGACTGGATGACCCTTAGGATCCCTTCTAACTATAGCAGTAGTTGTTTCTATAGCCCTTTCTCCATGAGCCCTGCAGGCTCTGTTTAATAATAATAATAATATTTATTTATTTATTTATTTATTAACCATATTTATATACCTCCTTTCTTAGCCCGAGGGCAACTCAGTAATAGTAATAATAATGATGATAATAGAAATATAAAAAGGTAAAGGTAGTCCCCTGACATTAAGTCCAGTCATATCCGACTCTGGGATGTGGTGCTCATCTCCATTTCTAAGCCGAAGAGCCAGCGTTGTCCGTAGACACCTCCAAGGTCATGTGGCCAGCATGACTGCATGGAGCGTCGTTACCTTCCCGCCGGAGCAGTACCTATTGATCTACTCACATTTGCATGTTTTCGAACTGCTAGGTTGGCAGAAGCTAGGGCTGACAGCGGAAGCTCACGCCGCTCCCTGGAATCGAAGCTGCGACCTTTCGATCAACAAGCTCAGCAGCTCAGTGCTTTAACCCACTGCGCCACCGGGGGCTCCCAATAGAAATATATATAATAATAATAGAACGATAGATAATAATGATAATAAAATTATGGAATCCTAGACTTGGAAGGGACTGACCACAAGGGTCACCCCATGAAGACACAATCTAATCCCTCCCGACAGATGGCCATCCAGGCTCTTAATATTATTATTATTATTATTAATAATAATAATAATAATAGAACTATAGATAATAATAGCACAATAGATTGTGATAATAATAGTAATAATAACATAGGATCCTAGACTTGGTAGGGACCCCCAAAGGCCATCCAATCCAACCCTATTCTCTAGACAGGAAGACACCATCTAATCCCTTCCAGCAGATGACCACCCTGCCTCTCATAGAATCCTAGAGTTGGAAGGGTCATCCAATCCAATCTCATTCTCCAATGAAGACACAGTCCAATCCCTCCCGACAGATAGCCAGGCTCTGCTTAATAATAATAATAATAATAATAATAATAATAATAATAATAATAGAATCTTAAAGTTGGAAGGGGACCCCAAAAGCCATCCAGTCCAACCCCTTTCTGCCATAAAGGAAAAGCACCATCAATAATAATAATATGGAATCCTAGACTTGGAAGGGATCCATAATAATCATAATAGTAATAGTAATAATAAAGATGCTCTTTAGGACAGGTAAAAATCAAGAAAACAATAGCTGAAGTTGGGATCCTGCCATCGCCCTTTTAATTCCATCCATTACATACATATATGAAAAAAACAACTTCAGCTCCTTTCACGATTGGCTGCCGCTCCACCCAATCCTCGCGCCCCTTTCCCATGATGCGGTATCTTATAGGAGAAAGGACAACAGCCTATCAGAGCTGGGTGGGGGCCGCTCTGCACCAATCGGCGCCCGCAGAACGAGGGTCATTTGCATAAGGAACCCGAAGGGAGGGGGAAGGGAGCGGGGCTTCTCTTGGGAAAGAGAGAGAAAAGAACAAGAGGAAGGCAGCAGAAAAGTTTGGATCTATTCTTTTGATATTCTCGTTAATGATTTCTTAAAGCTGGGATCTTGCAATACAATGAAGGGAGAGGGACCTGGGAGCAAAAATATTATTATTATTATTTGCAGGAATATATTATTATTATTATTGGCAAGGATATATTATTATAATTTGCTGTTATACATTATTATTATATTATTATTTGCAGGGATTTATTATTATTTGCTGGGATGTATTATTATTATTATTATTATTATTATTATTTGCTAGGCTATTGGGTTCCATAAGGGGGAGATTAAGGAACACAATATTATTATTATTATTATTATTTTCTGGGATATTGGGTTCGATAACAAAGAGACTGAGAAATAAAATATTGTTATTAATATTATTTGCAGGGATATATTATTATCATTTGCTGGTATATTGAGTTTAAGGAGGATATTAGGGAGCAAAATATTATTTTTTTGTAGGGATATATAATTATTCTTTTCTAGGATACTGGATTAAATAAGAAGGAGATTGGGGAGCAAAATATTATTATTTTGTATTATATTGTGAACTGCTTTGGGTCCATTAGGGATAAAAGTGGGATAAAAATTAAAGTATATTATTATTATCATCATCATTTGCAGGTTACCTCCATTGATTGCAAACAGAGCCATGGCACACAGTGCGAAACCCACCGGATTCATGTGAGTATTGAATATCTTACAAATCATTGTTATCATTACTACGTATTATTATCTGGTATATTGGGTTCAATGGACAGAGAGATCTAGGACTCAAATTGTCATTATGATTATTGTTATTATTTGCTTCCTAGATCTGGGACTATTATTCTATTATTATTATTATTATTATTTGCTTCCTAGATGTAGTATTTTGAAAAATCATGAGTTATAGATATATTATATCTATCTATGTATCTATTTATCTATGTATCTAATCATTTTATACGTGTATATTATAATATATATATTTTATAAAATACTAGCTTGGGTACCCAGCAGTGCCTGGATTATTTGAAAAAGGCATTGTTTGTTTTGGGGTGTTAGGAAATATCATTTAGTTAATTAGTAACACTATTTATTAGGAAAAAGCCAGAATGTGATTTTGTTTTTCATGAATGCTCCCATGAGAAAATACATAATGATGTGGGTGAACTACAATTCCCAGAATCGTCGATCAATCCTCCCCATACCAGGGCTGTATGCATAGTTGGCCATGTTTGTTTGTTTGTTTATTGATTTATTTACTATGCTTCTATACCACCATTCTCAGCCTGAGGGCGACTCATGGCGGTTTACAAAATGGCACAATTTGATGCCCACAACAGTACAAAAATAATTTAAACATTAAAAACATTTAACACAGGTAACAATTCATTACAATTAACATCAGTAACACAATAAAAACCATGTTGGGTCTGTGTGCCAAGTTTGGTCAAGATTTGTCGTCGGCTGGGTTCAGTGCTCATTGGATAAGGGTAAACTACAACTCCTATATGCCTGGCAGTATTTACAGTTGGCCATTTTGAGTCTGTGTTCCAAGTGTGGTCCAGATCCATCATCAGCTGGGTTGAGTGCTCTTGGGATGTCAGTGAACTACAACTACCAAAATCAAGGTCAATTTCCCCAAACCCCTGCAGTATGTTCAATTGGTTATGGGGCTTCCTTGTGCCAAGTTTGGTCTTGGTCCATTGTCGGTGGGAGCCATAGTTTCTCTGGATGCAGGTAAAGTACAACTCCCATATTCCAAGGGCAATGACCCCCCAAACTCTGCCTGTATTTACAATTGGGGCTGTTCGCTCTGTGTGCCAAGTTTGGTCCAGATCTGTCATTGGTGGGGTTCAGAGTACTCTGGGTGCAGGGTGAACTTCAACTCCCACGCAGGTGGGTCGGTCCTCCACAAACACCTCCAGTATGTTTTGTTGGTCACCAGAGTTCTGTGTGCCATGTTTGGTCCAGATCCGTCAATGATGCACCTGGACCACAAACTCCCCATACCAGGGCTGTATGCATAGTTGGCCATGTTTGTTTGTTTGTTTATTGATTTATTTACTATGCTTCTATACCACCATTCTCAGCCTGAGGGCACACAAACTCCCTATGACGCACTTTATGTCCTGGTGATGGGTAGGGGAGGATGGACCACAAGATTTGCAGTACCTTCAGCCACTTCCACAGACCACTGCGACCCCCACAAATGACAGACCTGGACCAATCTTGGAACACAAAACCCCATGACCAACAGAACATACTGAAGGGGTTTATGGGGGGGATCAACCTATCCATGTGGGAGTTGTAGCTCATCCTGCATCCAGAGCACTCTGAACTGTACCAATGATAGTTCTCTGAACCGCACCAATGGCTGAATATAAATACATATTACTATTTATTTATTACTAGCCGTTCCCTGCCACGCGTTGCTGTGGCCCAGTCTGGTGGTCTGGAAAATAAAATAGTGAGAAAGTTTTGGTTTCTAATATATGTAATGTCTTGATGCTTGTGGGTAAACAGTATTTCTTGTTGTTTCTTTGTCAGTGTTGATGTGGAGATTGTCTGGTTTGCCTACTCTGGAACATGCAACATATCATTGTCCTTCTTTAGGGGTCCCTTTCAAATCTATGATACTATATCTCTCTGTGTGTGAGAATCATATATATCTAACTATATCTATGGCTGGATGGCTCTTTGTCAGGAGGGATTTGATTACATTTTCTTGCCCTGGTGAAGGGAGTTGGACTGGATGACCTTGAATTATTTTCTGTTGGTAATGGGGGTTCTATGTGGGAAGTTTGCCCCAGTTCTGTCATTCGTAGGGTTCAGAATGCTTTTTGTTTGTAGGTGAACTATAAATCCCAGTAACTACAACTCCCAAATGTCAACGTCTATTTTCCCCAAACTCCATGTTCGTATTTGGGTATATGGAACATTAGTGCCAAGTTTGGTCCAGATCCATCATTGTTTGAGTCCACAGTGCTCTCTGATGTAGGTGAACTACAACTCCCAAACTCAAGGTCAATGCCCACCAAACCCTTCTAGTTTTTTCTGTTGGTCATGGGAGTCCTGTATGCCATGTTTGATTCAATTCCATCACTGGTGGAGTTCAGAATGCTCTTTGACTGTAGGTGAACTATAAATCCCAGTAACTACAACTCCCAAATGTCAAGGTCTATTTCCCCCAAATTCCATCTGTGTTCATATTTGGGCATATGGAATATTCGTGCCAAGTTTGGTCCAGATCTATCATTGTTTGAGTCCACAGTGCTCTCTGGAAGTGGGTGAACTACAACTCCCAAACTCAAGGTCAATGTCCACCAAACCCTTCTTGTGTTTTCTGTTGGTCATGGGAGTCCTGTATGCCTTGTTTGGTTCAATTCCATCATTGGTGGAGTTCAGAATGCTCTTTGATTGTAGGTGAACTACAAATCCCAGCAACTACAACTCCCAAATGACAAAATCAATTTTTTTGAGTGAAAGACATACATTCCCACAAACGAACCTTACATTTTTATTTATATAGAAGATATTTATATCCTGCTTTTGAATTGTGCCCTGTAGCAAACTGGCAGCCAGTGGAGTTGACGTAACAGAAGGGTTGTATGCTCCCAGAACGCCACTTCAGTGAGCAATCTGGCTGCCACCTGTTGGACCATTTGATACTTCCGAACAGTCTCTTTAAGGGCAACCCCAAGTAAAATGCATTGCAGTAGTCTATACGGGATGTAACCAGAGCATTAACTACCATGGCCAAGTCAGACTTATTATTATTATTATTATTATTATTATTATTATTATTATTTTCTCTCTCTCTCTCTCTCTCTCTCTCTCTCTCTCTATATATATATATATATATATATACACACACACACACACACACACACATACATACATACATACACACATGTAATAATAATAATAATCCCTGTGTGTGTGTGTGTGTGTGTGTGTGTGTGTGTGTATGTATATATAAAACTAGATACTCCCAATTGCTTCTTGGAAGAGATAGACTTTGGCCGAGTTGCAGAATCCAGGTTCTAGAGGTTCTAGATGCCTTTTGAATCCAGAACGAAACATATTAGGAAACTCATTCTCCCTTTCAGGGCTGGTGACAGCCAGCCGGGCGGCTTCCTGGTGTCCATCAAGCAGGAGAAAGGGGAGAAGCCACGCACAGAGGAAGAGGTGAGTCTTTGAGCATGTACAGAGAGTTTGCATTATTAATAATGATTAAGCTTGCCACCTAGGCTTCCACTTTCCTCTTTTGCAGCCGGCGAAGAAGCGGGGCTGGCCCAAAGGCAAGAAGCGGAAGAAGGTCCTCCCCAATGGGCCGAAAGCCCCCGTGACAGGTTATGTCCGCTTCCTGAATGAGAGGCGGGAGCAGATCCGCACGCAGCGCCCGGACCTGCCCTTCCCCGAAATCACCAAGATGCTGGGAGCTGAATGGAGCAAGCTGCAGCCAACCGATAAGCAGGTCAGGGGGCTTCCCCGTTGTTTATTTATTTTAAAAAATCTTATTTATATTATTATTATTAAATAATAGTTATTACTAAAAACATATAATTTTAATAATTAATTACATTATTATTAAATAATATATATTATTTAATAATTGAATATTTTAATAATTAATTTTATTCATATTATATTTAATATAACATTATTCATACTATTTATATTATTAAATAATTGATATATAATATTTTAATAATTCATTTTCTTTCATTATATAATTATTATAATATTTTAATATATTATAAAAATTATCATTCATATTATTTACATTATTATTATTAAATAATTGATATATATTTTAAAGTAAGCTGCAGCCAACCGATGATTATAATGTAGTATAATTATTATATAAATAAAAATATTGCATTTATGATTAGCAAATAGTTAATATAATATTTTAATATAATATTATAAAATGCTATTTGTTATATAAATAATATTGTATTTATACAATTATGATAAATGCAAGAGTATTTGATAATATATACCATATTATTACATTATATTTGATATTCTATAATTTTAATATTGTATAATTATTAGATAAACACTATGGTATTTATATTATTATCATTGATAATTCATACATTGTTAATTCATATTATAATATTTATTTATTTTTCCAGCGCTACCTGGATGAAGCTGAGCGTGAGAAGCAGCAATACATGAAAGAGCTGCGGGAATATCAGCAGTCGGAAGCTTATAAGATGTGCGCCGAGAAGATGCAGGAAAAGAAGATCAAGAAAGGTACAGGGTTTTAATAATAATAATAAATATAAAGTACTAAATAATCATAATATAAATAATACTAGAAAATAATAATATAAAGTACTATAATATGATTATATATATATATATGGATAGATAATACTATAAAGTAATAATAATATAAAGTACTATAATCATAATACTCATCATAACTTTATTCTTATAACCCGCCACCATCTCCCCGAAGGGACTCGGGGCGGCTTACAGATGGCACAATAAAATAAAACACATGCGCATATAAAAACATCAACTCAATCAAACTGCAGCCCTCTACCCATGGCAGTAAGTTGCTGTAAACATGGCCAAGCTGTAAACAGTAGGACTGAAATAAGTGCAAGCTGCAGTAATGGAGAGAGGACATGGGATAAAGAGCAAGGATGGGCGACTACTGCGCAGAACAACTAGGGTCTGAACGTTCTCAAAAGCTTGTTTGAAGAACCACGTCTTCAGATCCTTACAGAAGGAGGACAGTGTGGGGACCTGCCTAATCTCCCTGGGAAGGGAGTCCCAAAGTCATGGGGACCACCACCAAGAAGGTCCTCTCCGTCCTCATCAGCCTCGCTTGAGACGGAGGCAGGACCGAGAGGAGGAACTCCCTGGCAGATCTTAAGAGCCCACGTCGGTTCGTAGGAGATGCGATCACGAAGGTTGGCAGGACCCGAGTTATCTAGGGCTTTATAGGTAACTAGCCGCCCTCTGCCATGCGTTGCTGTGGCCCAGTCTGGTGATTTGGAAAAGTAAAAGAGGGCTTTGGTTATGTTTTCTTGCCCTGATGAAGGGAGTTGGACTGGATGGCTTTAAGGCAGCATTTCTCTTCCTGGGGGTCGGGACCCCAGGGGGTGTTGCAGGGGGGGAGGGGTGTCAGAAGGGTCGTCAGAGACCAACAGAAAACACAGTATTTTGTGTTGGTCATGGGGGTTCTGTGTAGAAAGTTTGGTCCAATTCTGTCATTGGTGGGGTTCAGAATGCTCTTTGATTGTGGGTGAACTATAAATCCCAGATGTCAAGGTCTATTTCCCCCAAACTCCATCTGTGTTCATATTTGGGCATATGGAGTATTGCCAATTTTTGTCTAGATCCTTCATTGTTTGAGTCCACAGTGCTCTCTGGGTGTAGGTAAACTATAACTCCAAAACTCAAGGTCAGTGCCCACCAAACCCTTCCAGTATTTTCTATTGGTCATGGGAGTTCTGTGTGCCAAGTTTGGTTCAATTCCATCGTTGGTGGAGTTCAGAATGCTCTTTGATTGTAGGTGAACTATAAATCCCAGCAACTACAACTCCCAAATGACAAAATCCATTTTCTTTGAGTGATGGTCACTCCTTGGGTTAGTAGTTGTCTTGTGGCCAAATTTGGTGGCCATTCATCCAGTGGTTTTAGAGTTCTGTTAATCCCACAAACGAATATTACATTTTTATTTATACAGATATCCTGCACTTTAAATTCAGACCAAAAACTTATCAGCAGCCAAAGGAGCTGCTTTAATGGAGCCGTTGTGTGCTCCCTATAGCTGGCCCCAGTTAGTAGCCTGGCTACCAATCTTTGCACCAGTTGCAGTTTCTGTGCCGTCTCCAGAGGCAGCTCCACATAGAGTGTGTTGCAGTAGTCCACTCTAGATGTAACCAAGGCATGGGCCACCGTAGCCAGGGCAGGCGTTTTGAGATATGGTCACAGCTGGCGCACAAGATTTAACTGTGCAAAGGTCCTCCCGGCCACCACCGACACTGAACTTCCAGTTTCACTGCTGAGTTCAGGAGGACTCCCAGACTGCGGACCTGTGTCCTCGGGGAGTGTGACCCCTTCTGTCGAGCACAGGTTGTCACTCTATCCCCCATCAGCCTCACGACTGACCAGGAGGACCTCTGTCTTGTCGGGATTCAGTCTCAGCTTGTTGGCCCTCATCCAGTCCACCACAGCTGGCAGGCACTGGTCCAAGATCCAGGGGGCTTCCTTGGATTTCGGTGGAAATGAGTAGAGTTGAGTGTCATCTGCGTACAGATGACACAGAACTCCAAAACTCCAGATGACCTCATCCAGTGGTTTCATGTAGATACTGAAAAGCATGGGGGATAGAATGGAACCTTGTGGGACCCCACAGGTCAAAGGCCAGGGTCTTCTAGCTTCACCAACTGGGTACGATTCTCCAGGAAGGAGCAGAGCCACTGCAAAGCAATGCCCCCAAGACCCATTCCAGAGAGACTCCCCAGAAGGAGATCGATGGTAAGCTGCTGAGATGTCCAAGAGAACCAACAAGGACACACTCCCCCTGTCTAGCTCACTGCAGAGGTCATCCACCAAGGCAACCAAAGCCGTCTCTGTTCCGTGACAAGGCCTAAAGCCAGATAGCAACAGATCAAGACAATCATAATATAATAAATAATGAGATCGCTAATAATATAAAATAGTAATAATATAAAATACTATAATAATAAATAATGAGATAGATAATACTATAAAATAATAATAATACGAAGTACTATAATAATGTTAATATATATAATGAGATAGATAATACTCTAATAATAATATAAAGTACTGTAATAAAAATAATAACATAAGTAAATATATAGTTATAATACTTATAATTTATTCCAGAGGATGCTGGACCCGGAGGCTTGAATACTTTACTGAATGGATATAAGGTAATAAACATGATTTTGGCTTTTGTTTTTAGTTTGGTTCAATCTGACACTGTTATTTAATTTTATTATTTTACAAATTATGATGATGATGATGATGTTTAAATTTATCTGAAAAAAGCCTAAGTTTCAAGACTAATCCATTTGGGACTGACTGGTATCTTTTAATTATGTCAGAGATAGTCGTTTTCTTTGTGATTTTCTGCTATTGCTGCCTATTTGTTTTATCGGAGGAATTGATATTATTATTATTACTCTTTTTTCCAATTAGACCGGTGAAGGTGGCAGTGACGGCTTCTCCTCTTTCGATGTCCCCATTTTTACAGAGGAATTCTTGGACCAGAACAAAGGTATGGAATGGACCCCCAAATGCCATCTAGTCCAACCCCAATACAATTATTATTATTATTATTATTATTATTATTATTATTATTATAAAATAAAACCCCTAGAGGGGCCATAATATGGTATAATATTATACTATTATAATAATATAATATGGTATAACATAATAATAATATACAATAGAATATGGTATAATAAAATAATAATGTAATAAAACATTAGAGCAATATAATAATAATTTTATATAATAATAATAATAATTTTTATTCTTATATCCCACCACCATCTTACATGGGGAACAGATCCAGCATAAACAAGGGTTACAAAGTAACAGACTTAAAACATATAACAATAAAATATAATGAAAAACAATAAAACCAAAACAGTAAAAACATCTTTAAAAGACTTCAACTAATATCGTATAATTATAATAATAATATAATAATAATAATGTAATAATATTCTAATTACAATATAATATGGTATAATAATATAATTTTATAATAATATAATATGGTATAATATAAAATATTGTAATAATGCAATATAATATGATATAATAAATTAATCATAATAAAATATTAGAATATAACAGTAAAATAATATTATAATTACAATATGGTATAATAATAACTTTTTTTCGTGTCAGGAGCAACTTGAGAAACTTGAAGTCCCTTCTGGTGTGAGAGAAGTGGATGTCTGCAAAGACGTTACCCAAATATTTGATGATTTACCATCCTTGTAGGAGGCTTCTCTCATGCTGACAAAGGGAGCTCAACCCGCTCTCCCTGGATTCGAACCACTGACCTATTGGTCAGCAGTCTTGCCAGCACAAGGGTTTAACCCATTGCACCACCGGGGCCTCAATATAATATGAAATAATATAATTATAATATAATATAATATTTTATATTATATCCTCTAGAGGGGCCATAATATGGTATAATTATATAATATGATATAATAATATTATAGTAATACAATATAATATGGTAAAATAATAATAATATGATATAATAATAATACAATATAATGTGGTAAAGTAAAATATTTAAAAAATATAATATTATAATACAATATAATGGTATAATAATAATAATGTAACTATAATGACATATAATAAGACTCCTAGAGGGGGCCATCCAGTCCAACCTTCCTTCTGCTATAAAAGAAGGCACAATCCGATCCTTCCCGACAGATGGCCTTCCAATCTGTGCTTCATAATAATAATACTAACAATAACAATAATAGTAATGTTTTAATGCATGTTCACTATTACAGGAGTTTTAGGACAGTGTCTATTTGTATATTTTCTTGTTTTTTGTCTTTTACTGTTGATATGGTCAGTGGACTAATAAATAAACTTTACAATAATAATAATAATAATAATAATATCAAAGACTCCTAGAGGGGCTCCTCCTTCTGCTGTAAAGGAAGGCACAATCAGATCCCTCCTGACAGATGGACATCCAGCCATAAAACACACACACACAGATAGGTATATCATAGAATCTTATAGAGTTGCGTGGGATCACTGAAGGCCATCCAGTCCATCCCCCTTGTGCTGTAAAGGAAGGCACAATCTAATCCCTCCCGACAGATGGCCATCCAGCTTCTCTTCTGTCTCTCTCTGCAGCCCGGGAGGCGGAGCTGCGGCGCCTGCGGAAGGCGAACACAGAGTTTGAGGAGCAGAACGCGCTGCTGGAGCGCCACACACAGAGCATGAGCTGCGCCAAGGAGCGGCTGGAGCAGGAGCTGGCAGCCGAGGAAAGGCAGGCGCGGGACCTCCAGGCGCAGCTCCAGGCCGTGCGGCAGGCCCTGGCACGCAGCTTTGCCAGCCTGCCCCTCCCAGGTACACAGGAGAAGGAACACACTCCTCCCTCCCTCCTTTCCTTTCTTCTTTCCTCCCTTCTTTCTTTGGTCCAGCTCCATCAAGCCACGGAGGAGCCTTGTGTATCAAACATACATACATACATACATACTTTTATAAAGTTAATAATGGATCTTTCCACCCCATTACAGGAACTGGGGAGACCCCAACCCTTAACACCTTGGATTTCTATATGGCCAAGCTCCACAGTGCTATTGAAAGCAACCCAGTTCAACACGAGCGGCTGGTGGTCCGGGTGAAAGAGATTCTGTCCCGCATTGCAAGGTTGTTGTGTGTATAGATTATATTGTGTATATTTTAAAATTTCTATGTTTCATTCTATTGGGTTTATTATTCTTAAATATTTGTCATATTTATATTATTATATTATTATTTAATCTTTGTAGCATTTATATTATATTGTGTAAATTATACAATAATATAATAAATATAAAATAATAAAAATATAATATAGAAAACACAGTTGTTGTGCTTGTGTTATTATACATTAATATAATATAATAAATATAAAATAATAGTAAAATATAATAATAATTGTTGCATTATTATAAAATACAATGATATAATAAATATAAATTAATAGTAATAAAATATAATAATAGAAACCACAGTTATTGTTTTTATATTATTATACAATAATCAAATATAATTATAATCATAATTGTTATACTATTATCATACAATACAATGATATACGTAATAAATATAAAGTAATAATAAAATATAATAATAACAACAATAATAATAGAGACTACAGTTGTACTCATATTATATAATAATATAGGTAAAGATAAACAGTAAGGTAAAGGTTTCCCCTGACATTAAGTCCAGTCGTGTCCAACTCTGGGGGGTTTGGTGCTCATCTCCATTTCTAAGACAAAGAGCCGGCGTTGTCCATAGACACCTGCAAGGTCATGTGGCCAGCATGACTGACTGCATGGAGCGCTGTTATCTTTCTGCCGGAGTGGTACCTATTGATCTACTCACATTTGCATGTTTTCAAACTGCTAGGTTGGCAGGAGCTGTGGCTGACAGCGGGGGCTCATGCCGCTCCCTGGATTTGATCCTGCAACCTTTTGATCAGCAAGTTCAGCAGCTCAGCGGTTTAACCCACTGCACCACCAGGGGCTCCATATAATAAATACAGAATAATAATAATAAAATATAATAATTGTTATATGATTATAATAAAATACAATAATATAGTAAAAATAAAATAATAAAATACAATAATAGAGACCACAGTTGTTGTTGTTATATATACAATAATATAATATAATAAATATAAAATAATAATAATAATATAGACCACAGTTGTTCCTATATTATATAATAATATAATAAACATAAAATAATAATAATGTTCTAGTATTATACAATAATAATATATAATAATAGGCTGTAGTTGTTCTTATATTCTACAATAATGTAATATAATAATGGGCACAAATCCTTGTATTGCAGTGAATCTAATGCTGCTTTTCTTCTCTTTACAGTGAACATCTATGAACGGATTCATTCTATGCTATCCAGACTCGCTTCTCCTCGCCTTTTAGATTTATTTGCCTTCATTATCAATCAATACAGAACGTGAATTATATATCAATAGGCAGAGATCAATGTATTTATTAGCACTCTTTTCTTAAAGAAACTTTTCCTTTTCAATTAAAAAAATATTCCTGTTTAATGTAGTTACAGCTTTCTTTCTCATCAACTTTCCTGTGCAATGTATGGAGGGGGAGATCTATATATACATATATATATATTAGCAATTTAATAAGAAGTAGTTCTATTTCTTCTATGTCTTTTCTAAAATAAAGGGAAAATATATAAATCTCACCTGGCTGTTTTTTTTTTATTTTATTTGGTGGGAAAGATGGGATGTTATTATTGTTATAATTTTCCTTATTTTTTATTATTTCATTATTATTCTCATTATTTTATTATCTTCATTATTATTTTAATTATTAATTTTGTTATTATTATTTCCATTATTATTAATTATTATTTTCCTTACTATTCTCATTATTACTGTTTGATTATTTTATGGTCGTTCCCATTATTTATTTCCATCATTATTATTATCATTGCTATCATTGCATGGTGATCCACGCTTTGGTTACATCCCGTTTAGATTACTGCAACGCTCTCTACGTGGGGTTGCCTATGAAGACTGCCCGGAAGCTCCAACTAGTCCAACGTGCGGCAGCCAGAATGCTAACACGAGCGGGTACAGGGAGCATACTACTCCTCTGTTGCGCCAGCTCCACTGGCTGCCAATTAGCTTCCGAGCACAATTCAAAGTGCTGGTGTTAACCTATAAGCCCTAAACGACTCCGGCCCAGTTTACCTGTCCAAACGTATTCTCCCCTATGAACCATCTAGGTGTTAAGATCGTCTGGAGGGGCCCTGCTCTCGGTCCCACCGGCCTCTCAGGCGCGTCTGGTGGGGACGAGGGACAGGGCCTTCTCGGTGGTGGCCCCTCGACTCTGGAACTCTCTCCCACTGGAGATCGGAACTGCCCCCTCCATTCTGTTGTTCAGAAAACAGGTGAAAACCTGGCTATGGGGTTTGGCTTTCGACGAGTGAATCAATATTTCTGTGATCGGATAGATGACGATGAATGATGGACAATGAATTCACTATGACGACTGACCATTGTTATTATGTGATTGTATTTTGCTGTTTTAACGTTTTAATTGAATATGTTATACAATGTTTTTAATGATTGTTTTGTGATTTTATTGTTGGAAACCGGCCCGAGTCCCCCGATAGAGGGGAGAAGACAAAATTGCTAAATAAAATAAAATAAATAATATTTTCATTATTATTTAAATTATTTTTATTATTTTATTTTATTGTCATTATTTTCATTATTATTGGGGTCATTATTATTATTTTCATTATTATGTTCTCTATTATTTTCATTGTTTTCATGATTATTTTATCGTTATTAATTATTAGCAGTATTGTTTCCATTACTATTATTTTATCATTATTAATTATTAGCAGTATTATTTCCATTACTATTATTTTATCATTATTAATTATTAGCAGTATTATTTCCATTACTATTATTTTATCATTATTAATTATTAGCAGTATTGTTTTCATTACTATTATTTTATCATTATTAATTATTAGCAGTATTATTTCCATTACTATTATTTTCATTCATAAGTCATGATTATTTTGTTATTCACATTATTATTATTCACATTATTGATATTATTTCCATTATTACTTTATCATTATTATTTATATTATCTTAATTATTATTGTCATTGTCATTATTATTTTATTTTTGTTTTTATTCTCATGGTTATTTATTATTTTATTATTATCCTCATTATTATTATTTCCATTGTTATTTTATTTTCTTCATTAATATGTCCATTATTTTTATCATTATTATTTTCATTATCTGCATTATTATCCTCATTATCTTCAATATTTTTTTCTTATTTATTTTTGTTATTATTGTCATTGTTTTTATTTTCATTATTTCCATTATTATCATTTCCATTATTATTATTTCCATTATTAGAATTATTATTTTGTTATTGAATTTACTATACATCCCTTTGTAATGTATACGGATCATACAATTTTTCAGAGTGCTTTCTTTATTCGTTCAGTCATTCCAACTCTTCATGACCTCATGGACCAGCCCATGCTAGAGCTCCCTGTGGACCATTACCACCCTCAGCTCCTTCAAGATCAAGCCAGTCACTTCAAGGATACCATCCATCTGTCTTGCCCTTGGTCGGGTCCTCTTCCTTCTTCCTTCCACTTTCCCCAGCATCATTGTCTTCTCCAAGCTTTCCTGTCTTCTCATTATGTGGTCAAAGTACTTCATCTTTGCCTTTAATATCCCTTTCTCCAGTGAGCAGCCGGGTTTTATTTCCTGGAGGATGGACTGGTTGGATCTTCTCGCAGTCCAAGGCACTCTCAGAACTTTCCTCCAGCACACAGCTCAAAAGCATCTATCTTCCTTCGCTCAGCCTTCCCTAAGGTCCAGCTCTCACATCCGTAGGTTACTACAGGGAATACCATGGCTTTGACTAGGCGGATCTTTGTTGCCAGTGTGATGTCTCTACTATTTACTATTTTATCGAGATTGGACATTGCTCTCCTCCCAAGAAGTAAGCGTCTTCTGATATCCTGGCCACAGTCTGCATCTGCAGTAATCTTTGCACCTAGAAATACAAAGTCTGTCACGGCCTCCACATTTTCTCCCTCTATTTCCCAGTTGTCAATCATTCTTGTTGCCATAATCTTGGTTTTTTGATGTTTAGCTGCAACCCAGCTTTTGCGCTTTCTTCTTTCACCTTGATTAGAAGGCTCCTCAGCTCCTCCTCGCTTTCAGCCATCAGAGTGGTGTCATCTGCATATCTGAGGTTGTTAATGTTTCTTCCAGCAATTTTCACCCCAGCCTTGCATTCATCCAGCCCCGCACATCGCATGATGTGTTCTGCATACAAGTTAAAAGGGTTGGGTGAGAGTATGCAGCCTTGCCGTATGCCTTTCCCAATCTTGAACCAGTCTGTTGTTCCGTGGTCAGTTCTGACTGTTGCTACTTGGTCCTTGTACAGATTCCTCAGGAGAGAGACAAGGTGGCTTGGTCTGCCCATCCCACCAAGAACTTGCCACAATTTATTATGATCCACACAGTCAAAGGCTTTAGAATAGTCAATGAAGCAGGAATAGATGTTTTTCTGAAACTTTCTCCATTATCCAGCGGAGATTGGCAATCTGGTCTCTCCACCACCGTAGGCTCCTTATTTCCATCATAATTCGCGTTCTTCTCCGTCTTCTGGCTACTCCCAGACAGGCTTCACTGGCTCCGGCTAGGCCTTGTTGCTAGGACAACATCCACGCTCCATGTCTCCGCCCCCTCCCCTCCAGCGTCGCGTTGTATTGATTTGAACGCGGCCAATCAGAGCGCAGGGGGCGGGGCTCCTCTCCCGTGGTGCCCCGCACAGGGTGGGCGGGGCCAGGTGGAGCTAGTGGGCGGGGCTTGGGCCAGCCGCCATCTTGGATGGATCAGAGCAAGAGAAGAGGTGCTCTTTTCTCTCTTCTGCAGAAATTCATCTCTTTTTATTAATTTCGCAGGTAGGAGGCGGGGTTTCTTGTTGGTGGGGGTTTAGGAGGACCTTCCCATATATATATATAACTATAACTATATATAGGCTTTATATATATATATATAGTATATATAATGGGACCTGTCAAACCAATGGGAGGACGACACTTCCTGTTTTTTAATAATTTTCCATATTTTTAGGTGACATTTTATAATATTATAGATATATATGTGTGTGTCTGTTTGTAATATATGTTTTATATATGATATATAAAATCATGAGATATGTATAATATAATATATATTATATATTATACACACACACTAGCGGTCCCCTGCCACGCGTTGCTGTGGCCCAGTCTAATGATCTGGAAAATAAAGTAAGGAGAAAGTGTTGGTTTCTAATATATGTAATGCGTTTATGCTTGTGGGTAAACAGTATTTCTTGTTGTTTCTTTGTCAGTGTTGATGTTGAGATTGTCTGGTTTGCCTACTCTGGAACATGCAACACATAATTGTCCTTCTTTAGGGATCCCTTTCAAATCTYTGATATTATATCTGTCATATACATATATGTGTGTGTGTGTGTGAATCATATATCTATCTATATCTATGGCTGCATGGCTCTTTGTCAGGAGGGCTTTGGTTATGTTTTTTTGCCCTGGTGAAGGGAGTTGGACTGGAAGGCCTGAAGGCAGCATTTCTCAGAGTCAGGACCCCTGCGGAAGGGGGGGGGGTGGTCGTGAGGGGGTGTCAGAAGGGTCACCAAAGACCACCAGAAAACACAGAATTTTCTGTTGGTCATGGATGTTTGGGAGGTTTGGTCCAATGCTATCATTGGTGAGGTTCAGAATGCTCTTTGATTGTAGTTGAACTATAAATCCCAGTAACTGCAACTCCCAAAGGTCTATTTTCCCCAAATTCCATCTGTGTTCACATTTGGGCATATGGATTATTCATGCCAAGTTTGGTCCAGATCCATCATTGTTTGAATCCACAGTGCTGTCTGGATATAGATGAACTACAACTCCAAAACCAAAGGACACTGCTCACCGAACCCTTCCAGTATTTTCTGTTGGTCATGGGAGAACTGTGTGCCAAGTTTGGTTCAATTCCATCGTTGGTGGGGTTCAGAATTCTCTTTGATTGTAGGTGAACTGTAAATCCCAGCAACTACAACTCCCAAATGACAAAATCATTTTTGAGTGAAGGACATACATTGGGTTGTTAGGTGTCTTATATCCAAATTTGGTGTCAATTCGTCCAGTGGTTTTTGAGGTCTGTTGATCCCACAAACGAACATTACGTTTTTATTTGTTTGTTTGTTTGTGTGTGTGTGTGTGTGTGTATATATATATATATATATAGTGTATTCATGTTATATATATATTTCTACTAATAATCCGGCAATGCTCGATTATTTGAAAAAGGCACTGTTTGTTTTGGGGTGTTAGGTAATATCGGTTAATTAGTAACACTATTGAGTAGAACAAAGCCAGTCTTTGATTTCGTTGTATATGAATGCTTCCATTAGAAAATACATAACGATGTAGGTGAACTACTATTCCCAGAATCATGGGTCAATCCTCCCCAAACCAGGCCGTTATGCACAGCTGGCCATGTTGGGTCTTTTGTGCCAAGTTTGGTCCAGATTCGACGTTGCCTGGGTTCATTGCTCTTTGGATGCAGGTGAACTACAACTCCCAAAATCAAAATAAATTCGCACAAACCCCTGCAGTATGTTCAGTGAATCACGTGGATTCTCTGTGCAAAGTGTGGTCCTGGTCCATTGTTTGTTGGGGTCACAGTTTCTCTGAATGCAGGTGAATTACAACTCCCAAAATCTAGATGGATTACTACAAACCCCTGCAGTATGTTCAGTTGGTCATGGGCTTCTCTGTGCCAAGTTTGATCCCAGTCCATTGTCAGTGGGTGTCACAGTTTCTCTGGATGCAGGTCAACTACAACTCCCAGATTCCAAGGGCAATCACCCCCAAACTCCACCTGTATTCACCGTTGGGCATGTTGGGTCTGTGTGCCAAGTTTGGTCCAGATTCATTATTCAGGAGGTTCAGAGTGCTCTGGATTCAGGGTGAACTACAATTCCCACGTGGGTGGGTCAGTTCCCCAAACCCCTCAAGTATGTTCTGTTGGCTGTCACGGTTCTGTGTGCCATGTGTGTTCCAGGTCCATCATTGGGGGTCTCTGAATGCTTTCTGGGTGCAGGGTGAATTACAACTTCCACACAGGTGGTTTGGTCCTCCCCCAAACACTTCCAGTATGCTCAGTTGGGAACCAGGGTTTTGTGTGCCATGTTTGGTCCATATCCGTCATTGGTGGGGTTCAGAGTGCTCTGGGTGGAGGGTGAACTGCAACTCCCACATGGGTGCGTTAGTCCTCCCCCAAACTCTTCCAATATGTTCTGTTGGTCACCAGGATTCTGTGTGCCACATGTCTTCCAGATCCATCATTGGTGGGGTTCAGAGTGCTCTGGGTGCAGGGTGAACTACAACTCCCATGTGAGTGGGCTGGTCCCCCCACAAACACCTCCAGTATATTGTGTTGGTCACCAGGGTTCTGTATGCCATGTTTGGTCCAGATTTGTCATTGGTGGGATTCAAAGTGCTCTGGATGCAGGGTGAGCTACAACTCCCATGTCAGTGAGTGACTTCCCAAAACCCTTCCAGTATGTTCTGTTGGTCATGGGAGTTTTGTGTCCCAAGTGTAGTCCAGGCCCATCAATCGTAGGGGTCACAGTAGTCTTTGGAAGTGAGTGAAGGTATTGTATGTCCCATCATCCATGACAAGTTTGGTCCAAAGCCATCGTTGGTTAGGTTCACATTGCTCTCTGGACCTAGGTGAACTACAACTCCTATAGATCAAAATCAATTGCCCCCAAACCTGGTCATGAGGTTTCTGTGTGCCAAATGTGGTCCAGGCCCATTGTGTTTGGGGGTCACAGTGCTGTGTCTTGATGCACAGGGTGAACTACAACTTCCATCGTATTGAGTCATTCCCCGAAAGCCCTGTTCAGTTGCTGATCAAGTCGTCTGATTGCTGTGTGCCATAGGAAATGTTAGAAAAGGGTTAAGCGAGAGGCAGTTGGTGGGGTCATGCAAATTCTACACCATTGGAGAGAGAACGGAAACCTGGGATGTGGCACTCACTGTAATCTGTAATGTACATTGGAGGAAGGGCCATTGGTATCTCCTGAATTGTGGCATTTTAGCTCTTTGCGGAAACGGGAGTCTGTCTGTGTGGACATCTTCACCACATACACATTTTTCACTTTTATTATATGTATAGATAGATAGATATACAGTATAGGGATCTGTCAAACCATTGAGCCTAAGATAAAGGGATTATAGGGGACCAGGGAAAGAGGAGGATGACACTTCCAATTCTTTAATGACTTTTAATAATTTTAAGTGACTTATAATACACACACACACACACACACACACACATACATACACATATAAATTCATAAATTATATATGTGTGTTTATGTATGTATATGTGTGTGCGTGTGTGTATAGATAGATAGATAGATAGATAGATAGATAGATAGATAGATAGATAGATAGATAGATAGGAGAGAAAGGAGGGAAGGTTGGCCACAGCAATGTGTGGCAGGTACAGCTTATATATATATATAAGCTGTACCTACCACACATTGCTGTGGCCAACCTTCCCTCCTTTCTCTCCTTTCTTTGTCTCCATCCTTCCCTTCCTCTCTCTTTCCTTCCTTCATTCCTTCCTTCCTTCCTTTTTTTTCTTTCCTTCTCTTCTTCTTTTCCCTCCCTTTTTTTCTCTCCTTTCTTCCTTCTCTATCTATTCTTGGACTGTAACTCCCAGCAGTCTTCCTGATTGATCTATCTACCTACTATCTATCTCTACCTAATCTATATATCTTATCTATCTGGAGGATTGCTGGGAGTTGCAGTCCAGGAATCGGAAATATGTATGGATTGGGATGCTCTCAAAGAAATCCGACGGGAAGCAAGCTTGCAGCTTGGAAGCAGTGCATTTGGAGCATCCTCCTCCCCTAAAGGGCCTGGTCTAGGGGATGCTGGGAGCTGTAGTCCTAAAGAGAGTGTGGATATGCTTTTGTGTGATTTGTTTGCCTGGGAAATGTTTTTGCGCATGCGCTGTAGCGTTGTTTTGCTTTTTTGGCCTTTTAAGTCCCTTCTGTTGTGTTTTTCGGTGTTTTTATGAGTGATGGTCACTTGTTGGCCTGATAGGTGTACTGTGTCTAAATTTCGTGTCAATTCGTCCAGTGGTTTGTTAGTTTTTTTAATCCCACAAACAAACATTACATTTCTATCTATCTATATCTGTGTGTGTGTGTTTTTGTTGTTGTTGTTCATTCGTTCAGTCGTCTCCGACTCTTCGTGACCTCATGGACCAGCCCACGCCAGAGCTCCCTGTCAGCCGTCACCACCCCCAGCTCCTTCAAGGTCAGTCCAGTCACTTCAAGGATGCCATCCATCCATCTTGCCCTTGGTCGGCCCCTCTTCCTTTTGCCTTCCACTTTCCCCAGCATAATTGTCTTTCTAGGCTTTGCTGTCTCCTCATGATGTGGCCAAAGTACTTCAGCTTTGTCTCTAGTATCCTTCCCTCCAGTGAGCAGTCAGGCTTTATTTCCTGGAGGATGGACTGGTTGGATCTTCTCGCAGTCCAAGGCACTCTCAGAACTTTCCTCCAACACCACAGTTCAAAAGCATCTATCTTCCTTCGCTCAGCCTTCCCTAAGGTCCAGCTCTCACATCTGTAGGTTACTACAGGGAATACATGGCTTTGACTATGCGGATCTTTGTTGCCAGTGTGATGTCTCTACTCTTTACTATTTTATTGAGATTGGCATTGCTCTCCTCCCAAGAAGTAAGCGTCTTCTGATTTCCTGGCCACAGTCTGCATCTGCAGTAATCTTTGCACCTAGAAATACAAAGTCTGTCACGGCCTCCACATTTTCTCCCTCTATTTTCCAGTTGTCAATCATTCTTGTTGCCATAATCTTGGCTTTTTTGATGTTTAGCTGCAACCCAGCTTTTGCGCTTTCTTCTTTCACCTTGATTAGAAGGCTCCTCAGCTCCTCCTCGCTTTCGGCCATCAGAGTGGTGTCATCTGCATATCTGAGGTTGTTAATGTTTCTTCCAGCAATTTTCACCCCAGCTTTGCATTCATCAAGCCACGCACATCACATGATGTGTTCTGCATACAAGTTAAAAAGGTTGGGTGAGAGTATGCAGCCTTGCCGTACGCCTTTCCCAATCTTGAACCAGTCTGTTGTTCCGTGGTCAGTTCTTACTGTTGCTACTTGGTCCTTGTACAGATTCCTCAGGAGAGAGACAAGGTGGCTTGGTATGCCCATCCCACCAAGAACTTGCCACAATTTATTATGATCCACACAGTCAAAGGCTTTAGAATAGTCAATGAAGCAGAAATAGATGTTTTTTTGAAACTCCCTGCCTTTCTCCATTATCCAGCGGATATTGGCAATCTGGTCTCTCGTTCCTCTGCCTTTTCTAAACCCAGCTTGAACATCTGGCAACTCTCGCTCCATGTATTGCTGGAGTCTTCCTTGCAGGATCTTGAGCATTACCTTACTGGCATGAGAAATAAGGGTCACTGTACGGAAGTTGGAGCAGTCTTTCGCATTTCCCTTTTTTGGTATGGGGATATAAGTTGATTTTTTCCAGTCTGATGGCCATTCTTGTGTTTTCCATATTTGCTGGCAAATGGCATGCATCACCTTGACAGCATCATCTTTTAGATTTTAAACAGTTCAGCTGGGATCCCGTCGTCTCCTGCTGCCTTGTTGTTAGCAATGCTTCTTAAGGCCCATTCAACCTCACTCCTCAGGATGTCTGGTTCTAATTCATTCACCACACCGTCAAAACTATCCTCGATATTATTATATACCATGATTTTTCAAGAAGGTGCCTGTGACATCCCTTGATCTGACACTAGTCTTCCCTTCATGCAGACTAGACTCACATTGGCATTTTTAGCTGCCACATCACACTGCTGGCTCATGTTGTGGTCAAAGGCCTCTTCTACACTGCTATATAAAATCCAGATTATCTTTTTTGAACTGGATTATCTAACAGAGTAGACTCACAGCTTTGATGATCTGGATAATATAGCAGTGTAGAAGGGACCTAGGGTCTCTTCCACACTGCTGTTAAAATCCACATTGAACTGGACTATATGGCAGTGTGGACTCATATATTCTATTTTAGATAATAATAATTGCTTTATTATGTTTTGGTTGTTATTTTTCAGTTACGCCTCCTTCTTTGATCCCAATGTGCCTCGTATGTTTTATACCTTGTAGTTAGCCGCTTTGAATCCCCAATGGGGGAGAAAAGCGGGATATAAATTAATAAATAATAAATCATCCTCATCCTCATGTGGATTACCTGCTTTAAGGAGGTAATCTCCTTTCTCTCTTGCCATTATCACAGGCTCGTCTTGTAAGCACAAGGGAGAGAGCCTTCTCCTCTGTGGCCCCCCAACTCTGGAACTCATTGCCCGGTGACATTAGGAAGGCCCCCACCTTAGAAACTTGCAAGAGCGATCTCAAAACCTGGCTTTTCCAATGCGCTTTTGGAGAGTAGCCATACTATCATACACAGTTGCTCCCCCACCTGTATGAAGGTCTATTTCCCCACCTGTACGAAGGTCTATTTTTACGACCTCGTTCCTTTATGAGTTTCTCACTCACAAACAATCTGCTCCATCCCTATCTCATCCTGATTTTTTGTTTTTTTAGTATTTTAGTATTTTATCTTGCACATGCGGCCCGCTCATTGTTATTGTATTGTGTATGATTTTGTTTTATCGCTTTTTTGTACTCATATGTTGTATGTATTTTACTGTGTAGTTATTGTGTTTTGGTTTTATTTTAATGTAATATGCTGTTGGCCTTGGCCTCATGTAAGCCGCCCTGAGTCCCCATTGGGGAGATGGTGGCGGGGTATTAAATAAAGTTTATTATTATTATTGTTATTATTATTATTATTATTATTATTATTATTAATCTGGATTATATGGCAGTGAGGAAGGGCCCTCAGACTCCAGATTCCTTTCAGGTGTTCAGCCAGGTATCAGTCATCCTGCAATTATCTTTGGGTGCAGTTCAGTTTATGAGCTACTAGCTTGGGGACGCGATGTTGCCCAGGTTATTTGAAAAAGTCATTTGTCTAAAAAGCGTAAGGTTGTGGGTGAACCACAACTCACATCATGCCAGGTTAACCCTGAGAAACTCCCATCAGTACTTAAAGGTGGTTATGTTGAGCAAGTTTGCTCTAGATTCATCATTAGCGGGGTTCAGTGTGCTCTCTGGCTGCAGGGTAAACTACAATGCCCACTATGGTGAAGCAGTCCCCTCAAACCCCTCCAGTAGGTTGAGTTAGTTGGGGCTTTTGTGTGCCAAAATGTGGTCCAGGTCCGTCATCGGTGAAGGTCACAGTTTACCTTGTGGGTGAACTACAATTCCCAGAAAGGAAGGTCAGTTCCCCCCAAACCCCTCCAGTAATCAAATTTTGACATATCAAGTTTGTGTGCAAGTTTGGTCCAGATCCATCAGTGTTTGGGATCACAGTGCTCTCTGGATTTAGGTGAACTACAATTCCCCCAAATCAAGGTAATTTTTCCCCAAAGACCACCAGTATTTTTTGCTGATCATGGGGGCTTGTGTGCCAAGTTTGGTCCAGTTCCATCTTGGATGGAGTTCAGAGTGCTCATTGATTGCAGGTGAACTATAAATCCAAGTATCTATAACTCCAAAATGTCCAGGCCAATTCCCCTCCAAACCCCTAGTATTCAAATTTGGGCATATCAGATATGCATGCCAAGTTTGGTCCAGTTCCATCATTGTTTGGGTTCATAGTGCACTCTGGGTGTAGATGAACTGCAACTCCTATAAATCTCTCCAAAATGTTTTGTTGGTCATGGAGGTTCTGTGTGCCAAGTGAGTTCCAGGTCGATTGTTGGTGGAGTTCATAGTGCTCTTCGATTGCAGGTGAACTATACATCCCAGTACCTACATTCCTAAACATCATGGTGAATTCTCCCCACACCTCTCTAGTATGTTCAGTTGCTGATCAATTCCACTGTTTGCTGTGTGCCATAGAAAAGAATAGGAAAAGGTTAAGTGAGAGGCAGTGGGCGGGGTCATACAAATTCCATACCAACGGAGAGAGTAAGGAACACTGGGATGGCTGTGAAGGAGGAAACACGTGAAATCTAGGATGAAATTGCCCTGTAATGAAAGCCTTTATTTGAGCGGTGGCCAGGATGGTGTTTGTAGAGGACACCGGCAGGGCTCTTGGACGTGTTTGTGGTGCTTTCTATAACCCGCGATATCATTGGAGGGAGGGCCATTGATGTCTCCTGAGTAGTGGGAGCTATAGCTATTTGTGGAAATGGACACCCCAGCCACATACATACATATTTTCAATTTTATTATGTGCATAGATAAAGCCTTAAATAGCTCAGGTCCATCATATCTAAACGGCTGCCTCTCCCTCTGATAAAGGTTGAGACTCAGGCCGTTCCACACAGCCACATAACCCAGAACATGAAGGTTGATAATCCACAATATCTGCTTTCAACCGGGTTATTTGAGTCCATACTGCCATATAATCCAGTTCAGTGTGGATTTTATACAGCTGTTTGAAGGGGCCTCATTCTCTTGAGGGCGACTGTAAAGGATGCTCACCTTTCATGCAGTCACTGCATGGATCATAGTAATAATTGCTTGTATCTATATATATAAATGCTCTGTGCATAATGAGTACCTTAAAAACAAAAGAACCAATGAACAAAATCGCACCAAATTTGGCAACAAAACATCTCACAACACAAGGAGTGACCATCACTCAAAAAATTAGATTTTGTCATTTGGGAGTTGTAGTTGCTGGGATTTATAGTTCACCTACAATCAAAGAGCATTCTGAACTCCACCAAGAATGGAATTGAACCAAACTTGGCACACAGAACTCCCATGACCAACAGAAAATACTGGAAGGGTTTGGTGGGCATTGACCTTGAGTTTGGGAGTTGTAGTTCACCTACATCCAGAGAGCCCTGTGGACTCAAACAATGATGGATCTGGACCAAACTTGGCACAAGCACTCAATACGCTCAAATATGAACACAGATGGAGTTTGGGGGAAATAGACCTTGACATTTGCGATTCACTGGGATTCACAGTTCACCTACAATCAAAGAGCATTCTGAACCCCACGAACGACAGAATGGGGCAAACTTCTCACACAGAACCCCTATGACCAACAGAAAATACTTAAGGCCATCCAATCCAACTTCCTTCATCAGGGCAAGAAAACGTAATCAAAGCCCTCCTGACAAATAGCCATCCAGTCATAGATATAGATATAATTCATACACACACAGATATAGTATCATAGATTTGAAAGGGACCCTTAAAGAAGGACAGTGATATTTTGCATGTTCCAGGATGGGCAAACCAGACACTCTCCACATCAACACTGACAAAGAAACTGCAAGAAATACTGTTTACCCACAAGATTAGAAACCAACATTTTCTCATTATTTTATTTTCCAGATCAACAGACTGGGCCACAGCAACGCGTGGCAGGGGACAGCTAGTTGGTTATAAAATGTTTCGTATATGCCTTCCCCAGTTCTTAAAAGTGTTTTCTTTACTTGCTTAGAAAAGTGGTGATATCCTCTATGAGCAAAAGGTTGTGAAGCTGCTCGAAAGACACCCTGCTCCCAACCCTTCTAGCAATTGATTTGCCATGGATCAAGACTATGAACGGCGTCTTCTCCGCCAGATCAACATCCAGAATGAGAACACAATGCCTTCCGTACGTCTGCATTTCCTTCAACATAATATTTATTTGTGTATTTATTTACAGTATTTGTATACCTCTTTTCTCTCCCCGAGGGGGACTCAAAGCGGTTTACACATAAGTAATGGCAAAATTCAATGCCAGTACAAACAATTACAATTATACACTACAATTAGACATAAATCAAGTTAAAAACAGTGCATCCACAAGCAATAAAACCATCATTAAAACAATAAAACTGTCTGATGGTGATGATGCTTATGCTTGAAAGTGCTGTATGGTCTGCCTTCCAAAGGGCAAACCCCCTCGTTTGTATGTCCAGCTTATTATGTGCTTTGGGAATCCATCTTTCCTTGACTGGATAAAGAATCATTTTATGGTAGGGTGGTTTAATTCTGTAGAGTTGGAAGTAACATAACTCTTCTACCCCAGGATGTTAATTTTACTGATGTATATATTCGGTTTTATCATATCTATTTACTATATTATTATCATAGTTGGTCCTGAAAAGGTCCATTTGTTTGGTTGGCTGGTCGATTGCATGCTTATTTATCATATCAGGAGTGAACCAAGGGTACAGTTGTAATGTATTTTAAAAAAACAACACGTTTTTTTAAAACTTGGCATTATATTAAGTGTCATTTGACCAGTAGCTGGCCACTTGGAGTGCCTCTGCTGTTGCTATAAGAGGTTCTCCATTGTGCATGTGGCAGGTCTCAGACTGCGTTGTAATAGGTGGTCTGTTGTTTGCTCTTCTCCACATTCACATGCCGTGGGCTCCACTTTGTGGCCCCATTTCTTAAGGTTGGCTCTACATCTTGTGGTGCCAGAGGGCAGTCTGTTCAGCGCCTTCCAAGTCGCCCAGGGTTCTGTGTGCCCAGGAGGGAGGCCTGCCACTTTTGGACTCTTTCTTGCTGAGGTGTTCCAACAAGTATCTCTGTAGATCTCAGAAAACTATTTCTTAATTTGGTCCAGTTGGTACAACGAGCAGCAGCCAGATTACTAACTGGTGCAAATTACAGGGAGCGGTCAACCCCCCTGTTTAAGGAGCTCCATTGGCTGCCGTTTATTTCTGGTCCCAATTCAAGGTGCAGGTTCTTACCTACAAAGCCCTGAACGGTTTGGGACCCGCCTACCTGTGCAACCGCATTTCCATCTATGAACCTACACGATCTCTTTGATCTTCCGGAGAGGCCCTTCTCTTGTTCCCACCCCCATCGCAAGCGTGACTTGTGGGGATGAGGGAGAGGGCCTTCTCTGTAGTGGCCCCTCAGCTGTGGAACTCGCTCCCCAGAGAGATTAGCAAGCTCCCACCCTGGCAGTCTTTAGGAGGAGCCTGAAAACTTGTCTGTTCCAGTGCACCTTCAATGATTGAATGTCCAATAATCCCTGACCAAACTCTGCATGAAATGCCCTCAGAAGCACTTTATTTTCCGGGTTGTGCAATTAAACCCTACCTTATCCCCCGGATCCCCTGTCCTAATACATTACATTGCCCTCTCATCCAGTGTTTTAAAATTTTAATCTTTGCAATTGGCCCTGCCCACTGTGATTATTTTTAGTGTTTAAATGTCCTGATTTTATATTGTTGTGCTTTTTAAATATTGGTTTTGTATCTTATGTTATTTTATTTTCTTATTTTCTGTTGTAATCTTGTGTTATATTGTTTTACTGTATTGTTGGGCATGGCCTCATGTAAGCCGCCCGAGTCCCCTTGGGGGGGATGTAGGCAGGGTAAAAATCAAGTATTATTATTATTATTATTATTATTATTATTATTATTAATTTAAGGCATTGGTGTGCTGGCTGATATCCAAATAGTGGGTGGGCCAGAGATGTCACTGCCTTGGTCCTTTCATTATTGTCTGCTACTTCCCAGTAGATGTCAGGTTTTGCAATTGTGTAATTTCTCCAGTGGTGTAATGCACAGACATCCTGTGATAATGCGGCTTGTCTCATTAAGAGCCACATCCACTGTTTTAGCATGGTGAGATGTGTTCCACACTGGGCATGCTGCCAAGTCGCTTCTGGTGTGAGAGAATCAGCCATCTACAGAGACATTGTCCAGGGGATCCTGCGGGGAAGCTTCTCTCATGTCATGTTGAGTTTCAGGGTCAGAGAAGCAGATGCCGAAAACAGAAGAATGGCCTGCCCCATGGGAGCGTGCTTGCTCCATCAGTGTTTAACATCTACACCAGTGGTTTTCAACCTGTGGGTCCCCAGGTGTTTTGGCTTCCCAGAAATCCCAATCAGTTTACCAGCTGTTAGGATATCTGGGATTTCAAGGCCAAAACATCTGGGGACCCACAGGTTGAGAACCATTGATCTACACAAATGAGCAGCCACTGCCATAAGGGACAGAGAGTTTCACTCTGATGATCGTGCCATCACCGCTCAAGCAGGGAGCTTTGAAATGGTTGAACAGAAGCTCTCTGAAGCTTTAGGTGCTCTTACTGCCTATTACAGGGAAAACCAGCTGAATCGTAATCCATCTGAAATCTAGATATGTGCTTTTCACCTTAAGAACTGACAACCGTCGCAAGATCGAAAACTCTGAGGATTATCTGGGAAGGAATCCCACTGGAACATTGCAGCACACCCAAATACTTGGGTGTCACTCTGGACTAAGTTCTAACTTATAAGAAGCACTGTCACCATCTAAAACACAGACGTGTGATTTCCATCTTAAGAACAGACAAGCATCTCGAGCTCTGAGGATGACCTGGAAAAGAATCTCACTGGAACATTGCAGCACACCCAAATATCTGGGAGTCACTCTGGACTGTGCTCTGACCTATAACAAGCACTCCTTGAATATCAAGCAAAAAGTGGGTGCTAAAATAATATCGTACAAAAGCTGACTGGCACAACCTGTGGATCACAACCAGACACAGTGAAGACATCTGCCTTTGCGCTTGGCTACTCTGCTGCTGAGTACGCATGCCCAGTGCAATGCTAATCAATGTATTGTCGAAGGCTTTCGTGGCTGGAATCACTGGGTTCTTGTGGGTTTTTTCGGGCTATATGGCCATGTTCTAGAGGCATTCTCCTGATGTTTCGCCTGCATCTATGGCAAGCATCCTCAGAGGTAGAGATCACCTCTGAGGATGCTTGCCATAGATGCAGGCGAAACGTCAGGAGAAATGCCTCTAGAACATGGCCATATAGCCCGAAAAAACCCACAAGAACTGAGTAGATATGACTCTTAATGAGACATGCTGTATTATCACTGGATATCTCTGCCCTACACCGCTGGAGAAATTATACTGTTTAGCTGATATTGCACCACCTGGGAAGTAGCAGCCAACAATGAAAGGACCAAGGCAGGGACATCTCCAGCCCATCCTCTGTTCGGATATCAGCCAGCAAACCAATGCCTTAAATCAAGAAATAGCTTCCTAAGATCAACAGAGATACTCACAGGAACACCTCAGCAAGCAAGAGTCCAAAAGTGGCAGGTTACAACCTGGAACCTCAGTCAGTAGCTGAGACCGGTTGAGAGACTCCCTCCTGGGCACACAGAAGACTGGGCGATTTGGAAGGCACTGAACAGACTGCGCTCTGGCACCACAAGATGCAGAGCTGACCTTAAGAAATGGGGCTACAAAGTGGAGTCCATGACATGCAAGTGCAGAGAAGAGCAAACCACAGACCACTTACTACAATACAGTCTGAACCCTGCCACATGCACAGTGGAGGACCTTCTCACAGCCACACCAGAGGCATTCAAAGGAGCCAGCGTCTGGTCAAAGGAAATTTAGTTCAACTTTGTTTGTGGTTTTTCTATACATTATAACTGTATTCTCAATTTGCTTCTGACACAATAAATAAATACTGTATTATTATAAGTGTCTTATTTAAGTTCTAGATAGTGTTTTATTAAGTTGTGACAAGCTTTGTTGCTTGATCCGGTTTGGTGATATGACCTAAGTGCTAATCAATAAAATGTATTTCTTTATTTGAGTGATTGTGTATGTTTTCTTCTACCTTTCTCTCTCTGTCTCTATCTTTAGGTGACCGACATGCGGAGGACTCTGACGCCGTCCAATTCCCCCGTCTCTTCTCCCAGTAAACATGGTGACAGGTTCATTCCTTCCCGAGCTGGGGCCAATTGGAGCATCAGTTTCCACAGAATAAATGTAAGCATTGGTTCGGAACTTTAATTGAATGTAATTAATTGAATTAATGAAGGAATACAGAAAATACAGTGGAAGCGGGTTCCTTTCTCAACCCTGTTGTCTTTGCCCACAGGAAAATGAAAAATCTCCGAGTCAAAACAGAAAAGCAAAAGACGCCACCTCGGACAATGGCAAAGGTAGCTGTTGTATCTTCTCTGAATAATAATAATAATAATAATAATAATAATAATAACTTTATTTGTATCCCACCACCATCTCCCAAAAGAGACTCAGGGCAGCTTACAAGGCACTACAAGGTGCAGCATAACATAAACGGTAAGGTAAAGATAAAGGTTTCCCTTGACATTAAGTCTAATCATGTTCGATACTGGGTGGTGGTGCTCATCTCCATTTCTAAGCCGAAGAGCCGGCGTTGTCCGTAAAAAACCCCCAAGATCATGTGCTTGGTATGACTGCATGGAACGCCGTTACCTTCCTGCTGGAGCGATACCAGTTGAGCCACTCACATTTGCCTATTTTTGAACTGCTAGGTTGGCAGAAGCTGGGTCTAACAGTGGGAAATCACCCATCTCCCCGGATTTGAACTTTTCAATCAACAAGTTCAGTAGTTCAGCGGTTCAACCCGTTGTGCCACCAGTGGCATGGATATAAAAACAATATCACAGAAAATTTATAAAAACAACCACGATCATCACATAAAATAAAATAAAAACACTGTTTAAAATGCAAAGCATCTGTAGTTAAAAGTAAGTGCCATCAATGCACAACTAAAGTGCCAAAGTGTCAACCTCATGTGGGCCCATTTCAGCCTATTTGGGGCCAAAAGCCTGCTTAAAAATCTATGTTTTAGGTTGGATCGGAAGGTGTCAAAGGCTAACCTAATATCTTTTGGGAGAGTGTTCCATAGCCGGGGAGCCACCACCAAGAAGGCCCTCTCCCTCGTCCCCACCAACCATGCTTGAGATGGAGGCAGGACCGAGAGGAGGAACTCCTCGGCAGATCTTAAGAGCCCAAACAGGTTCATAAGGGGAGATGTGGTCACGAAGATAAGTTGGACCCAAACTGTGTAAGGCTTTATAGGTGATAACTTGCACTTTGAATTGGGCCCGGAAACTTATTGGCAGCCAATGGAGCTGCTTCAATAGGGGTGTGGTATGCTCCCTATAGCAGTGGTTCTCAACCTGTGGGTCCCCAGATGTTTTGGCCTTCAACTCCCAGAAATCCTAACAGCTGGTAAAATGGCTGGGATTTCTGGGAGTTGTAGGCCAAAACACCTGGGGACCCACAGGTTGAGAAGCACTGCCCTATAGCTTGCCCCAGTTAGTAACCTGGCATCCGACCTTCGTACTAACTGCAGTTTCTGAACCATCTTAAATGGCAGCCCCACATAGAGTGCTTTACAGTAGTCCATTCTAGATGTAACTAAGGCATGAACCACCATGGTCATATCAGGCTTCTCGAGGCATGGTCGCAGCTGGTGCACAAGTTTTAACTATGCAAGGGCCCTCCCACCTGAGCTTCAAGTGTCAGCTCTGAATCCAGGAGGACCCCCAGACTGCGGACATGTGTCCACGGGGAGTGTGACCCCCTCCAGCACAGGTTGCCACCCTAGACCCCAAATGGCCGCATGACTGACTGATCTTGTCTGGATTAAGCCTCAGTTTGTTGGCCCTCATCCAGTCCATCACAGCTGCCAGGCACTGATCCAAGATCCGGGGAGCTTCCTTGGAATGAGGTGGAAAAGAGTAGTAGAGTTGTGTGTCATCTGCATGAAGATGACACCCAACTCTAAAACTCTGGATGACCTCTCCCAGCAGTTTCATATACATCTTTAAAAACATGGGAGATAGCATGGAACCTTGCAGGACTCCACAGGTCAAAGACCAGGGGTCTGAACATGTGTCCCTCGACATCACCATCTAAAACACAGACATGTGCTTTTCACCTTAAGAACAGACAAGCATCTCGAGCTCTGAGGATTACCTGGGAAGGAATACCACTGGAGTATTGCAGCACACACAAATACCTGGGAAGTCTCTTTGGACSGTGCTCTGACCTACAAGAAGCACTGCTTGAATATRAAGCAAAAAGTGGGRACTAAAAATAATATCCTACAAAAGCTGACTGGCACAACRTGGGGATCACAACCAGGCACAGTGAAGACATCTCCCCTTGCGCTTGGCTGCTCTGTTGTTGAGTATGCATACCCAGTGTGGAACACATCTCACCACGTTAAAACAGTGAATGTGGCTCTTAATGAGACATGCCGCATTAGCATGGGGTGTCTGCGTCTTACACCATCTGACATCCGCTGGGAAGTAGCAACTAATAGTGAAAGGACCAAGGCAGTGWCATCTRCGGCCCACCCACTGATTGGATATCAGTCAGCACGCCAATGCCTTAAATCTAGAAAAAGTTTTCTAAGATCTACAGAGACACTTGCAGGAACACTTCAGCAAGCCAGAGTCCAAAAGTGGCAGGCTCAAACCCAGAACCTCAATCAGTGGCTGATACCAAATGAGAGACTCCCTCCTGGGCACACAGAAGACTGGGTGACTTGGAAGGCACTGAARAGACTGCGCTCTGGCATCACGAGATGCAGAGRCAACCTTAAAGTGGAGTCCACAACATGCGAGTGTGGAGAAGAGCAAACCACAGACCACTGACTACTATGCGGTCTGAGCCCTGCCACATGCACAATGGAGGACCTCCTTATAGCAACACCAGAGGCACTCCCAAGTGGCCAGCTACTGATCAAAGGACATCTAATATAATGCCAAGCTTTTGAGCTTTGGTTTTTTAAATACATTACAACTGTACCCTTGTTTCGCTCCTGATACGATAAATAAATACCTTCTGGATACAGTCCTCCAAGAAGGACCAGAGCCACTTCAGAGCAGTGGCCCCAAGGCCCATTCTGGAGAGCTGACCCAGAAGGTTAGCATGGTCGATGGTATTGAAAGTTGCTGAGAGATCCAGGAGAACCAGCTGGGACACACTTCCCCTGTCTAGCTCTCTACGGAGGTCATCCAACAAGGCGACCAAAGCTGTCTCTGTTCCATGACCAGGCCTAAAACCAGACTGCGATGGATTCCAGAATCCCTGGAGTTGAGAGGCCACCGCCAGAACCTGCTCCAGAAACTTGCCCAAGAAAGAGAGATTAGAAATAGTAATTATTTAGTATAGAGGCATCCAGGAACGACATTTTTAGAATTGGTTGAAGTTATTCTCATTAAACGGATAAACTAACTATTTGCCAGGTGGCTTCATAAGGTTTTTGCTTTTGTCCTTGCAGACGGCCTTGCTTATTCTGCCTTGTTGAAGAACGAGCTTTTAGGCGCTGGGATAGAAAAAGTCCAAGACCCGCAGACGGAAGACCGGCGACTCCAACCCTCCACGCCAGAAAAGAAAAGCCTTTTCACGGTAATAATAAAATAATAATAAAACTTTCTTTTTTAACTCGCCTTCTCTCCCCAAGGGAACTCGGCACGGCTTCCAAAATAATATGGCAAACATTCAATGCCAGTGCAAATTCACAAAAAATAAAAGTGGAACAGCCACCAGATATCAAATTATACATATAGTAGAAAACGTATCATATATAACAAAAATTATACAGATTAAAATACATATAAAATATAATAATAATAATAATAATAATAATAATAATAATAATAATAATGGGACATGAGAGAAGCCTCCCACAAGGATGATAAAACATCAAATCATCCGGGCGTCCCCTGGGCAACGTCCTTGCAGACGGCCAATTCTCTCGCACCAGAAGCGACTTGCAGTTTCTCAACTTGCTCCTGACACTACAATAATAATAATAATAATAATAATAATAATAATAATAATAATCTTTATTTATACCCCTCCACCATCTCCCCAATGGGGCCAAACCCGAACAAGAATTACAATATAACAATACAAATTGCAATAAAATAAACAACATAACATTGAAATATAAAACATCAAAGCATATAAAACAATATACACAGAACATAGGAACTAAACATAATAACAGAATGACAGAGGGCGGGCTGCATGTACATAAAATGATTTAAAAACTCCGGGTGAGATAAGGGGGCAGAACTAATTGTAAGGGAGAACTCATAGAGAGATAGGAAAATAAGCAAACCTTCGTACATGGAGAGGAGGGGGGACTCCTGGGACAAGAATGTTGGAGGAGCACCGGCATAAAATTTTGTGGCTACTCTTCGAAAATATACGCTTTCCTTTTGGGATTGAGCGCCTGCATCCCTATAAAGGTAACTAAAATAGATATAAGCGAAGAGACCGCTGAAGAGAGGAGGTCTCCCTTTCCTCCCCTTCCTCTTCTCTTTTGGAGATGGTGGACGGGAGAGAAAAAGTGTCTCCATGAGACTCCGTATTGCCTACTCCTTCCTGATATAGAATCCTAGAATCCTCGATCTGTAAGAGACCCCCAAGGGCCATCCAGTCCAACCTTCTGCCATGCAGGAAGGCACAATCAAAGCACTCTCAATAGACAGCCTCTGCGGAAAAGCCTCCAGAGAAGGAGACTCCACCACACTCCCAGGCAGCCTATGCCACTCTCCAGGAAGTTCTTCCTAATCTTTTCAGTTGAATCTCTTTCCCTGCCATTTGAACCCATTGCTCCCTTGTGCCCTGGTCTCTAGAGCAGCAGAAAGTCAGTTGGGACACCCTTTAAAATCTTGAAACATGGTTCTCATGTTTCCTCTCTGCCTTCTCTTCTCCCAGGTAAACATCCCCCAGGAGGAAGGAAAAAGAGAAGGGAGGGAGGAAGAGAAGGAGAAGGGTGGAAGAGAATTGGAGGAAAGGGGGGAAGAAGAGAGAAGAAGGAGAAGGAAGGGAAGGAAGGAGAAAGAAAGAGGAAAGGAGGGAGGAAAGAGGGAAGGAAGGGTGGAAGGAGAAAGAGGGAAGGAAGGGGTCGATGTAGGGAGGAAGGAAAGAGAAGGAAAGAAGGATGAAAGGGAAGGAGGGAGAAAGAGGGAGGTAAGGGATGGATAATAATAATAATAATAATAATAATAATAATAATAATAATAATACTTTGTTTATATACTGCTCCATCTCCCTGAGGGGACTCAGAGCGGTTCCCAAGTAGGAAGTAAAGAAGAGAAGGATGGAAGGAATGGAGGGTGGGAAGGGAGAAGGAAGGAAAGACTAAAGGGAAGAGGAGGAAGGAAGGGGAAAAGGGGGGAGGGGGAGGAAGAAGGGAAGGAAGGAGGAAGGGAGAAAGAGAGAGGGAAGGGAAGGAAGGATAGGATGGTAAGACAGAGAAGGGCCTGAGAAAGGAGTCCAAGGCCGGTTCCAGACCAGGGTTTGCCCATACAACATAAAAGGCAAATATTCGATGCCAACAAGTAAATACAGACAAACAGAACTTAATAAATAGCATTTAAAATCCAACAACATTCAATAAAAAACAATCATAATAAACAATACATATATTGTTTATATATGTATAAAAAGATATAGTTGATATCATGACTTTCATATAAGGTCATTGGGTTTGTCCGATGGAAAAGCAGACGAGAGCAGGCGGCAACATCTGTAATGTCTGGACCGTTGCTGACGTTTATTCCTTCCATTTCAGTATTCCCTCACTACAAAACGCTCCAGCCCAGATGACGGGAACGAAGTCTCGCCGTATTCCCTCTCCCCCGTCAGCAACAAAAGGTGAGCTTCTTTCGGAACTAAAAGGCTATTTAGAGAGTTTAAGGCAGGGAGAAGAAATTGGTGTATATGCTTGCTTGCAAGTTAAATGACTATTAGGCAATGATGATTTGGGGATTGTATTGTATCTCTAGAGTAGATAGATTATTTAATAATTTTTAATTAGATAGGTTATTAAATTATGATGATGATGATGATGGTGATGATATAGGGCTCATATTGTATCTCCACATGATTAGATTGGTAATTTTTAATTAGATAAATTATTGGAGTTAAATAGATTATTATTATTATTAGATGATGATGATGATGATATGGGGATAGTATTGTGTCTCTAGATCAGGGGTCCTCAAACTTTTTAAACAGGGGGCTAGGTCACAGTCCCTCAAAGTGTTGGAGGGCCGGATTATAATTTGAAAAAAAACCCATGAATTTATTTATTTATTTATTACTGCGCTTGTATACCGCCGTTTCTCAGCCTAAATTGGCGACTCAACGCGGTTTACAACACTACAACAATCAACAATATTCAATTTAAAAAGCATAAAAAACACATACACAGTACACAGTATTGGGCCACCAATAACAATCCAATGCATCTCTTAGTTAAAAACGCAATCCAATTTCATCGTCTGTGATTACCAGTCCTTGATCGTCAGATTCGTTGCACCGTGTTAACCGAATGCTTGTTCGAACATCCATGTCTTCAGTCTTTTTCGAAACGCCACCAGCGAGGGGGCTGATCTTACCTCTATGGGGAGGGCGTTCCAAAGCCGAGGGGCTACCACAGAAAAGGCCCTTTTGGTTGTGATTGAGCAAATATTTCAAACCACAGATGGTTAAGATTTGACTTTTATCATATTGCAAATGCATGTTATTACTACAATGTTTTGTCCATGATTCATGCTCAGTTGTCTTATCATTTGTGACATAGATTAGTATTTCAATGGCAAGTGTGGGCCTGATTTGGCTGATGAGATAGGATGGTTGTTGTTGTTGTGTGCTTTCAAGTCGTTACAGACTTAGGTTGACCCTAAGTGAGGGCCAGGTAAATGACCTTGGAGGGCCGCATTCGGCCCCCAGGCCTTAGTTTGAGGACCACTGCTCTAGATGATATGTGACAGATTATTAGATTTCATTAGATGGAGTATTATTATTATTGCTATTATATATTATACTAGCTTGGGTACCCAGCATTACATAGGTTATTTGAAAAAGTCATTTTTTAATTTTACAAAATGCATAAGGTGTGGGTAAACTACAACTCAAATCATGCCAGGTTAACCCCCTGATACTTCATCAGTGCTTAAAGTTTATCATCTTGGGCAAGTTTGCTCTCTAGATGCATCATCGGTGGGGTCTGTGGGGTCTCTGGCTGCAGGATGAACTACGGAGCATGGTGGGTCAGTCCCCTCCAATAGGTTCAGTTGGTCATGGGGGTTCTGTTTGCCAAGTTCGGTCCAGATCCATCATCGGTGGTGGTCACAATGTCTCTGGATGTAAGTGAACTACGGCTCCCAGAAAGGAAGGTCAGTTCCCCTCCAACCCCGCCAGTATGTTCAGTTGGTCATGGTGGTTCTGTGTGCCAAATTTGATCCAGGTCCATTGTCAGTGGAGTTCACAGTTCCTCTGTTTGTAGGTGAACTACAACACCCAAAAGTTAAGGTCAATCTCTCCCAAACCCCTGCAGTATTCAAATTTGGTTGTACTGGGTATGTGTGGCAAGTGTGTTTGGGTTCACAGAGCTCTCTGGATAAAAGTGAACTACAACTTCCCAAAATCAAGGTGAATTCCCCCCAATGCCCTCCAGTATTTTTTATTGGTCGTGAGGGTTCTCTGTTCCAAGTTAGGTCCAGGTCCATTGTTGGTGGGGTTCAGAGTACTCTTTGAATGCAGGTGAACTATAAATTCCAGTACCTCCCATATGTCAAGGCCAATCCCCCCAAACCCACCAGTATTCAAATTTGTGCATAGTGGATATGCGTGCTAAATTTGGTCCAGATCCATCCTTGTTTGGATTCCTAGTGTGTTCTCGATGTAGATGAACTACAACTCCTATAAATCACTCAAAAGATCTTCAGTATGTTTTATTGGTCATGGGGGGTTTGTTGGTCATGAGGGTAACTATAAATCCCAGTACCTACAACTCTAAAAAGTCCAGGCCAATTCCCCTCAAAACCCACCAGGATACAAATTTGGGCATATTGGGTATGCATGCCAAGTTTGGTCCAGATCCATCCTTGTTTGGGTTCATAGTTTGCTCTGGATGTAGATGAACTACAACTCCTATAAATCTCTCCAAAGACCTCCAGTATGTTTTGTTGGTCATGGGGGTTCTGTATGCCAAGTTAGTTCCAGGTCCATTGTTGGTGGAGTTCAGAGTGCGCTTCAATTGTGGGTCAACTATACTTCCTAGGACCTACGAATTCTATAAATCAAGATGAATTCTTCCCAAACCTCTCTAGTATGTTCAGTTGCTGATCGAATCCTCCGACTGAAAGAATAGGAAAGGGTTAAGGGAGAAGCAGTGGGCAGGGTCATGCAAATTCCACACCAATGGAGAGAGAAAGAAACACTGGGATGTCTCTGGTGGAGGAAACACATAAAATCTAGGGTAAAATTGTCCCTGTTTAAAAGCCTTCACTTGGTGGTGGGCAGTGGTGTTTGTGGAGGACATTGGCATGGCCCTTGTACATGTTCACAGTGCTCATTATAGCCTTCAGTGTTATTGGAGGGAGGGCCATTGGTGTCTCCTGAGTGGTGGAAGTTATAGCTGTTTGTGGAGGCAGGAGCCTATCTGTGTAAATGGAAACCCCAGCCACATACACACATACATATTATGTGTATAGATTATTATTAATAGTATTAATATTATTAATAACAATAATACATTTATTAATTACCCACCTCTCCTTGTAGCTTATTAGATGTACCCAAAACAGCCACTGGAAACCAAAAATAGAGGAAAAATATTCTTCATTTAAAAAACACAAAGCCCCTTGTCCATTTGAAAGTGTTTCCGTGTCTCCGTCTTATTTGTTCCCTCTCTCTGTTTGCAGCCAGAAATTGCTCCGCTCCCCCCGGAAGCCCACACGCAAGATCTCCAAGATCCCCTTCAAAGTGCTGGATGCGCCGGAGCTGCAGGATGACTTCTACTTGAACCTGGTGGACTGGTCCTCCCTCAACGTCCTTAGCGTTGGCCTCGGGACCTGCGTCTATCTCTGGAGCGCCTGCACCAGCCAAGTAAAGCCTTACCTCTTTCCCTCTGAAACAGTTTCCTTTCTTGCCAAGGAGCTCAGGCTAGTTGCCTTTTCTTCTTAATTCCCTTCGTCTTCCCCAGAAGCCTCTCTCCATCTTTCCTTTCTTTAATGGACACCTTACGAATAACTGGAGAGTCACCCAGAGTATACGAAATGTCCTTTGACCAGAAGCTGGGCACTTGGAGTGTCTCCGGTGTCGCTGTAAGAAGGTCCTCCATTGTGCATGTGGCAGGGCTCAGACCGCATTGTAGTCAGTGGTCTGTGGTTTGCTCTTCTCCACACTCGCATGTCGTGGATTCCACTTTGTAGCCCCATTTCTTAAAGTTAACTCTGCATCTCGTGGTGCCAGAGCGCGGTCTGTTCAGTCCCTTTCAAGTCACCCAGCCTTCTGTGTGCCCAGGAGGGAGTCTCTCATCCGGTCTCAGCCAGTGATTTAGGTTCCGGGTTTTAGCCTGCCACTTTTGGACTCTGGCTTGCTGAGGTGTTCCTGCAAGCATCTCTGTAGATCTTAGGAAGCTATTTCTTGATTTAAGGTGTTGCTTTGTTGGCTGATATCCGAACAGAGGATGGGATGGAGATGCCACTGCCTCGGTCCTTTCATTACAGGCTACTACTTCCCAGTGAATGTCAGGTGGTGCAATACCATCTAAACAGTATAATTTCTCCAGCAGTGTAGGGCATAGATATCCTGTGATAATGTGGCATGTCTCATTAAGAGCCACATCCACTGTTTTAATGTGGTGAGATGCATTACACATTGGGCATGCGTACTTAGCAGCAGAGTAGCCAAGCAAAAGAGCAGATGCCTTCACTGTGTCTGGCTGTGATCCCCAAGTTGTGCCAGTCAGCTTTCGTATGATATTATTTTTAGCACCCACTTTTTGCTTGATAGTCAAACAGTGCTTATTATAAGTCAGAGCACGGTCCAGAGTGACTCCCAGGTATTTGGGCGTGCTCCAGTGGGATTCCTTCCCAAATAATCCTCAGAGCTCGCGATGGTTGTCTGTTCTTAAGATAAAAAGCACATATCTAGATTTCAGATGGATTACGATTCAGCTGGTTTCCCCTGTAATAGGTAGTAAGAGTATCTAAAGCTTCAGAGAGCTTCTGTTCGACCATTTCAAAGCTCCCTGCTTGGGCGGTGATGGCACGATCATCAGTATAGGTGAACCACTCTGTCTCTTCTGGTAGTTGCTGGTCATTTGTGTAAATGTGAAACATTGATGGAGCAAGCATGCTCCCCTGAGGCAGGCCATTCTTCTGTTTTTGCCATCTGATTCTCTGGCTCTGAAACTCAACAAAAAAGCTCCTGTTTTGTAGCAGATTTCCTATGAAGATTATCCTATGATTATGATAATAATAATAATAATAATAATAATAATAATAATAATATATTTACATTGTATGCTGATGCTTTTATGTTAAGCTGCTTTGAGTCTCCTTTGGTGAGATGATGATGATGATGATGATGATTTAAATTATTTATTTACTTCATTTGTATACCACTCCTCTCAGCCCTTAGGCGACTCGGAGCGGTTCACAACAATTCAACTGTATACATAGTACAGACAATAAGCCTTTAAAACAATAGCATCACAATCAATAAACATAGCATCAATACAAAATAACTTCTAATTGAAAAATGTTGTACAGGTTGAGTGTCACATATTCAAAATACTTGGGACCAAAACTTTCAGAATTTTCAAATAATTTTCCAAATATTTACAAAAGAAGACAGGGCACACGTCTAAACCCTTCATCCATAGATGGACCTTATACATGGCCTGAAGGTAATTTTATATGATATGTCTTTAATAATTGCGTGCCAGGAACAATGTTTGGGTACACTGAATCATCAGAAAGGAATCAGCATTTTGGAGTATTTTCATATTCTGGATATGGAATGCTCAGTCTTTGTCACTAGGCTTTCCAGTGGGCACATTTGGAGGAATTAATACAGTGTTCATTAATTTTTAATGCCTTTGCAATCCCTTTCTGGAGTTCTCTCTCTTTACAATGTTTTTCCACCAAGGTGACGCGACTGTGCGACCTCTCTGTGGAAGGCGATTCAGTCACCTCTGTGGGATGGTCAGAGCGGGTCAGTATCCTTGCTGTTTTGTGGTATTCCGCTAAAGGATCTCGATCGGGCATAGGCAAACTTCACCCCTCCAGGTGTTTTGGATTTCAACTCCCACAATGGTTGGAGTTGAAGTCCAAAACACCTGCAGGAGAGCCAAAGTTTGCCCATGCCTGATCTAGAGTTTCCTAGAGAGAACACATCTCTCAGCATGTGCTGGTCACCGTTAATGTTGTCCCAGTGTGCTTGGAAAGCATTTTAGTGACCGTCTCATTAGGCAGGGAAGGGGCCACAAGACCTTCAGCTGGTAAGAAAAGAGAAATATTATATATAGAGGGGGGTAGGGGGGGAGGGAGGAGGGGGGAGGGGAGGGGGGGGGGGGGGGGGGGGGTGGGGGGGGGGGGGGGGGGGAGGGGAGGGGTGGGTGTGGTGGGAGGGGGGGGGGGGGGAGGGGGGGTGGAGGGAGGGGGGGGGGGAGGGGGAGGGGGAGGGGGGGGGGGTGGAGGGGGGAGAGGAGGAGGAGGGGGGGGGAGGGGAGGGGGGGAGGAAGAGAGAAACTTTATACCATGGTTGTATATGTCCCCAAGCTGCAAAAGCACTTAATATTTGGGAACGGACGTAGTTATATAGCCTCTTTGAGTCTCCTTGTGGAGAGAAAACACGGGGTGTAAATGAACGTACCGTATCTACTTAAGTATAAGCCTTTTTCTTGGGATGAAAAAGCCCCCCTTGGCTTATATTCAAGTGATGATCCTGGTGGGAAGGCTGAAAGAAGGCCTTCCCTCCAGGACTCTCACCTCTCCACACAGTAACGCAGCTCTTCTTCCTCTCCTCTCTTGGCGCAGCGCATGCCTTCCTCTCCTCCGCTCTCAGCACAGCGCACACCTTCCTCTCTTCCTTTCTCGCTCCTCTGTCTCGCAGTACGCCTTTCCTCTCTTGCACAGCTCGTGCACCTTTCTCTGCTGCTCAGCACACTCGCTTTCCTCTATTCTTTCGGCACAGCGTGCGCACTTTCCTTCCCTCTCGATGCAGCACATGTCTTCCTCTCTTCCCCTCTCACACACCATGCATGCTTTCCTCTCCTCCTTTCTCGCTCCTCTTTTGCGCAGTGCGTCTTTCCTCCTCTCTCACGCAGCTCATGCACCTTCCTCTGCTGCTCTCTCAGCAGCGCGCTCGCTTTCCTCTCCTCTTTCGGCGCAGCGCGTGCACTCCTTCCCTCTCGATGCAGCACATGTCTTCCTCTCTTCCCCTCTCACACACCATGCGTGCTTTCCTCTCCTCCTTTCTCTCTCCTCTTTTGCGCAGTGCGTCTTTCCTCCTCTCTCACGCAGCTCATGCACCTTCCTCTGCTGCTCTCTCAGCACAAGATGCACACCTTCCTCTCCTTTCTTGGCACCCTCCTCTCCTTTCAACGTACCATATGCCTTCTTCTCCTCTCTCTTGCAACGTGCTTCTTTCCACTCTCTTGCGCTTCCGCTCCTCTGTGGGTAGAGCTCTCATGCCTTTCTCCCCTCCTCCCTAGGTGCAGCACACACCTTCCTCTCCTCCCCTCTTGTGCAGCACGTGTGCCTTCCTCTTTTCCTCTCTCGGCACAGCACACACCTCTCTCTCCTCCCTTCTCGGCGCAAGAACCCATTTTGGTTGTTGTACTGAGAGAGGAGGAGAAACCACGCGCCTCAGTTCCTCTCCTCAGTCCTTCCCACTTCCTCCCTTCCCATCTTAGTTTTTTCCCCACTTTTCCAGCCCCCCTTTCCCAACCCAGTATTCCCTTTTACTATTTTCCCCCTTCCTCCCCCAGTCTTTAGTATCCCCAGCTCCTCTCTCTCATTTTTCCAGCTCCCTTTACATCCTGGCCTTTCGAGGGTTCCAGTCACTCTTTCCCATTTCAGCCTTTCCCCTTTTCCCACTATAGTTTCCCACTTTCCCAGCCCCTCTTTCTCATCCCAGACTTTTCCAGCCCCCTTTCCCACCTCAATCTTACCCACTTCTCCACTTGCCCCCTTCCCACTCTAATCTTCCACCTTTGCAGCCCCCCCCCCTTTTGCACCCAGTCTTGTTCATTTTGCAATCTTCCTTTCCCCATTGGAAGCCTTTCCAGCTGCCTCTCTTTCCCAACCCAATTTCCCCAGCTTTTCCCAATCCTGTCTTCATACTTTTGACTGGGTCTTTCTCACTTGTCCAGCTCCACTTTCCACCTTTCCCAGTTTCCAACCCCCTTTCACACCTCAGTCATTCCTCCTTCCCCAGTTGCCCCTTTCTACCCTCATCTGTTCTACTTTTCCAGCTACACCTTTTCCACTTCATTTTTCCACTTTTTCAACCCCCCCCCCTCCCGAGCCAGTCTTTCCCACTTTTCTTTATTCATATACACACATCATTTCCCCCAAAATGTATAGTTAAAATAAACTGTGGTGATTATTGGAAGGGATACGTAAGCACATTTACCTTGAAGAAGGTTAGAATAATGATTTAATCAGAGTTGGGCAGACTTATCCTAAACTACAGTTTTATGTAAACATTCAAAATCATTTAACTTACTGAGGCCTCAATTAATTAAATTTATAGGTATCTATTTTTGTTTTGAAAGTTAGCAGTAGTTGCTGCATTTCCCACCCTCGACTTATACGTGAGTCAATACGTTTCCCCAGTTTTTTGGGTAAAATTAGTTTTTTTGGTATTTTTGGGCTGGCTTATACTCAAGTATATAGGGGAATAATACTCTGGGAGCTGAAGTCCAAAACATAGGTTGAAGAGGCTTGCAGTAGACCCAAAGGCGAAGCTTTGGGTACTACCACTTTCTGTGAAGTCTCTTCATTTGCTTATTGGTTTGTCCCACTTTCAGGGCAACTTGGTGGCCGTTGGGACCCACAAAGGCTTCGTCCAGATCTGGGATGCTGCTGCGGGGAAAAAGCTCTCCATGCTGGAAGGCCACACAGCCAGAGTGGGTAAGGGACGAGACACCTTTGTATGAAAATGTATAAACCCCTTTTGGAACCGCCAGGCTTTAGATTTGCAAGGTTTGGGGCCGGTACTTTAGTTTCACTCATCCATCTCTCCTTCTTTTGTTGCTTCAGGCATATCATAAATCCATATACATAATTGAAAATATGTATCTATGTGTGTGGCAGGGGTGTCCACTTACACAGACAAGCTCCTGCCTCTACAAGCAGGTATAGCTCCCACCACTCAGGAGACACCAAAAGCCCTCCCTCCAATGACATTGCAGGTTAGAGTGAGCACCATGAACATGTCCAAGAGCCCTACCAATGTCCTCCACAAATACTATACTGCCCACCACCCAAGTAAAGGTTTTCATTTGGACAATTTCATCCTAGATTATGTGTTTCCTCCACCACAGGAAATCACTGTTTCTGACTCTCTCCATTGGTGTGGAATTTGCATGACCGCCACTGCCTCTCCCTTTACCCTTTCCTATTCTTTTCTATGGCACACAGAAAACAGAGGAATTGATCAGAGAAATTGAACTAGAGAGGTTTGGGAAGAATTCACCAAGATTTAGAGGAGTTGTAGGTACTGGGATGTATAGTTCACCTGCAATCTAAGAGCACTGAACTCCACCAACGATGGACCTGGAACTGACTTGGCACACAGAAGCCCCACAACCAACAAAACATACTGCAGGTCTTTGGAGGGATTTATAGGAGTTGTAGTTCACCTACATCCAGAGCACACTATGAACCCAAACAATGATGGATCTGGACCAAACTTGGCATGCATACTCAAATGCCCAAATTTGAATACTGGTGGGTTTTGAGGGGAATTGGCCTGGACATTTTGGAGTTGAAGGTACTGGGATTTATAGTTCACCTGCAATCCTCAATACTTAGTGCTTCATATTGGCAAATGTGCTCTAGATGCATCATTGGTGGGGTTCAGTGTGCTCTCCAGCTGCAGGATGAATGACAACCCTCACCATGATGAGTCAGTTCCCTCGAATCCCTCCAGTATGTTCAGTTGGTTACGAGGATTCATCATTGGTGGGGTTCGGAATGCTCTTTGATTGCAGGTGAACTATAAATCCCAGTACCTACAACAAATGTTAAGGCCAATTCCACCCGAAACCCACCAGTATTCATATGCCTGCCAAATTTGGTGCAGATCCATTGTTGTTTGCGTTCACAGTGCTCTCTGGATGTAGGTGAACTATAATTCCTATAAATCAAGGTGAATTTTCCTCAAAGCCCTCCTGTGTTTTTGTTGTCCATGGGGGTTCTGTGTGCCAAATTACTTCTAGGTCCATAATTGGTGGGGTTCAGAGTGCTCTTTTATTGCAGGTGGATTATAAATCCCAGTACTTACAACAGCTATAAATCAAGGTGAATTCCCCCCAAACCTCTCCAGTATTTTTGTTGGTCATGGGGGTTCTGTGTGCCAAATGTGGTCCAGTCAGTGGAGTGACAGTGCTCTGACTTGATGCAGGGTGAACTACAGCTTTCACCACGTGGAGTTAATCTTCCAAACTCCAGTATGTTTTGTTGCTGATTAGTTCTGCTCTCTTGTTGTGCAGATAGAGTTGAAAAGAGTAGGAAAGGGTTAAGGGAGAGGGAGTGGATGGGATCATGCAAATTCCACACCAATGGAGAGAGTAAGAAACACTGGGATGTCTGTGGTGGAGGAAACACAGAAAATCTAGGATGGAATGGTTCCTGTACGAAAACCTTCACTTGGGTGGTGGGCTATTGGTGTATCCTGAGTAGTGGGAACTAGAACTGTTTGTAGAGACAGCAGTTTGTCTGTGTAAGTGGACACCCCAACCACACACACATACATATTTTCACTTTTATTATGCGTATAGATTTCTTGCTGATGTTGCTCCAAAAAGTTGTAAATGAATGACATGTTGTTTTCCAGTGAGACCCTGCGGACTCCATCAGCTCCAGATAAATGTTGGTTTCCTTCTTAAGGAGCCTTGTTTGGCTCCCTTAACTGATGTTGGTTTTCCTCTTAATGTAAGGAACCACTCTGCTGACTTAACTTAAAAGAGTCAATGTCTCTGGTCATGTAAACATGTTGTGTTCCCTCTCAAGTTAATCATTTGTCTTTGTCCATCTATGTCAGTAGTTCAGCAACTTTCCATTACAGTTCATGAATTCTCCTTTTGGAGTTTTCCAGGCCTCAGTCTTAGGGTAGCATCCTATTATTATTTTGTTATTGTAGTTTATTTTCTGATGCATTTAGTTTTTTGTATTCTGTATTTTATTGTGTTTTTTTGTGTAAAAGGGCTTGGCCTCATGTTACCACCCCTCCCCCCCCCCGAGTCCCCATTGGGGAGTTGGTGGTGGGGTATAAATAAAGTTTATTATTATGTTATTACTAGCCTTCCCCTGCCACACACTGCTGTGGCCCAGTCTGGTGATCTGGAAAATAAAGTAATGAGAAAGTGTTGGTTTCTAATACATGTAATTTCTTTATGCTTGTGGGTAAACAGTATTTCTTGCTGTTTCTTTGTCAGTGTTGATGTGGAGAGTGTCTGGTTTGCCTACTCTGGAACATGCAACATATAATTGTCCTTCTTTAGGGGTCCCTTTCAAATCTATGATACTATATCTTTGTGTGAATCATATCTATATCTATATCTATATCTATATCTATACTGTTTTCTTGTCCTGGTGAAAGGAGTTGGACTGGATGGCCTTAAGTACTTTCTGTTGGTCATACGGGTTCTGTGTGGGAAGTTTGCCCCAATTCTGTCGTTCGTGGGGTCCAGAATGCTCTTTTGGATTGTAGGTGAACTATAAATCCCAGTAACCACAACTCCCAAATGTCAAGGTCTATTTCCCCCAAACTCCATCTGTGTTCATATTTGGGAAAATGAAATATTCGTGCCAAGTTTGGTCCAGATCCATCATTGTTTGAGTCCACAGTGCTCTCTGGATGTAGGTGAACTACAACTCCAAAACTCAGGGTCAATGCCCTCCAAACCCTTCTAGTGTTTTCTGTTGGTCATGGGAGTCCTGTGTGCCAAGTTTGATACAGTTCCATCATTGGTGGAGTTCAGAAGACTCTTCGATTATAGGCTAACTATAAATCCCAGCAACTACAATTCCCAAATGACAAAATCAATTTTTTGAGTGATGGACACTCCTTAGGTTAGTATGTGTCTTGTGGCCAAATTTAGCGACAATTCGTCCCATTGTTTTTGAATTATGTTAATCCCACAAACAAACATTAAATTTTTATTTATATAGATTAGACTATATAGACCCCCACCCATAAACCTTTCATACAATGTCAGTTTCAAACCACATATCCTATTTATTGCAGGCGCCTTGGCGTGGAATGCGGACCAGCTCTCTTCCGGCAGCCGGGACCGCATGATCCTCCAGCGGGACATCCGGACCCCTCCTTTGCAGTCTGAGCGGCGCCTCCAGGGTCATCGGCAGGAGGTCTGTGGCCTGAAATGGTCCACGGACCACCAGTTGCTGGCATCCGGCGGGAATGACAACAAGGTATGGCACTCGAGGCTTGCCTTGAAAGAATCAGTGCAATTCTCTTCCTGCATATGGGGTAGAATAATAATAATAATAATAATAATACATCAGGCAGTCCTAGACACTTGGGAAGTGTTCGACTTGTGATTTTGTGATACGAAATAATAATTATAATATAATAATAATAAGACTTTATTTATACCCCGCCACCATCTCCCCGAAGGGACTCGGGGCAACTTACATGAGGCCAAGCCCGTCAAATACAAATACAACAGTCCATCAACAAAGCAAAACAAGCAAACAAAATAAAACAATATAAAAATATAACTAAACATATAAGCAATAACACACAACAGATTTAAGATACTATGGCAGGGCCAGATGTGATAAATTAAAATTTTAAAACACTGGGTGTGTACAGAGTAGGGCGTGTCTAAACATGGGGGTTTTAGAGAGTGATGTAGGGAGATCAATCCAACAGATAGATAAAGTGCTTCAGAGGACATATAGAAGGATATTGGTCAGATTGGTTATTATTTCCAGCATATAGATCTTGTTTTCTGTGACATACTGTGGTTTTGTGTAATAATAATAATAATAATAATAAAAAAAAAAATAATCTCCCCAAAGGGACTCAGGGAGGTTTCCAACACATATGGTAAACATTCAGTGCCAAAAAGTGAAAACATTCAAACAGAATTACATCAGGGCAAACCGTATCGAACAATATAAAACTCTAAAACTCAATAACAAACAAAATAACCAACAATAAAAAATTTAAATAACCTATGCGGATATAACAGTTAAATAAATTGAACACTAAATAAAGGCAACTAAGAACGATAGCTAAAACCATTGTAAAAAACCATTATAAAAAAGATGACACATTGTGCAACAACCAGCGGGCTAAAGTCAGTTCTAGTATCTAGACAAGATTTAACATATCTAGGTGAGAGTATATGTCAGGTATATTAGTCTTCCTCCTCTCCGTATGTCAAAGTGCAGAGTTTTGTTTTTAGCACCTTTTTAAAGGAGAGGAGGGAGGGAGAAGTTTTCAGTTCATTTGGGAGGGGGTTTCAGAGGCCGGGAGTGATTACGGAGAAGGCCTCCTCTCTCATTCCCACCAGACATGCTTGAGTCAGGGGTTGGACCGAGAGAAGGGCCTCTTCTACAGATTTTCAAGGCTTGGGCCGGTTTGTATATGGTGATGTGGTTCTGCAAATAGTCTGAGCCTGAACCATTTAGGACTTTATAGGTAACAACCAGCACTTTGTATTTAGCCCGGAAACAGATCAGCAGCCAGTGGTGCTGCCGCTGCATTGGAGTCATCCTCTTATGGTATGGTGCTCCTGTTAGCAATCTGGCCACCGATCTCTGCACTAATTGCAGCTTCTGAACTACCTTCAAAGGCAGCCCCATGTAAAGAGCGTTGCAGTAGCCCAGGCGGGAAGTAACCAAGACATGGACTACCATGGCCATATCTGGTGTCTCAAGGTACGAGCACAGCTGGCGCATGAATTTAACTATGCAAAGGTGCTCCTGGCCACCATTGACACCTGGGATTCCAGAGTCAGCAATGAGTCTAGGATCACCCCCAGACTGTGAGCCTGTGTCTTCAGGGGGATGTGACCCTGTCCAACACAGGCTGTAATGCTATAACCTGATGCACCTTCCGACTGTCTTTTCTGGATTTAATTTCAACTTATTAGCCTTCTTCCAGTCCATCACTGCTGGCAAGCACTGGTTCAGGGGCAGGATGGCATCCTTGGCATTTGGTGGAAAGGAATAATAGAGTCGCCTGCCATAGATGTTGGTGAAACATCAGGAGAGAATGCTTCTGGAAAATGACCAGACAGTCCAGAAAACTTACAGCAATCCAGGGATTCCAGCCAAGAAAGCCTTCGACAACACATATTAATTTTTTTTTATTTCTTACCTGCCTCTCCTCAAGTCTAAGTCTAGACATTAACCTAGAATCACATTGGCTTTTTAAGCTAATGCATCACATTGTCGACTCATGTTCAGATTAGGGCTCTACTAAGACTCCTAGACCCCTTTTACAATGACTGTTTTCAAACCAAATGTACAATTATTATTATTATTATTATTATTATTATTATTATTATTATCATTATTATTTTATTTTTTACCCACCTCTCCTCAAGTCTTATATCTAGATATACCTAGAATTTCATTGGCCTTTTTAGCTGCTGCATCACAGCATTGACTCATATTCAAATTGAGGCTCTAGTAAGACTCCTAGATCCCTTTCACAATATTTTCAAACGCTATTATTGTTATTATTATTGTTATTGTTATTATTATTATTATTATTATTAATAGAGAACAAAATTGTTAAAGAAAAAACATGGATGTGGCTCACAAATGGAACTCTGAAAAAGGAGACGGAGGGCCTAATTCTGGCAGCCCAAGAATAGGCAATTAGAACAAATGCCATCAAAGCCAGAATTTAAAAGTCGGTGACAGATCCCAAATACAGACTCTGCAAGAGAGCAGATGAAACAATAGATCACATCCTCAGCTGCTGCAAGAAGATCACACAGGCAGACTACAAGCAGAGGCACAACACCATTGCTCAAATGATCCACTGGAACTTGTGCAACAAATACCACCTGCCTGCGACAAAGAACTGGTGGGATCACAAGCCTGAAAAAGTTACAGAAAATAAACATGTCAAACTCCTCTGGGACTTCCGGATTCAGGCAGACAGAGTTCTGGAGCACAACACTCCGGACCCCACAATCGTGTTAAAAAACAAAGTATGGATCGTCGATGTTGCAATCCCAGGTGACAGCAGGATTGAAGAGAAACAACTGGAAAAGCTGACCCGATATGAGGATTTAAAGATCGAACTGCAAAGACTCTGGCACAAGCCAGTAAAGGTGGTCCCAGTGGTGATCAGCACACTGGGTGTAGGGCCTAAAGACCTTGGCCTGCACTTAAACACAATCGCACTGACAAAATTACCATCTTTCAGCTGCAGAAGGCCACCCTACTCGGATCTGCACGCATTATTCGCCGATACATCACACAGTTCTAGACACCTGGGAAGGGTCCGATGTGTGATCCAATACAAAACCAGCGAGTGATCTTTTCTGCTGTGGACTCATCTTGTTGTGTATCTAATAATAATAATAATAATAATAATAATAATAATAATACAAAATTACCACCTGCCAGCTGCAGAAGGCCACCTTACTGGGATCTGCACGCATTATTCGCCGATACATCACACAGTCCTAGACACTTGGGAAGTGTCCAACGTGTGATCCAATACAACAGCCAGCAGAGTGATCTTGTCTGCTGTGGACTCATCTTGTTGTGTTTCTAATAATAATAATAATAATAATAATAATAATCATCATCATTATTTTTATTTCTTACCTGCCTCTCCTCAATCTTTTTCACATGTACTCCATTTAGGCAAAAAAATGAAATGCAAGGTAACAGAATGGGGGGGGGGGTGCCTGGCTCGACAGCAGTATGTGTGAAAAAGATCTTGGTGTCCTCGTGGACAGGCAGGTGAACATGAGCCAACAATATGATGTGGCAGCTCAAAAAGCCAATGGGATTCTGGCCTGCATCAATAGGAGTCTAATGCGTAGATCCAGGGAAGTCGTGCTAGCCCTCTCTTCTGCCTTTACCTAGAATCACACTGTGTCCAATTCTGGGCACCACAGTTGAAGGGAGATGTTGACTCTAAGCTGGAAAGTGTCCAGAGGAAGGTGACTAAAAGGATCAAAGGGTCTGGAGAACAAACCCTATGAGGAGCGGCTAAAGTGCTGGGCATGTTTAGCCTGCAGAAGAGAAGGCTGAGAGGAGACATGATAGGGCCATGTATAAAATGTGAGGGGAAGTCATAGGGAGGAGGGAGCAAGCTTCCTTTCTGCTGCCCTGGAGTCTAGGATGCAATGGAGCAATGGTTTCAAACTACAGGAAATGAGATTCCATCTGAATGTTAGGAAGAATTTCCTAACTGTAAGAGAGAGCTGTTAAGCAGTAGAACTCTCTCTGTATGGTGGAATCCCCTTTGGAGGCTTTTAAGCAGAAACTGGGTGGCCATCTGTCAGAGGTGCTTTGAATGGGATTTTCCTGCTTCTTGGAAGAATGGGGTTGGACTGGATGGCACACCAGGTCTCTTCCAATCTAGTGTCAAAGAGTTTCATCTTCCTCACAACCTCTGCGCCACTGGGGGCTCCTTAGGATTCTTTGATTCTGTGACATGTTCAGATTGGGGCTCGACTAAGACTACTAGATCCCTTTCACAATTCCTTGTTTTCAAACCAAATGTATAAAAATAAGAATTTTATTTCTTACCCGCCTCTCCTCGAGTCTAAGTCTAGGCTTTAACCTAGAATCGCATTGGCTTTTTTAGCTGCTGCATGTTCAGATTGGGGTCTACTAAGAATCCGAGATCCCTGTTGAGGCGTCACCCATCCTATTTCTCGTTTTGAAAAATACATTTTGTGGACCCTGTACTCTAGTCCATGCAGCCTTTCTGATCCCTTCCTCTCCACTCTCACCAACCCACAGCTCCTGGTCTGGAACCATTCGAGCCTCAGCCCCGTCCAGCAGTACACGGAGCACCTTGCGGCCGTCAAAGCCATCGCCTGGTCTCCCCACCAACACGGGCTGCTGGCCTCCGGAGGCGGGACAGCCGACCGGTGCATCCGCTTCTGGAACACCTTGACTGGGCAGCCCCTGCAGTGCATTGACACAGGGTCACAGGTCTGCAACCTGGCCTGGTCCAAGCACGCCAACGAACTGGTAAGGATTTAGAACCGTGCAAAGCTCCGGTGGTCCCATTTTGTCGTTCGGAGATTTGTATTGATTCATTGTCGGAGGATGATGGTCCTCCAAGTGTAGTATCTTAGTGGGTCTGTAGGTGGCTGTGGAGCCCGCTTCTTGATCTGCTTTTCTCCTGCAGTGAGGACATTGGTTTCCAGGTGGAAGGCGGTCCCGATCAGGGTTGGCTTGACACGCCTTCCTCTTGGCATGTTTCTCCCTTTCGTGCTCCATTCCTGCTCTTTGAATTCCGCAGCACTTCTGGTCACAGCTGACTTCCAGTTAGAGCGCTCAAGGGCTAGGGCTTCCCAGTTCTCTCTCAGTGTCTATGCCACAATTTTTGAGGTTGGCTTTAAGCCCATTTTTAAAATTTCTTTTCCTGTCCACCAACATTCCATTTTCCGTTCTTGAGTTCGAAGTAGAGTAACTGCTTTGGGAAACTGTGATCTTTGGGCATTCAGGCAACGTGGCATTGATGGCGTAGGAGCATCGCTTCAATGCTGGCTTTTTTCAGCATGCTGACATTTGTCCGCTTGTCTTCCCAAGAGATTTGCAGGATTTTTTGGAGGCAACGCTGATGGAATCGTTCCAGGAGTTGCATGTGACTTCCAGGAGTTGCATGTGACAGTCCACATTTCATAGGCGTATAGCAGGTTTGGGAGGGCAATAGCTTTGTAAACAAGCACCTTGGTCTCCCTATGGATATCCCAACCCTTAAACACTCTCTGCTTCATTCTGAAAAATGCTGCACTCGCAGAGCTCAGGCGGTGTTGTATTTCAGTGTCAATGTTGACTTTTGTGGAGAGGTGGCTGCCAAGGGAGCGGAAATTGTCAACATTTTCTAACATTACACCACTAAGCTATATTTCTGGCATTGCACAGGGATTGTTGTGACTGCTGGAATAGCACTTTGGTTTTCCCAATGTTCAATGAGAGGCTGAGCTTCTCATGTGCTTCTGCAAAGGGGCTTAGAGTGGCTTGTAGGTCATGTATCTATTTGCAGTGTTCTTACCCTTGTTCATGTGCATCTTGCATTGCACTCGTCCTGCTGTTATGAATCTCCGCTGAGCAAATTTGGTCTTTGAATCCTAATAAAGATTGGGGAAAATTGGGGTTTTGGGCGGGGGGCAGAATTGATTAATTGCTTTTCAACGGGCAATTTTCTTTGAGATAAGAGCATTTTGAGTTAAGAACTTGCCCCAAAACGAATTAAACTCTTAAGTCAAGGTATCATTGTAGGTCGTAATGCCTTAGCCCTATACATTCCGCCATAGTTCCCAATGGCCAACCTCATCTGTTCTGCTTGTCCATTTTCTCCCTTTGTCTTTCTGACCAGAAGGCCTTCTCTCCCCAGGTGAGCACTCATGGCTACTCGCAGAACCAGATCCTTGTCTGGAAGTACCCTTCCTTGACTCAGGTGGCCAAGCTGACCGGCCACTCCTACAGAGTCCTTTACCTGGCAATGTCGCCTGATGGAGAGGCCATTGTCACCGGAGCCGGGGATGAGACGCTGCGGTTTTGGAATGTCTTTAGCAAAACCCGCTCCACCAAGGTATTCTTATTCTTGTTGTTGTGGTTACTATTAACTGTTGTTTACCCAGAGGGACTCAAAGTATCTTACAGTTACATTATCATCATTTCTATCCCTCCCTTCTCCCCAGAGGGACTTGAGTTGGTGATTTTTTTTTTCCTAGGTGAAGAATGTCATTTCCTAATTCGTTCTCTCCTAAAGACATGGGAAAAGTTGATTAAACTGCAAAAACTTTGCTTCTGCGGGAGGGACATTGTGCAGCCCACCTTATTATCCTCCTTATTATCATTCATTTAGCTAGCGCCATCACTTGAAAGAACAAGAAGACATTTCCATGCCCTCTCCATGTAGTGAAGACGGGATCAAAAAGCTGCTTTGAGTCTCCTTTGGGAGAGATAAAGCAGGGTGTTAATAATAATAATAATAATAATAATAATAATAATAATAATAATAATAAATACATAGCTGCATTGAGTTTCCTGCGGGAGATATAAAGTAGGGTATAAATTATAATTATAATTATTATTTACCATATTTATATCCCACCTTTCTCATCCTAAAGGGAACTCAGGGTGGATCACAGAACATACATATGCGGCAAACATTCAATGCCGTTTATACATAGACAAGACAGACAACTGTACATAGATAGAGGTATATATAGGCTTTCCCATCTTTGGCTTCTTGGAGGCTGTGCTCGGTTCCGGCCACCAGGAAGGTTGCTGTCAATCCATCTCCCTGCCAAAGAGCTTTGTTTGTAAACTTCCTACTTGATCGAATTGCCGGCATTTTTCGAGCATTTCCTTATAGGTACCTTAAATACCTCCCCACTTAGCAGTACCTATTTCTCTACTCACATTACTGTTTTCAAACTGCTAGGTAGGTGGAAGCTGGGCTAAAGGTCAGGAGCTCACCCTGACCCGGGCTTTGAACTGTCAACCTTTCGGTTGGCAAGATTGACAGCAGCTGGCGGTTAACCTGCTGTGCTAAAGCCCAGCTCACAACTTGTAATGATGGAAGAGTAATAACGAGCACTTAGGGGACTTAATCTAGAACTTTAACTAGTCCTATGATACAAAGACAGTTACTGAACTTGTAGAGATTGGCGATATCTATTATCGTTAAACCGTAAGTCAGAACTTGATGTTATTTATGACTCAAACATTGTAGTGACGTATTGATTCCCACTAGACTTCAGCTGAAGGTTTATTGACCAAAATAAAGGCTACTGACTGACTGATAACTGATTTGAGTAGTTGTTCAATCGATAACAGTGTCCACGGCTTTGGGATTAACGGTTTCCTTTTCCTCTCCCCTAGGAGTCTGTTTCGGTGCTCAACCTCTTCACCAGGATACGGTAAAACAAAAAACCAATGACACACACCGAACGAACTGTGTTTTTTTTGGGGGGGGGGTCAAAACCACTAACCGGCGTGCATGGGAACGACGGGAGGGGGGGAGGGTGGTGGGAGCGGGATATGTGGGGGGTGCAAGAAGATGATGATTATTAAATACCTGTGAATGCAGTCGGACTTTAATTTGCTGGGAGAAAAAGAGCCGCCGAAAAGATTTCCAGGACAAAAAAAGGGGTGGAGGGGAAAATACCTGGGATTTCCAGATGTGCGAATGTATGATCGAGATGCATGATGTTATTATATGGATGCCGGACTCGTCAAAAGAAAAAAACTTGGATTACAATGAGTCGTTAATTATTTTGATACGGAAGGAAAGCGAAGAACGGCAGTTCGCGAAGTTGAACAGGTTTCAAGAATAACAACAAATCCGAAAAGCAACCATCGCAATGAAGATACTGACTCTTTTTATTTGAGGCGCCGCTTTCCAAATTTGGCTGGGGACCATGGGGAATAATGTGCTTTAGCGTATCTCTTTGATGGAAGGCAAAGAGAGGTTGAACACAGTTTTTAAAATCAAATCTTAATCCTTCTTGGGGGAAACGTTGAGATCCGCTCGGTTTCAGTGGGGTTTTCAAAAGCGGAATTGGAAACTGACACAGGATTGAAAGCTGTCTCTGAATCAGGGGCGGAAAACAGGAATTTGGAAGCAGAAATGGGTAAAGTTGCATTGATGCAGATCCTTTCCGTGGTTTTCGTCTGAGCCTCAAAAAAAGGAGAACAAAGCCCTTCTTTTCTTTCACTTTGCCTTCATCTTCCACCCATCTGTTCAGCACATTTCTTCCTTTGTCCTTCTTCGTTTTCGGAAGAACTCGGAACATTTGTTTGTCAGTTCACAAGGAACTGACTGTTTGTCACATCGTGTTTTGGGATACGTTGGACTACAACTCCCAGATTCTTATTCTTCAACATGCCAACGGAAACATTAGGGTTGCTTTTGTGGTTGATTTCTTTATCCTTGTTGTGAGTACAGGAAGGGCTTTTAGCCACGGTTTGAGTCATTTTAGATCAGGAGTTGGATACAAGAGGCTAGAAATCCCTTCTAATTTATCTCCCGGCTTCAAAGGAGGCAAAAATGAGCGATTTCTAGTCTCATTCTAGATTGAAAATGCTCTTTTTGTGCCCCAGAATATGGTGACAATGCCCCATGTTAGGGATCCCAAAGCTCTCCTTTTATAGCTAAGAGCATGTGGTTGGCCCCATTGTAAAGAAGCCCTGAAGCTTGAAGCCATCACTTCAATTGTCCATCTCTTTCCATCGTTTCGATAAAAGGAAGAACTCAATTGGCTATATGGTGACAACGTCCCATGTTTGGGATCCCAAAGATCTCCTTTCATAGATAAGATAAAGAAGCCCTGAAGCTTCAAGCCATCACTTCGATTTGCCATCTTTTTCCAACCAATTTTCCATTGGTTTGATAAAGGAAGATCCCAATTGCTTATATAATGACCTTGCCCCATGTTTGGGATCCCAAAGCTCTCCTTTTATAGCTAACAGCATGTGGTTTATCCCAGTTGTCGAGAAGCCCGGAAATGTGAAGCCTTCGCTTCCATTTTCCATCTTTTTTTTGTTTTGTTAGAGGAAGAACTCGGTCACGTATATGGTGACCACACCCCATGTTTGGGATCCCAAATATCTCCTTTTATAACTAAGAGCATGTGGTTCACCCCAATGGTAGAGAAGCCCTGAAGCTTGAAGCCATCGCTTCCATTTTCCGTCTCTTTAGACAAGATTTTTACAACCAATTTTCCATCAGTTTGATAATGGAAGAACCCAATTGCATATATGGGGACAATGTCCATGTTTGGGATCTCAGAGTTCTACTTTTATATATAAGATAGAGAAGCTTAGAAGCTTGAAGCCATCGCTTTGATTTTACATCTCTTTTCCATCTGTTTGATAAAGGAAGAACCCAATCACATATGTGTTGACAGTGCCCCATGTTTGGGATCCCAAAGCTCTCTTTTTATAGCTAACAGTGTGTGGTTCACCCCAGTTGTAGAAAAAGCCTGAAGCTTGAAGGCCATTGCTTTGATTTGCCATCTCTTTCCAACCAATTTTCGATTGGTTTGGTAAAGGAAGAACCCAATCAATTATGTATTGACAGTGCCCCATGTTTGGAACCCCAAAGCTGTCCTTTTATAGCTATCAGTGTGTGGTTCACCCTAGTTGTAGAAATAACCTGAAGCTTGAAGGCCATCACTTTGATTTGCCATCTCTTTCCAACCAATTTCTCATTGGTTTGGTAAAGGAAGAACCCAATCGCATATGTGGTGACAATGCCCCATGTTTGGGATCCCAAAGCTCTCCTTTCATAGCTAACAGTGTGTGGTTCACCCCAATTGTAGAGAAGCCTTGAAGCTTGAAGCAATCGCATTGATTTGCTATCTCTTTCCAACCAATTCCCCATCGGTTTGATAAAGAAAGAACCCAATCACATATATGGTGACAATGCGCCATGTTTGGGATCCCAAATATCTCCTTTTTATAGCAAAGAGCATTTGCTTCAATTATAAAGAAGCCCCGAAGCTTCAGTTTTCTTTCTCTTTCCAACCAATTCCCCCAGTCTGTTAAAGGAACAACTCACAACTGTTCCATTTCCCAAAACAGGCCATATTCTCCCTTTCCTCCTGCCTTTTTTGGCACAACCAGGTGTCTTATGTGCGCGTTATGCTTATAACTGCCTCCAAATCAGTACAGTACAGTATATATATGTATGTATGTATGTAATGTATATTTGAACGTATGTCTTGAGTTTGTCGGCCCGCAGCATGTCCCATAAATCTTAAGAGAGCGGGCGGCTTAAAAAACGGGAACCCTTCTTGTAACTTGATGTGTAAAAGTGACGTATGTACCTGGCATTAAAAACAAAAAAGGACTTGTGAATTGGACTTTGGTGTCTGCGGTGTGTTCAAAGCCCGGGCAGGAATCCTTGGCGACATTTGAAATGATGCTTTGATCGCATAAAATGCAAATGTTTCAAATTGGGGACATTATTCTTTGAATCGGTGTGTACACATTACAATACTTGTCCCACAAAATGTGATAATTTGAATTGGGAATCATTGCACTTAGATCATGGGAAGTCAATCATTTGAGCCATTCTGTGTTTGATTCTGTTTTAATATCGATGTGTTGCAGGTTTTGAAATGTATTGCTTTGATGTTCTGAATCTTATTTAAGAGAGAAATGCAGGATATAATAATAATAATAATAATAATATCCAAATCTTTGGATGCTTTAGCCCAGTTATATTATTATTACTAGCTTGGATATCTGGTGTTGCCTGGGGGTATTTGTATAATTTTTTGATTATACAAAATGCATCATGTTGTGGGTGAACTACAACTCACATCATGCCAGGTTAACCCCCTGAAACTCCATCAGTAGTTAAAGTTTGCTGTGTTTGCCAAGTTTGCTCTGGATGCATCATCGGTGGGGTTCAATGTTCTCTCTGGCTGTAGGGTAAACTACAAGTCCCACTATGGTGAGTCAAACCCCTCCAGTAGGTTGAGTGAGTCAAGGGAGTTCTGTGTGCCAAGTTTGGTCCAGGTCTATCATTGGTGGAGGTCACAGTTTCTCTGGTTGTGGAACTACAACTTCCAGAAAAGAAGGTCTTTTCCTTGCCCCAAATCCCTCCAGTAATCATACGGCAAATCAGGTATGTATGCCAAGTTTGGTCCAGATCCATCGATGTTTGGGTTCACAGTACTCTCTGGGTGTAGGTGAACTACAACTTCCCCAAATCCAGGTGAATTCCCCCAAAGACCTCCAGTATTTTTTGCTGGTCATGGGGACTCTGTGTGCCAACTTTGGTCCAATTCCATCTTTGATGGAGTTCAGAGTGCTCATTGATTGCAGGTGAACTATAAATCCCAGTACCTACAACTCCAAAATGTCTAGACCAATTTCCCTCAAACACCATCAGTATTCTAATTTGGGCATATCAGATATGCATGCCAAGTTTGGTCCAGATCCATCATTGTTTGGGTTCATAGTGTGCTCTGGATGTAGGTGAACTACAACTCTTATAAATCCCTCCAAAGACCTCCAGGATGTATTATTGGTCAGGGGGGTTGTGTGTGCCAACTTAGTTCCAGGTCCATTGTTGATGGAGATCAGAGTGCTCTTAAATTGCAGGTGAACTATACATCCCATACCTACAACTCCTATAAATCATGATGAATTCTCCCCAAACCTCTCCAGTATGTTCTGTTGCTGATCAATTCCTGTTTGCTGTGTGCCATAGAAAAGAATAGGAAAGGGTTATGGGAGTGACAGTGGGCGGCGTCATGCAAATTCCACACCAATGGAGTGAGTAAGAAACACTGGGCTGTCTGTCGTGGAGGAAACATGGAAAATATAGGATGAAATGGTTGCCGTATGAAAGCCTTCACTTGGGTGGAGGGCAGTATGGTGTTGGTGGAGGACATTGTCAGGCGTCTTGGACATGTTCATGGCGCTCACTAGAACCTGCAATGTCATTGGAGGGAGGGCCTTTGGTGTCTCCTGAGTAGTGGGGGCTATACCTGTTTGTGGGGGCAGGAGCTTGTCTGTGTAAGTGGACACCCTAGCCACACATACACATATATTTTTTTCACTTTTATTATGTGTGTAGATGTTTGTTTATTTATACCCTGCTTTATCTCTCCCAAAGGAGACTAAAAGCGATTATATACAATGACATATCAAAATAGTTTGTAGCACTGTTTGTCACTTTGTGTCTCTGCAAAGCGGCATACCAATAATAATAATAATAATAATAATAATAATAATAATAATAATAGCAGCTCAAACAGGTGCCAAACTGGTTGATACGGGGTTCCCTGCTCAAATATGAGAATTGCATTTCCATTCATTTCCTCCCTCGTCATGGGAGGGAGGAAGTGAATATTTGGTCTCCGTTTATCTCCTGGATTTGACTGAAGTCAGATTGCGAAAAGAATAGGAGCAAACCACAAGGAACATCCACAGAAAAGGTCTATCTGGCCGCTTGAAAACCTCCAAAGAAGGTGAGTCTCTCCACTGTCTTCCATTGTTGAGCAACTCTTTTTAAGAGCCACGACTTTCTTCCTAATGGAATAGAATATCGAAGTCGTTTCCGAATTACAAGGCATTTATCCACGAGCTTGGCTCCGTTTTGCCATTGCTGTCCTATGAGACCAATAAAAACAATAGCAAATCGGAGTCCTTTCTGACTTACAGGGCATTTCTCATCAAGTTTTGTTCCTTTTTCCATTGCCTTCCTATAAAGCCGGTAAGAAGAGATCACAATAGCAAATTGGAGTTGTTTCTGACTTAACGGGCATTTCTTGGCGAGGTTTGTTCCTATGAATGGGACCCAAATAAGATTTATTTCTATGGCAGAGTGAGGATTCAAACTCAGATCTTGGTGGAGTTTGATACTGAAACCCGAACAGAGAATATTTGGAGGACAATGTTTCCCAAACCCCATCAAGGCAAGGGCTTACTTGACGGCTGGAAGGCCGCCCCCTCTGGTTCATTCCCCATCTCCTCTCGTTGGTTTGAGGGGGTTTGGAGCCCATTTCCCACCCTGCATCCTGCACAAAACCCATCCTCCCCAAGGCTTGGGCTTGGCTGGGTTGCTAAGGGGATGGTTGCCGAGAGGTCTGTCTGGCAAACAATGCTCACCCAAGGAGGAGGGCCTTTGCTCCTTTCTGTCTTGTCCAGCCAGAGGAAAGCCAGCTGCTCTTTCTCCCCCAAGCTGGCCTTGGTTGGGATGAACGATGGCGTACTCGGGGCTGAACTATCGGGATTTGGTCCTCGACCGGCCTTACGTCACTCCCAGCACCTTGGAGGCCTACTTCCCCACCCCGCACTACAGGTAAGCTGCCAATTTCGTGTCGCGTCACATTGGGCACCCGAGGCGGAAATCTGTCATTTTCCCAAACACCTTTCTTCATCGTGGTCTCTGTGAAATCTCAAATTCAGTTTCTTCTAATGGCATGTTTTCTTGGCAAGGTTGCCTTGAGTTTCTTGGCAAGGTTGTCTTAAAGGCTGAGAAAGTCACTCAATGGGCTCCCGTTGAGCTGGGATTTGAACCCAGTTATGTTGGCTCTTATGGCCACTATTCTCTCATATATATATGGTATGATCCCCATATCCACAGATAGCAAACCCCGTGGAAACGAAGGCAAGGCTCAAATTATGTGGCCTCTTATGAGTCACATATATAGCATGACCCCCATATCTGAAGATTTAAAGCATAAATAATTGCAAACGAAGACAAGGTTCAAATTATGTTGCCTCTTGTGGTTGCCACTCTTAAGTCTTATTTATTTATTTATTTGCAGTATTTGTATTTCGCCCTTCTCACCCCGCAGGGGACTCAGGGCGGATTACAATGCACATATACATGGCAAACATTCAATACCATAGACACACAACATATATAGACAGACACACAAAAGCTACTTAACATTCCAGCTTTTTGATGAGGGTATTCTGGTCACCAGGGGAGCTGTTGCTTCACTGTCCATTTGTGACACTGATGAAGTACTTCCTCATTCTTTGCATGCTTGCTGGAGATTTTTATGGCCTCATAAATTAGTTAAATTTGCCTCCCCGCATAAGCGGTACCTAAATTTCCTACTTGACAGATGCAACTGTCTTTCAGGCTGCAAAGGTTGACAGCAAGCTACACAAATTGGTCGGAAGCTCACTCCAACCCAGGCTGGCTTTGAACTCATGACCTTTCGGTCAGTAGTGATCTTAATGCAGCTGACTTCCCAGCCAGCTGCGCTACAGTCCCGGTGCTAAGTCTTATAGAGTATTATAAGTCTTATAGAGTATGACCCCTGTATCCACAGATAGCAAACCCTATAGAAACGAAGGCAAAGCTCAAATTATGTTGCTTCTTATGGCCGCCATTCTAAGTCGCATATAGAGTATGACCTCCATATCCGCAGCTACGAAACCCTATAGAAACAAAGGCAAGGCTCAAATTATGTTGCTTCTTATGGCCGCCATTCTAAGTCTCATATATAGCATGGCCCCCATATCCACAGATTGCAAACCCTGTGGAAACGAAGGCAAGGCTCAAGTTATGTTGCTTCTTATAGCCGCCATTCTAAGTCGCATATAGAGTATGACCCCCCCCCCATATCTGCAGATAGCAAACCCTATGGTTGCCATTCTAAGTCGCATATGGAGTATGACCCCGCATATCTGCAAACTTAAGGCACAGATCATCACAAACTGGATGGAAACAAAGGCAAGGCTAAAATTACGTTGCCTCTCATGGCCACCATTCTAAGTTGCATATATAGTACGGCCCCCATATCCGCTGATAACAAACCCTATGGCCGCCATTCTAAGTCACATATAGAGTATGACCGCATATCCGCAGATAGCAAACCCTATGGAAACAGGCAAGGCTCAATTTACGTTGCCTCTTATGGCTACCATTCTAAGTCGCGTATAGAGTACGCAGCTCCATATCCGCAGATTTCAACCACAACAGCAAACCCTATTAGAACAGAGTCTTAAGAATGCTACAGGCTTGCTCTGGGGGGACCTAGAAAACAGGCCGATGTGTCCCATTCGAAGCATTTTGGGGAGCAAGGGATGATCATCACCCCAAACTCATCCACACTTTCTCCTCCCAATCCTGCAGCGATGAGTATTTGTCGGTGAGGGGTGCCCAGAACACCCCCGCCGTCAGCCAAGCCGTACGCTGGAAATGCACCCCAATGGGGCGGGACGCCATCCCCCAGACATGGTACACGGGGCTAACAAACAGCCACAACCGCGAGGCCTGGTACACGCTGACCGACACCATCGGCCGGGAGCCCTACCACCGCTGGCAGAAGACCCACGCCAAGCGGGAGAAGGATCTGGCCCCAGGTAAGGATGGAAAGAGTCTCCATTCTAGATCTTGCATGGACGACTCCTAGGTCAATCTCAGTGTGTATGCGTTTTAGCAGACATGAGTCAGGGCAGCCAAAAAGGGCCGATTCCAGCCTGTGTCAATAGGATTCTAGTATCCAGATTGTGGGAATGGATGGATAGAAGGATGGATGGATATTGGATAGTTGGATGGATAGTTGGAAGGATATATGGTCGGATGGACGGGTTGATGGATAGTTGGATAGATAGTTGGATGGATGGATATTGAATAGATGGGTGGATAGTAGGATGAATGGATGGATGGATGGATGGATGGATATTGGATATATGGATGGATGGATGGATGGAGTCCTGGATAGATGGATGGATGGATATTGGATAGTTGGATAGATGGATGGATGGGTAGTTGGATAGATAGATGGATGGGTATTGGGTAGCTGGGTGGAAGGAGTTGCCAAGCCGATAGAGCTATACAGAGAGACATACACACATATATGCATATATATATGTGTGTCCCACTGTGTTCTGTTTCAAGTCTTAGTACAAAGCTGATATAATTTTAGGATCTTAGAGTTGCTTTACAGTTGCCATTGCTTTCAATTCTACAAAACAGGAATGGTATTGGCCTTTCTAGCTGCAGCAGGATGCTCATAGGGATTGTGTCCTCTTTCCACAGCTTATTGGCAGCATTTGCAAGATAGCAGCTTTTACGACCCGATTGTGCCGGCCCAGACCTTGGATATGAATACGCGTTGGGGGGCTTTTCTCTGGAGGGACAAGCCCATCCTTGGGAAAGAATACGGTAAGGAGCCAGATGGATGGATGCAATGAATGGGATTTTGGGGGTTTTGGGATTCCATTAAGCTTCTGACACTAGCCCTCTTCCATTTCTCCCGTTGAGATATCAATGTATTGACGTCTTCTGATTGCATCTGAGTACTACAATATGTGGTTTGTAGGTTTTTTCAAAAAGGTTTAACTCAGCCAGTATTTTAAGTTGGCTCATGAAGTGTATGTGTACCAAGTTTAGTCCTGATCCATCAAACCCTGGAGGAGTCTTTGATGAACAAATGTACAAATATATCTTCCATTTGTCCTCTCTCCTTTTGATGTAGCCTTTCTATCTCTGTACTTCCCTCTTGTGGTCGTATCTGAATACTGCAATATGTGGCTCATAGTTCCCAAGACAAGTTTTTGAAAATAAGGCAACAAACCAAAGGGTGGATTAGTTTAAACCCAGCTAGCATTTTAAGTTGGATCACGAAGTGTAAGTGTACCAAGTTTGGTCCCGATACATAAAGCCCTTGAGGAGCCTTTGAGTAACAAACATATGTACTTAATGTTTGCATTTTCCCTCATTTCAGTTGTCAACCGCAACCGATGCACTGAGGACTTAAAAGGGAAGCCAGGATACGTTCCAAATTTGTGTTTCCACGTCCCGGAGTTCGCCCAAAAGGACTACCGCACTTGGAGGATGTTTAGTCACCAGCCCTCCACCAGGAACCAGTAAAGCCTTCTTTCTTCTCGGCACAAATGCATCCTCCTTTTTTGGGGTCTGAGACTTCTCTCTCGCCTGTAATGGGTCCATATGCGGCTGGGATGCCATTGGGGCTTCCATTTGCTATGAAACGAGAAGGAAGGCCAAACGAGACTCTTTTCAAGAGTTCTTTCTAGGAAAAGTGTTGGGTTGTGTCTTAGAGACCTTACCAAGAAGGACCTTCAGGTTCATAGGGTTTAATAAGCGGAAACAACACATCCGAGGAAAGACAGACAGGTTTTCCTCTGCACCAACATTTCTTTTATTATTATTATTCTTTTATTTAAATAACACACAAAGGAATTCATGGTCAGTCCTCCCTGCCTCTCAACCCAACTCTTTAGAACCTGACCCCAATTGATATGTTTTTTAAATAACTCACGGAATCCGCCCTCCTTCCTAACTCCACCCTTGATAGATTGCCAAGAGTCGATCCATATCTTTGATCTCCTCGATCCAGACCTTATATAACATTTTCATATAAAGTTGGGAGGATCTGGCCTTCCCTATTGATCTCCAAAAATAGATCTTGATGGGAATAGAGACGAAGAATGGATCACATATCTAGGGGGCAAAGGATCCGCTCCGGTTCTAGGTTTTAAAGGTATATTCCGGCATATAAGACGACTGGGCGTATAAGACGATCTCCAACTTTTCCAGGTAAAATATAGAGTTTGGGATATATTCACCGTGTAAAACTACCCCTCTTCCAACACACACCAAATAAAAWTTTTAAAAGCATCAGATTTGATTTCAATATGGTAATTTTCCTATGACTGTACCTCCTTCTCTGCCTCTCAGATCTCGCACATGRGCACATTCACCGCTTCACTGCAGTCTTCAGGAGCAAAATCTGAGAGGCAGAGGAGGAGGTACGGTAATAGGATACAAGGGTGGGCCAGACGGTGCATTTTTATGGGCCCAGAGCCACTCTTGCCTCTTTTTTCCATACCCCGGACGCCTGCAGCTTGCTCCACCCTTCACTTCCACCTTCCCTTCACCTAACCATCGGGACCATATTAAGTCCACGAATCCTGATGAATGGATTTTCTTCTACCGTACTTGTACAGCATCACCCTTAATGCTTTCATACAGTCACTGCATATGGCAGGGAAGCGGCCACTGCCATTTTTGAGCTCCCACCACAATATGCAGCAACCACAGTTTCTCCAATCCAGATTGGAAGTTTCAGCACCCGCACTATAAGACGACCCCCGGTGTATAAGACTACTCCCGCATATAAGGCAACTCCTGTGTATAAGACAACCCCTGACTTTTGAGAAGATTTTCTTGGGTTTAAAAGTAGTCTTATACGCCAGAGTATACGGTAGTTGTCCTCGGATCTTGGAAAGCTTTTCCAAAAATATAGAGGAATATATGTATATATGTGTATATCTGTGTGTATAGCTCTATCTATCGGCTAGGCAACCTCATCTATTCAACCACCTATCCATCTACCAACCATCCATTCATCTATCCAACTATCTATCCATCCATCTATCTATCCTACTATCCATCCATCCAACTATCCATCTATCCAATATTCAACCAGCTATTCAAACAACCATCCATCTACCTAACCATTCATCCCTCCATCCAACTATCCATCCATCCTTCTATCCATCCCTCCATCCAACTATCCATTCATCTACCCAACTATCTATCCATCCATACAACTATCAATTCAACCAACTATCCCAGCTTGGCAACTCTATCCATCCATCTACTTTTCCACCTTGAAGAGTTATTTGGAAACCCTCTTTTCTGATCTTGACCTTTCAAGTCAACCAAAAACTGGAATGGATTATTTGCCCCATTGACTGGAAAGTCACTGTCATGGCTTTATATCTCTTTCGAAAATAAGGCAATGTTATTAACTGGCATTTCCATACAGAGGAGTGTACGGTCATCTCTGCCCGGTTATAAATAAACACTTCACTTACGCACAAGAAATACAGCAAAACACCATTAGAATCAAGGCATACTCTTCAAATGAAGCGGAGGACCTTCTACCAGGGAGGGCTTCAGTGGTGTCAACCTGGTAGAAAGAAGCGAGACTGGATGATCTTTGGGGGTCCCTTCCAACCCTATGGCTATATGGATGTGGGCCTCTGCTTCTCCTTGAGATACTTAATACAGTAAGCGAACCTAGCAAAACGACATCTGCATTGACAGCAACATATTGTTTGGATATGATCTTTGGCGGTCAAGCGTCCAACTTCTGACCAGGAGGGAAGTGGACTTCAATGACTATGTGTCCCATCGCTCTCAGGTGGCTCTATACCTGTCAGGAAAGAGAAAGCTTCAAACTTGGGCAAAGATGGAAGAAGTCAATGGGGATTGATGGGACTTGTAAGCCGAGACTCAGGTGGACAAGTCTCATCTATTATTATTATTATTATTATTATTATTATTATTATTATTACAAGCCAGAAGTCCTGGTCTATTATTATTATCATTATTATTATTATTATTATGACTCACTGATCATGGTGGTCCAATTCGGGCCAGGCTCCCAGAGAGGTCAATTGTTTCTCCAGCTGGATGATGCGCAACCCGATGTAACTCGAGGACAGGAGCAAAGCCAACACTCTGCAACAACAAATAGAGATGCAAAATATAAATATTTATTAAAAAATAATTTCAATGGTTTGGTTCTATCCTAATCCATTCTATTCCTATTCTATTCTACTGCATCTACTGTATTGTGTATTATGTTATTGTGGATCCCATTGCATTCTCTTGTTAATTGTATCTATTCCATTAACATTTATTCTGTTCTGTTCTAATCCCATTCAATTTCCTGTAGGAGAGGAAATAATAATCATCATCGTCATCTGTCATTCTGTCACTTTGAAGTAATCACATTAGAGAATGAATCCACTTAAAATCCGGTTTCTGCCTCCTGCAAAATTCTGGGGTTTGTAGTTTAGGGAGGAGCCTTTAACAGCCTCACTAAACTACAAACCCCAGAATTCTGCAGGAGGCAGAAACCGGGTTTTAAGTGGATTCATTCTCTCGTGTGATGAAGTGGTGAGTCTCCTGTAGGAGAGGAAAGCATGAGGATGATGATAATAATAATCTCTTGTTCTGTAGCTCTGAATCTCCTGGAGGAGAGGACAGCATAATAATAATAATAATCATCATCATCATCATCTCTCATTTTGTTGCTTTGAGTCTCTGATAGGGGAGGAAAGCATAATAATAACAATAATAATAATAAATCATTTTCACAATTATGAAGCCTGTTAGTTTATCATTTTGAGGTTATTCTATAAATTATTGCATTGAGTTTTCTGCTCACAAGACTAAATAGATGAGGATAATCGTATGGAGCGGGTTCGAATCCACCGTTGGCCTTTGCGAGGTCTTTGTCGCCTCTTCTTTCCCTATAAAGAGAAAGGGAAATGTGTCGACAGGACTACTATAAGCAGATAATATTTTCGGATTCAGAAAAAGCATTTGACAACATGCATTGGACTTTGAGACTTACAGATAATACTAATAATAATACTAATAATAATAATAATAATAATAATAATAATCTTTATTCTTTATACCATCTCCCCAAAGGGGACTCGGAGCGGCTTACATGGGGCCAAGCCCGAACAAGAATTACAATATAGCAATACAAATTGCAATAAAATAAACAACATAACATTAAGATATAAAACATCAAAGCATATAAAACAATATACACAGAACATAGGAACTAAACATAATGACAGAAAGACAAAGGGCGGGCTGCATGTACATAAAATGATTTTTTTTTAAAAGTCCGGGTGAGATAAGGGGGCAGAACTAATTGTAATGGAGAACTCATAGAGAGATAGGAATAATAATAATAATAATAATAATAATAATAATAATTTATATCCCACTTTTTTCTCTCCATAATGGAGACTCATAGCAGCTCACAATTGAAAGCATTACAATACAATTTAAAATATATAAATATTAAAACGGTATTATAATTCTATATTATTAGTAGTATTATATTTAATATATTATTATATTGCAATATTATTTATTATATATTTATTATTATATTGTATTATATTATAATAGTTGTAGTAGATATATAGTATACAATATATTATATTATACTATTAGTCTTCTTTATTATAAGTAGTAGTATCATATATCATATCTAATATATTATTATAGCATAATATTAGGATTATATATTATATTATTAAATATTAGATTACAATATAATATTAGATTACAGTATTAGTAGTAGCATTATATGTATAATAACATTATATGATTATATTACAATATATTATTAGTATAGCACAGTGTTTCTCAACCTGTGGGTCCCCAGGTATTTTGGCCTACAACTCCCAGAAGTCCTAACAGCTAGTAAACTGGCTGGGATTTTTGGGAGTTGTAGGCCAAAACACCCGAGGACCCACAGGTTGAGAACCACTGGTATAGCATAATATTAGTATTATATATTATATTGCAATATTATTAGTAATATTATTATATATAATATATTAGTGTTATAATAATACAATATTATTTCCATATATTATATTGTATTACATTACAATATTATTATTAATATTATATAGTATTTATATTATATTATTCTATTATTCTATTATATTACAATTGTAGTATATATAATATATAATATATTATATTGTATTATATTACAAGGTGTAGTATATTATTAGTATTATATGTCACCTACCTCTGCTATCTGCAACCTCTTCTGGCAAATCATTTGTCATTTGAGGTGGCATCACTGTCTCGTCTGGCTCATCTGCAAAATAAAAAGGCTTTTACTTGTATTCACTGTCCCAGGAATTGGAACCAATTGTCATTGAGGGATCGAAACGAAATAAAATGAAGGCAGTGGATTCTCACCAAATTCTTCCAGAAGTGTTTCATGCTCCGGCAGGTTATCAGTTTCATGCTCCGGCAGGTTATCAGTTTCATGCTCCGGCAGGTTATCAGTTTCATGCTCCAGCAGGTTATCAGTTTCCTTGGACATCTAGAAAGGAGGAAGAAGAAAACGGGGCTGAAAACGAGTGTGATGCTTGTAGATCAGGCCAAAGAAACAGTTATAAGACCAAACTCAAACAAGCTGAAAAATTAAGTAAATAATAACAATAATAATAATAATAATATATTACTCAAAGGGATTGTATTATACTACTAGTCTCCCAACCCCTGCCATTGTCCTCCCCAAACACCATACTGCTCGCCACCCAAGAAATGCTTTTATTCGGGGGCAATTTCATCCTACTTGTTCTGTTGTTCCTCCAGAATGGACATCCCAGGGTTCCTTTCTACATTGTTGTGGAATTTGCATAACCCCACTCACTGCCTTTCCCTTAACCCTTTCCTACCCTTTCGTATGGCACACAGTAAACAGGAATAGATCAGCAACTGAACAAGAGGTTTGGGGGGAATTGACCTCGATTTATAGGAGTTGCAATTCACTTCCATCCAGAGAACACTGTGAACACAATCAACAGTAGCTCTGCACCACACTTAACACAGATGATGGGATTTGCAATTGTGCCGTCACACCCAGACCCTATAACATTAAAACTAAGATGTGCTTTTCTCTTTATCTGGGTGAACCGCTGGGGGTCTTTCTTTGAAGCAATAACTCAATACTTTCAGCAACTGTATTGTCGAAGGCTTTCATGGCTGGAATCACTAGGTTCTTGTGGGTTTTTTTCAGGCTATAGGGCCATGTTCTAGAGGCATTCTCTCCTGACGTTTCGCCTGCATCTATGGCAAGCATCCTCAGAGGTAGTGAGATCTGTTGGAATTAGGACAATGGGTTTATATATCTGTGGAATGGCTGGGGTGGGGCAAAGAGCTCTTCTCTGCTGGAGCTAGGTGTGAATGTTTCAACTGACCACCTTCATTAGCATTTGAAGGCCTGGCTGATGCCAGTTGCTGTTTATTTCCAAAGTCCTTGGCAGACTTGGCACAGCTTGATAAAGTTACAACACAAACAGTCAATTTGAGAAACCATAGAGATGTTCTTTCTTTCCCTTTTTCTTCAATTACTGAGGTAACCTTTCTCCAAATGGTAGAAAAAATCCTGAGATATTTCACCCTAACCCTGAGCTGCTATGGTTAGAAAGAACAGGTCTTTCCCTATCTAAGCACAAGGTCAGTTTTGGAGATGAAGTAATGCTCAATAGTACTCAATAACTATTTCTCTCTATTTCTCAATAACTCAATTACTATCTCAGTATCTTAATATATATCTCTCTATAACTCAATAAGCTTCTCTTTATCTCTATAACTCAATATCTATCTATAACTCAATATCTATCTATAACTCAATAGTACTCACAATGGGTTTTTCAGAGCTCCCTGCCTGACCAACAGCACATCTGAGGTTCTTTTCTCTACTGAAGAAGGCAGGGGAGATTCCAAAATGGAGATCTCAACCCCCAGGAAAAAGGGCGGACTCCAAACCCAAAGGGATACTTTCTAAACCAATAACTGCAGAGAGCCTGCAGCCTGGCTTTCCAGACTCTGATACTGTTTAACTTCCAGGGTGCTGCTGGGTCTATAGCAACCCTGGGAAAATGCAAAGGAATGCTCTCCCATGCAGCTAAAAGACAATTCAAACCAAGCTCCTGGAAAATGGAACAGCAATACCTTCACTCACTTCTCAAGACCACTGCATCCCCCACAAATAATGGACCTGGACGCCTCATTACCACTTTACGTCCTGGTGCCATTTGGGCGAGGACGGACCACAAATGATGGGATTTGCACTACCTTCATCCATATCCAGGGACCACTGCGACCCCCATGAATGTCGGACCTGGACCAAACTTGCCACACAGACCATCCCCCATGATCCACTTTACATCTTGGTGCAATTTGGGGGAGGATGGAACATGGATTATGGGATTTACAGTACCTTCAGCCACATCCAGACACTACTGCAACCCCCACAATGATGGACTTGCACCAAACTTGCCACACACTCTCCATGATGTACTTTACATCGTAGTGAGATTTAGGAGAGGATAGACCAGGGATGATGGGACTTGCAGTATCTTCACTCATTTCCAGAAACCACTGCAACCCAAACGAATTATGCACCTGGACCAAATTTGGCACACAGACTCTTTATGATGCACTTTCTATCCTGGTGAGGGTTGGCGGAGAATGGACCACAGACAATGGGATTTGCAATACCTTCACCCACTTCCACAGACCATTGCAACCTTTCCAAATTTATGGAACTCTGAACACTGACCATGAGATTGTTTACTATTGTGTTATGTACTGATGTTTTTAACCTGTTAACTGTTTGATTGCTTTTATGTATGTATGTATTTTTGACACAGGCATCGAATTGTGCCTTCCTTTGTAAGCCGCCCTGAGTCCCCCCTTGGGGGTGAGAAGGGCGGGGTATAAGTAACTGAAATAAATAAATAAAATAAATAAACTTGGAACACAAAAACCCCCCTGACCAACAGAACATACTGGAGGGGTTTGGGGAACTGACCCACCCATGTGGGAGTTATAGTTCACCCATCCAGAGCACTTTGAACCCCATCAATGATTAATCTCAACCACATCTCGAACACAGAACCCTGGTAACCAACAGAACATACTGGGGGGTGTTTGAGAGGGGACAACCTACCCACATGGGAGTTGTAGTTCAACCTGAACCCAGAAAGCATTCCAAAGCACCCAGTGGCAGATCTGGAACACATGTAGCAGAACCCTGATGGCCAACAGAACATACTGGAGTGGAGGAGTTGGGGTGGGAATGACCCACCCACATAGGAGTTGTAGTTTACTCTGCATCCAGAACACTCTGAACTCCCTCAATAACAGTTCTAGACCAAACTTGGCACACAGGCCCAACTGCGAATATAGGCATAGTTCGGGGGTGATTGCCCACGGAATCTGGGAGTTGTAGTTCACTTGCATCCAGAGAAACTGAGACCCCATCAACAATGGACCAGGACCAAACTTGGCACAGAGAAGCCCCATGACCAACTGAACATAATGCAGGGGTTTGTGGGAATTGAGCTTGATTTTGGGACCTGTAGTTCACCTGCATCCAGAGAGCACTGAACCCAGCCAACATCGGATCTGGACCAAACTTGGAACACAGACCCAACATGACCAACTGTAAATACTGGTACGGTTGGGGGGTGATTGTCCCTGGCATATGGGAGTTGTAGTTCACCCTTATCCAGAGAGCACTGAAGCCAGCCAATGATGGATCTAGACCAAACTTGGCACACAGACCCAACACGGCCAGTTGTGCATACGGGCCTGGTTTGGGAAGGATTGACCCATGATTCTGGGAATTGTAGTTCACCCACATCCTTAAGCATTTTCTAATCGAAGCATTAATAAACAACAAAATCAAAGACTGGCTTTTTTTTCCTAATAAATTGTGTTAGTAATTAACTAAATGATATTATATAACATTCCAAAACAAAAAATGTCTTTTTCAAATAACCGAGCATCATCAGGTACCCAAGCTGGTAATATAATACAATCGTTTGAGCATCCTGTCCCATGAAACGCACCCAAAGACACTCACTAGAGATAGGAGGTTTTCGGAGCTGGCATAAGGCAAGATGGGGTTACTATTTTGGTCAGCATCCTAGGAAAAAGCAGAAAAGAAAGAAAGAAAAGCTTAGTCTCCAAGAAACACATTGGGAGTTGTAGTTTCCAACCCCAAATGCTTGTGTTACCTGGAGATGTTTGCAAACAGAGCGCAGCAACTGGTAGGTGCTTTCTCTGGACCGGAAAGATGAGAAAAGGAACTGGAGGAGAAAAGATCAATAATAATAATAATAATAATAATAATAATAAATTGACTTTTTCCAATTATGGAATATTTCCAATGACAGTTGAGCCTCCCTTCTCCGAAATACTATAGTATTTAGGATTTTCTCCAATGCTGTATTGCAAAATTTTGGAGATCTCACCTTCTCTCCTTCCGTTGTGCGGATGCAAATGGCGTTGGGCACCAAGAGGGCTGTATTGGCTTTCTTAAGGACGCTAATGTTTGGCACTGGGATGATCACCTAAAACCGGAAAATAGCAAATTGTTGTTGTTGTTGTTGTTGTTATATAATGTATTATTATTTAATATAAGAATATAATTATTATAATTATGTTTTATAAGCATATTGTTATTGTTATTATTAGAAAATGTTTAGTAGTATTATTGCCAGTGAGGCCAATGTGCTAATGTCAATATTATCAATATTATTGTTATACAATATATTATTGTTATTGTTGGCTAATGTCAAAATTATTATTATACTCTATTATTATATATTTTAATAATGTGTTGTTGTTGTTGCCAGTGGGCAAATGTACTAATGTCTATATTATTAGTATATTATTAGTATTAGTATTAGTATTAGTATTAATATCATAATGCTGTTGCTCAGATGATCCACTGGAACTTGTGCCACGAATACCATCTGCCTACAACAAAAAACTGGTGAGATCACAAGCCTGAAAAAGTTACAGAAAACGAACATGTCAAACTACTCTGGGACTTCCAAGTTCGGACTGACAGAGTTTTGGAGCACAAGACTCCTGACCTCATGATAGCTGAAAACAAAGTGTGGATCGTTGATGTTGCAATCTCAAGTGATAGCAGAAATCACAAGAAGCAACAGGAAAAGCTAACACAATATAAGGATTTAAAGATTGAACTGCAAAGACTCTGGCACAAGCCAGTTAAGGGGATCTCAGTGGTGATCAGCACACTGGGTGTAGAGGCTAAAGACCTTGGCCTGTACTTAAAAACAATTGGTGCTGACAAAAATCATCATCTGTCTGTTGCAAAAGGCCACCCTACTTGGTTCTGCACGCATTATTCGCCAATACATCACACAGTAATAGACACTTGGTAAGTGTCCAATGTGTGACCGAATACAAAAGCCAGCAGTGATCTTTTTTGCTGTGTACTCATCTTGTTTTATATGGTTATTGCCAGTGGGCCAATGTTCTGCTGCTGCTGTTGTTGTTAGTACCAGTAGACCAATGTGCTAATGTTGTTGTTGTTTTTGTTATCTACCTTTACTTCCCGCCGGATCATGCTGCAGTAGAAACAGATGTGATGCAGGGAGACATATAAGCGGCCATGGAAAGGGGCTTCACGCTGCCAGGCACAGGAAAAGGCTGCAGGAGACGATAATATCATTATCCTTATTTATTTATTGGGATTTATAGTTTTCTAAGGACACTTTCGCGGGGAAACTACAGATCCCACAGCACCAAGGATCGAGCTGCAATGGGTTCTGCCATTAGGGCAGAGCTTTCCAAGTAACTTCCTAAGGGGCGATAACAACAACAATATAATAATAATATGTTGAATGTTAATAATAATATAATAATATATAAATAGTACTAAAATATAATATAAATAGTAGTAATATTATATAACAGTATAGAAAATCATATAATAATATGATGTAAATAATAATATAAAAATAATATTAATAAAATATAAATAATAATATATAAAAGAACAACAAAATAATTATAATATATAAAAGTATATAATAATGTAATATAAAATATAACACTACAATATGATATAATATAAATAATACTAATATATAAAATATTATTTATAATAATATATAATATAAATAATACTAATATTTTAAAATAATATATAAAATTAATAATAAATAATATAAAATATTATGCAAAATATAATATGTACTAAATAATATTAATATATGTAGTAATATATAGTAATACATAATAATTAAATCAAATAATAAAATATATAATATATTAATATAAAATCTAATAAATATATATACATTAAATCAAAATAATAAATAAATAAATAAATAAATAAATAAATATCATCATCATCATCATCCAGCAAGCAAGGCTTGTTTATAAAAACTTGTTGGGAAAAATCTGAGTCTGAATGCAATGCTCATGAGACTGGAGGAAATGCCTTACTTTCTATCAGCTCCTCATCTTCAGAGAGGTCTCCAAACACACGGTGGAAGTTTATGGCATGTTTCATCAGCTTTGGAAAATGGAGAAACAGTCCAGTTATCAATTTTATATTTTGTCTTATATAACATTAGAAAGCCGGCGTTACCTCCACATATGCCAATGTACCTATCATCATCATCACTATTATAGATGGGCCAATGGGCCAGCATCAGTATTATTATGAGAATGGCCACTGGGCCAATGTGCAAACATTAATATTATTATGCGAATAGTCAATAAGCCAATGTGCAAACACTGATATTATTATTATTATTATTATTATTATTATTATTATTATTATTATTATTGGCAAACATTGATATAGTGTAGATCCTATATGCCCTAAACACACTTGATTTTGGGTGCTAAGCCAGGCCAGCCCTGGCTAGAATTTGGATAGGAGTCTGCCGACAGCTGAAACTTACATTGGAGATGGTTGGCTCTGAATTCCGGTGACGGATCAAAACCACTTCCTTGTCTCCCTCTTTCAGAAAAGACGGATCGTACGTCTTTGACCTGAAAAGTGGAGACCAATTGGATTAGGTATATATATGTATATGTATATATGTGTATATATTAGGGTCACAATGGACAGTCTTTGATAGCGAGATTGTGAGATGCCGAATCTCCAGAAGTTAGATTCAATAATGTGGGTTGCATTACAGAGACGGAGGGCGATTAACCCATTATAATGAGGAGACAGGTTGGATTAGAGACATACACACACACACACATACATATTAGAGTCACAATGGATAGAGTCTTTGATGGTGAGACTGCGAGATTCCAAAATGCTGTAAATTCTGGAAGTTTAATTCATTAATGTGTGCGACGGAGAACGATCCTGTCAACCCATTATTATAATTTGTTGTCCACCAAATAAACATCTACCCCAACCTCATACCCAAATGGGGACAATGGGAGTTGTAGTCCGACCCAATCACTCACCGGGACAAAGGTGGACGGGGCCCGTTGCGAAATCCCTCTTCCAAGCTTTGAGATTTTATTTGCTCTGACATCTTTCTTTTGCTCTTCCTTGGTTTTCCGGGCGGATCGGAGACGAAGCTACAGAGAAACGAGACCCGGTTAACGGGGTGGAGTGGCCCTCCTTCACCCCGGGACTTCGACTGAGGTGGAATCATCCATACAAGTCACTGCTTGTCGTGCCAACGATGCCGTGAATTGTTGGCCAAAGTCCCGTACCAGCATACTTACGTACTTAATTTCGACTCCTGTTCCATTCTCTTAACCCTTTCCCCCCGATGCTAACTATTAGGACCTTTGGCCCAGAACACTATGTCATAGAGTTATAAATTATCATTTCCTAATTGGTTCTATCATTAAAAACATGGGAAAGTTTATTAAACTGCAAAAAAATTCTTTTTTTTTACGGGAGAGACATCCTGCAGAACCATCCCAAACAAGGGTTGGGACTGGGAAAAAGCCAGTCGGATCGGTTCCACATTCCAGGATCCTCCGCCCACAGTTCCCCTTTTATCTGCTTTCTTCTGGACTTCCTGGGTGTGAGAAGCATTACAATTGTTCGATGGGCTTAATAAAGCATATGCTTCAGGACTCCAGTTCCCACCATCCCCAGATATCGAAACACCTGGGGACGATGGGATATGTATTCCTCGCCGAAGGCATGCCGTCACCATCATCCCCCTTATTACATCAACTCCTCTTTTTGGGGACTTTGGTTCTCATCATTCCCAGATATCAAGATACTGAAGGCCAATGGGATATGTAGTCATACTCAAGGCACGTCCTCGCCATCGCCTTCCCTACGCTGACTTCTCTTTCAGGACTCTGATTTCCATCATCCCCAGATATCAAGAGGCTCAATGGGCTATGTAGTCCTTGCCAAAGGCACACCCCTGTCATTGTCTTACCTATATTGACTCCTCTTTTAGGACTCAGTTTCCCATTATCCCCAAATATCAAGATAAGTGGGGGTAATGGGCTATGTAGTCCTTGCCAAAGGCACACCCCATCATCCTCAGATATAGAGATACCTGGAACCAATGAGCTATGTAGTCTTCACCAAAGGCACATCATCACCATCATCTTCCTTATATTAACTCCTCTTTTGGGAATCCGGTTCCCATCATCCCCAGATATCGAGGTACCTGGGGGCTGATAGACTATGTAGTCCTCACCAAAAGCACATCCTCTTCATTTCTCGACAATTCTTCTTTTGGACTTTCACCCCAACCTCCCCCTCAAAATCCAAATGGCTGGGGATGATGGGCTGTGTAGTTCTACCTGCTTTTCCCATCATTCCCAGTGATGATGGGAAAGGTAGTCCAAAGAGATGATGTTTGAGCAAAATCAAACCCTTGCTAACCCTTCTTTAATCTGGAAAAGGTCCATGATCCCATCATTCTCAGACCATCATGAGGATGATAGGAAATGCAGTCCAAGGGGGAGGCCTTTCCCAACCTTGTTGTTGTTTATTGTTTATGTTTGATGTTTTATAGTGCACTGATTTTAATCTATTATTATATGTATTATTTTTATTATGTGTTCTGTTTTATACCTTGTGAGGCATTGAATTTTGCCATTTACTTTACTGTGAACTGCTTTGAGTCCCCCTTGGGATAGAGGAAAGCAGTAAATAAATAAATAAATACAATTATTAAGCTTGTTTTTATATTTCAATAGGTAGGAGTTCAACACTCATCATCCCTAGGCAAGGGGATGATGGGAAATGCAGCCCAAAAAGGAGATCATGAACACTCCAAATAATGACTTCTCATTATTGTTATTTGGCCTATTTTGATTAAGGAAACATTAAGTTAGTTTCACAGCACCTATCATCAACAGCAGATGGGGATGATGGGAAAGACAGTCTCCCCTGGCTGTCATAACTACGATCCGGCCTGTCAATAATCCAAGAAATACGTCAAATCCCCATTTCTCCCTGGCAACCGGGGATGCAGATCTATTTCTGGCATTGCCAACTGTTCTGTATTTTCTCTGAATTGATTCAGTTTTCTTTGGTCTCTGGCCTGATATCCTAGTTAGCGGGAATAAAATGGCTCGTGATGGCCATAAAACAAGTATTTTTATGGCTCTGCAAGACCTCGATGCAGGAGCATGAAAGGCAGCGGCTCAACAGGGAGGCGAATTCTAATCCTACCAAAAAGATTAGCGATTCCTTTGGCATGAAAGCCTGGATAAAGGGCCCAAGAGGATGATTGAGGTAGATAGATAGATAGATAGATAGATAGATAGATAGATAGATAGATAGATAGATAGATAGATAGATGGATAAGTAGATAGATGGGTAGATGGATAGATAGATAGATAGATAGATAGATAGATAGATAGATAGATAGATAGATAGATAGACAGACAGATACATACGAAGGTAGATAGGTAGATCTACAGGTAAGTAGATAGGTTGATATACAGATACATACATACATACATACATACATAGACAATTAGGTAGGTAGGTGAACAGGTAGATAGATAGTTTGATAGAAAGGCAGATAAGTCAAAAACAGGTAGATAGAAAGGAAAATAGGTAGAAAAACAAGTATATAGGCACAGGTAGGTAGGTGGAAAGGTAGGTAGGTAGAAAGGCAGATAGGTAGATAGACACTGGTAGATAGAAAGGTAGGTAGATGGATAGGTACACAGGTAGGTAGGTAGACGGATAAATAGAAAGGTAGGTAGACAGAAGTGTATAGATAGACACAGGTAGGTAGGTATACGGGTGGATAGAAAGGCAGATAGGTAGATAAACAGGTAGATAGGCACAGGTAGGTAGGTAGAAAGGCAGGTAGGTAGATAAACAGGTAGATAGGCAAAGGTAGGTAGGTAGAAAGGCAGGTAGGTAGACACAGGTAGATAGAAAGGTAGATAGATGGATAAGTACACAGGTAGGTAGGTAAATAGAAAGGAAGATAGGTAGGTAGATATGCATGTAGATAGAAAAGTAAATATATGGGTAAATAAGGTTGATGGACTGGTAGAAAGACAGGTAGATAGACATAAGTAGGTAGACAGGTAGATAGAAAGGTAGTTAGGTAGATAAGTAGGTAGAAAGCCAGGTAGGTAGGTAGATAGGTACATAGACAGGTAGATAGAAAGGTAGGTAGAAAGGTGGATAGGTAGGTAGGTAGATATACATGTAGATGGAAAAGTTAATATACAGTTAGATAAAAGGGTTGAGGAACTGGTAGATAGACAGGAAGATAGAAAGACAGATAGAAAGATAGATAGAAAAGCAGATCTACCTACCTACCTACCTACCTACCTACCTACCTACCTACCTACCTACTGCACCCCTAACCTGTCCATGCCTCCTAGATTAAAATTGGTCAAATAATAATCATGAGAGTTGTTATTATTTGGCATACTCATGGAACACCGGGCTAGGAAAAGGCCATCGGAAGGAGAGGAAAAGAATAAAGGAACCAAGCACATAAATATAGGGAAGGAAAGACAGCACATTCCTGGAGTAGGGTCCTAGGGAGGAAAGGGCAAGGGAACTCACAGCTCGGTGGGCCTGCCCTTGCTGGGCTCCATGGCTAGGAAGAAGGCCTCTTTGGCTCTTCCGCTCCGTTCTCTTCCTCCTTCTCTTTCTTTCCTTCTTCCTTTCTTTCTCGGTGGCTTGGATCCAGGGTCCAAAGGTCTTCTTGCCGGGATCTCACCTGCGGGAGGTACGCCACCAGGAAGGAGGTGGAGGAGGAGGCTCTGCCAAGCCCAAGTTGCCTGGAGACCGACTCACATCTTTCACAGTTTCTAGGGAGACAGGCAGCAGGAGGCGGATTCCTCCTTCCCAGGAAATGATGATCATGATGCCTCCCCAGATAGGGACCCCAAAGGCCTCTCTAGCCCATGGACTCAGGGGGAAAGCAGCAGGAAGCAGAAATTGTGGACAGGTAGATAGAAAGGTAGATAAACAGGTACTTAGATAGACAGGAGGAAAGAAAGAAAGAAAGAAAGAAAGAAAGAAAGAAAGAAAGAAAGAAAGAAAGAAAGAAAGAAAGACAAAAAGAGGTAGATTGACAGATTGGTAGATAGACAGGTAGATAAAAAGGTAGATAGACGGATAGATAGATAGATAGATAGATAGATAGATAGGCAGACTGACAGACAGACAGAAAGGTAGATAGATATACAGGTAGGTAGGTAGGTAGGTAGAGACAGGTAGATAGGTAGAAAGAAATAGAGAGGTAGATAGATAGGTAGATAGATAGGTAGGTAGGTAGATAAACAGGTAGACAGGTAGAAAGATAGATAGGTAGAAAGACAGATAGGTAGGTAGAAAGGTAGATGGGTAGATAGAAAAATGGACAGGTATGTAGATAGACAGATAGGTAGATGGACAGATAGATAGGTGGACAGGTAGGTAAATAGACAGGTAGATAGATATACAGGTATACAGGTAGGTAGGTAGGTAGGTAGGTAGATATACAAGTAGATAGATAGAAAGGTAGATAGACAGACAGGTAGGCAAATAGAAATATAGATAGCAGAAAGGTAGATAGAACAGTAGATAGGTAGGTAGATATATAGAAAGGTAGATAGGTAGATCGGTAATGGAAAGTTAGGTAGGTAGACAGGTAAATAGACAGAACAGTAGACAGAAAGATAGATAGGCAGACAGATAGACAGGTAGATAGGGAATAGAAAGTAGATAGACAGGTAGATAGAAAAGTAGACAGGAAGGTTGATAGAAAGGTAGTCATGATGGGTAGATAGGCAGACAGACAGGTAGGTAGGTAGATAAGCAGGTAGATAGATAGGTAGGCAGGTAGATAGAAAGGTGGTCAGGTAGATAACTGAAAAATCTTTTAATTTTTCAGTCCTGTGATGCTGAGAGAGTGTGACTTGCCCAAGGGGCTTAAATTGGAAAAAAAATGCCTAAAAATCAGTGGATGAGCAGATCTTTCTGAAACTCAGCAGGAATGATGCCCTCCTCATGTTCAGTCACCGGGGAGAAATACACGGGGATACCTCTTTTGTTTGTTTTTTTAAAAACATTTTATTTGTAATAACTTTAGAAAATGGCAGGAATGAAGCCAAATGGTGGGTGGGAATAAACCTCAGGAGGCAAAATGATGGCTGTGTGTTCTCTCAGGAGGCAAAATGGCAAGAAGGAGGCAAAATGGCAGCTGCGTGTTCCCCTCAGGAAGCCAAATTGTAGGAAACAAACAAAATGGCAGCCATGTCTTCCCTTCAGGAGGCAAAATGGCAGGAAGGAGGCAAAATGGCAGGAAGGAGGCAAAATGGCAGCTGTGTGTTCCTGTCAGGAAGCAAAATGGCAGGAAGGAGACAAAATTATGGGTGGAAGTTTTAAGGAGGCAAAATGGCGGCCATGAGGTCCCTTCAGAAGGCAAAATTGTGGCCGTGTTTTCTCTTCAGGAGGCAAAATGGCAGGAAGGAGGCAAAATGGTGGCCATGAGGTCACTTCAGAAGGCAAAATGGTGGTCATGTGTTCTCCTCAGGAGGCAGAATGGCAGGAAGAAGGCAATATGGTGGCCATGAGTTCCTCTCGGGAGGCAAAATGGCAGGAAGGAAGCAAAATGGTGGGTGGGAGTTCTCCTCAGGAGGCAAAATGACAGGAATGAGGCAAAATAGTGGATGGGGTTCCCTTCAGGAAGCAAAATGGCAACCGTGTGGTCCCTTCAGAAGGCAATATGGCGGATTGGGGTTCTCCTCAGGAGGCTTGTGCAATAAAATGGCTGCCGGTCCTTATCTGCCAAGACACCGTTCTCCCGAACTCTCTTCGGGTTCTATCGCGTCAATCTCCGCCTGCCTCTCGCTCTCTGGAGAGTGCAGGAGACCACTGTCCTCCTTCTCTCTGAGTGAGTCCTTCTGTGATGATGAAGCAGCAGAGATCATTGCCAGATCCATCCTGTTGTCCTCTCTCTGTGCAGACATTTTCGGCTGCTGTCTTTGCAGCACAATGAAGTGCTACTCACACTACCAGTGCTGTGACTGGGGGACCCATTCCCTCCTCTCCGGCCCACTTCTGATGGTGCTGCCCAATCTGGCTCTGGGAAGTAATTACCACGGGGTGACCTCCCAACCCCTTGAGCACGACTTCTCACAGCTGTCTGCCTGCTTTCCTCACCACCATCAACCAGTGCCACCCACCAGGTCTAAGCCACCCACTGTGCAGATGAGGCCCAAGCAAGAAGAATCCATCTGGCATATCAATGCTATGAAGAGGATGCCTGAAACATCTACTGGCACTACCACAAGAGGCAATACCGGGCAGTGAAGGAAGGTTGGAGCGACGTGGCGGCATTGTGGGAGGAAGAGAAAGCAGCCCTCATGGCCCTCTCCCAACGCTTCCTCTTCCTTGAGTTCCTACAGCTGGAAGCACACTCCAGGCTAGCCCAGGAAGGCAAAGAGATGCTCTTCTCCATCTTGGAAGATGAGGCAAAATGGTGGAGACTTCTGCAACAAAATGGCTGCCAGGCCCCGTTCTCCTCCTAAACCCTACTCAGGTTCTGCATCCATCCTGTCATTCTCCGTCTCCCTCTATCTCTTTGTTGAGCCCAGGAGACCGTTCTCCTCTGTCTCTCTGAGTCCTTTCATAAGGATCAAGTGGTGCACTACCAGTACTGCAACTGGGGGTACTCACTGCCTTCACTGCCAGCCCCCAGGGGCGCTGCCTCCACCTCCTATTGAAGTTGAACATGACCCCCCCCCCCCAATAAAAGATAGTAACTTATAGTTTTGCTAAGGACAAGGACACCAGACGGGATAATAAGGGTTAAGCCTTGGTCAATTTGCCAAGACACTAACAACAATAAGAACTCTTCCCATGTTAGATTGTGTGTACGTTTAATCAAGGTTTTATGCCCTGTGTTTCATATATAGCAGAAGGTAGCACATATATTACTGAGAAACCACCTCCCTTTACACTTATGTGCTCTCTTGAACTTCTATGGGACTCTGGGGGGAGGGATAAGTGGGTATATTTTCTGTATCGTGATTTCTATACTTTCATATTTTCTCCCTGTGTATCTGACCTTTTCCTGACCCTCTTGGCCCCATTCCCCTTTTGAAAAAATATATAAAAATGCATAAGGAAGTCACCCTGACCCTGGAAGGGAAGAGATTAGCAATTGCAGAGACCCTTATCAAAGAACATTCCTTGCATGGACTGTAACAAAGAATCATGCCCCTGGCCACGGAGGATTTGACCACCAGGGAAATCATTGCTTGGCAAATCTTGATTATATTACAATAGGACAAGGGGAAGCCTTTGGAAAGCTCCCCCCTCCTGACCTGTCACCCATTCAACTCTCTCACTGAAGGCATCCACTTACGTTTCCCCCATTGTTCCTCTGTTTTGGTGTAAAAGGAAAACCTGGATTATGTTGGTATCGCCAGCATCAATGTTTATTTTACTCAATCACCAGACAATAGTAAAACTTAGCTCGTAGGCCATTTTAGGACTCGCCAAGCCCCTGGACACTTCCTGATACCATAATCCACTCAAGAATGCATTGTATTCCCTTATCCTGCCTCCCTCCCTCCTGATTCGCTGGAGCGCCTAGGCGGCAGAAGACTCCTGATTGGCTCTGGTGCACCGCAGAAGCCCTGTGATTGGCCCAGGCACTCGGGGGGGCAGCCGAGCCTCCTCCCAGCTCTTAGCGCGCCAATCACCTTCAAGCCGAGTGAGGGGCGGAGAGCGGGAGATTTGAACCACACAACTCTGTATTTCTATAAAAATGGCATTTATTTGTGTACATGTTATGCTTAGCTTGGCGAAAGATTGCTGCTTTGCATCCTTTTTAGTTGAATCGCAAAAAAAATCATCTGGCGCTTTTTTCAACTTTGGTGAGATTCTTTTTGGGAACCTAGGGAAATTATTTTAAATTGGGCTTCTCTTTGCTCACCATTTCAGCGATCCCTCTTTGGTGGGTCCACAGGGTCTCTCCTACAGAGCCAGACCCTTCTAAAATCCTCCATGATTTCGCTATCCTCCCTGGCTACACCTCTCCAGCCTGTTCTTCATGGTGCTCCTGAATCTGGCTTTGGGAAGCAGTTATTGCGAATTGAGCTCCCGGCCCCTGGAGGGCTCCTCTTCGCCGTTGTCTGCCTACTCACCTCACCACCATCACTCAGTGCCACCAGCTGGGCCTTGTCTTGCCCACTGGGAGCCAGCTGCCCAATGGGCTGGCGAGGCTAGTGCCAATAAGATCCACATGGCCTAATGGCGCCTAGAAGATGCTACATGGAACATTTACTGGCACCACCATGAGCAACAGTACGCAGCAATGAAGGATGGCCAGAGTGATGTGATGGCCCTCAGTGAGGCTCAGCAGGCAGCCCTCGTTGCCCTCTTCTGCCGCTTCCTCTTCTTTGAGTTCCTAAGGCTGGAAGCGCACTCCTGGCAGACCCAGGAAGCCAACGAGCGGCTCTTCGCCATCTTGGAAGACAAGGCCCATTGGGAGTGTGAGTGGAAACAGATCGCCGCCATCATGAAACATACATTTATAACAAAGTTTATTACAATATTACATTATATTAAATAATATTGTAGTATGATGATATGTAATAATGCAGTATATTGTCATATTATATAATATTATGATACAATATAACATATTATATTATGGTATGTTATATTATATTACAATATAGTATAAAATGGCATCCAGGCCTTCTTTGCCAAGGATTTATTCTCCTCCTCATCAGGTTCCAGATCCATCCCATTGTCCCAAACAGCAGTTGCCACGGAGTCCGTCCCACAACATCTCTCTCATCATTGCCACTGCTGTGTCTTTGCGCAAGATGAAGCGCTGTCCACACTATCACTGTTGTGACTGGGGAGCCCATCTGCCTCTGGTCCCAGCCCCAAAGGGCTCCGCCTCTGCCGCCTTTCTGCTGCTGCTATGCTTCTCCGGACCACTCCTGACAATGGACCGGAACCTGGCTCCAGGGAGCAACTACTGGCGGATATGCTCTCAGCCATTGGAGCGCTCTTTTCCGCTACCGCCAGACTATTCGTCTCACCACCACCATTCAGTGTCAGTGACCAGGCCTCATATTGCCCCATGAGAGCCAGCTGCCCATTGGGCTGACAAAGCCAGCAGAAAGAAGAGCCAGCACAAAGAGGCCACCGCATGGAAGATCTACAAGCAACATCACAAGTGGCAGTACACAGCAGTGAAGAAAAGCCGGTGTGACATGGTGGCCCTGTGCGAGACAGAGCAGGTGGCCTACCTTGCCCTCTTCCACTGCTTCCTTTTCTTTGAGTTCCCAGGGCTGGAAGCACACTCCCAGTGGGCCCAGGAAGCGAAGGAGCGGCTCTTCGCCCTTCTGGAAGCCGAAGTCTGCTGAGAGTGCGAATGGAAGATGATCTCCATAATGAAACGGGCCAAAGAAGAGGACCCTGTGGAAGAAGGCGAGGAAGAGGAGCAGCACCACTAGCCCCCGCTCCTCTGCCTTGACACTATCCACTTTTCGGCACCACATCAGCCTCAGCCACCACCTCGCCAGCCTTCCTTCACTTCCCTGCAGCCTTGGCACCGCAGCCTCCATTACCAACGAGCAGGGCTGTCGTGGTGGATAGGCAAATGCAACAACAGCAACATTCTCATGGTGGCAGCACCAGCCAAGGCCTCCCTCCACTGAGAGTCGTGGGGAATCCTGATTTCCTGAGAATATCATGTCTGTATTACATTATTCATAAATAAGATATTCCTGGAGCTTCAAGAGTACAAGGAAATTCATGAGGGTTTTTCTGTGACTCATGAATTATAACAGGCTTTAAGATCTAGCGACTGTCTTTCACCTATATCTTGGGTCTTATGTATATATATTTGTCTGTTGATATTTTTGATTGACTGCACAATGTATGTCTATTGTTCTACAACCAAGTATTTTCTTTTCTTTTGAGTTATGCATTCCTGGATTCTTCATTTATTATTACTATACTTCTATGTTTTAGAATCATTAAAAAAATATATTTACAATATTCTTGTAATAGGTCTTCATTTCTACCACATGCTTTTTGCAAAGGTTGCAACTAACTATGAATTCGGACTTTGTCACAGTTCGCTCTGCATCAAGAAGAAGCCCAGATCCCCAGCAAGATGCACTGAAAAGAAAAGAAGGAAGGAAGAAGAAAAGAAAGAATAAACAAGAGGAGGGAAGGTACAAATGATAGATGGAAGGAAGGAAGGCAGAATGGAAAGAAAAGATGAAGAATAGAAGGGAGGAAGGAAAGAAGAAGAAAAGAAAGGAAAAAAGACAGAAATGATGGAAGGAAGGCAAAATGGGAAGAAAAAAAGGAAGGAAGGAAGGAAGGAAGGAAGGAAGAAGAAAAGAAAGAAGAAACAATAAAGAAGAGAACGAAAGGCAGAAATGATGGAAGAAAGCAAGGCAGGGAGAATGGAAAGAAAAGAGGAAGAAAAGAAGGGAGGGAGGAAGAAGAAAAGAAAGACAGAAATGATGGTTGGAAGGAAGGCAGAATGGGAATAAAGGAAGGAAGAAAGGAAGAAGAAAAGAAAGAAGAAATGAAGAGAAGGAAAGTTACAAATGATGGAAGGAAGGAAGGTGGAATGGAAAGAAAAGAAGGAAGAAGAAAGGAAAGAGAGAGAAGTGATGGAAGGAAGGGAGAATGGAAAGAAAAGAAGGATGAAGAAAAGAAAGGAAAGAAGAATCAATAAAGAAGAGAAGGAAGGGCAAAAATGATGGAAGGAAGGAAGGCAGAATGGAAAGAAAAGAAGAAGAAAAGAAGGAAGGAATGATAAAGAAAAAAGGAACAAAGAAGAGAAAGAAAGACAGAAATGATAACAGGAAGGCAGCATGAAAGGGGAAAAAAAGATGAAAGGAGCAAAAAAGGAAGGGAAGAAGGAATGATAAAGAAGAAATGATGGATGGAAGGAAGTCAGGCAGAATGGAGAGAGAAAAAAAGAAAACGAAGGCAGAATGGAAAGGAAGGAAGGAAGAAGGAAAGAAATGAGAGAAGGGACAATAAAGAAGAGAAACAAAGTCAGAAACGATAGAAAAATGACTAATGTACAACCTGTCGACTTCTCCATTGAGACAAATAGAGGTAAAGTAACCAGAAAAGAGCCAATGTTGATATATGTTGTTGCAACACATGGCGAATGTACAACCCGTTATCTTCTCCATGGAGGTATAAGTGATGGGAAAAGAGTGTCAATTTCGAAGATTGTCTAGGCAATCACAAGAACCACGTTCTCCCTTTCCTTGAGAGTTTATTTATTTTAAATTTTTAAAAACCACACACATGTTTTAATTTATCCCTTTTTTGAACTCACCACTGAGTAAAAAAAACAAAACCCCAAAGTCTTGGTCAGAGTTAGCAGAGAGTTAACACAGTTATGAGGTTAGGAATGTAGTTTTCTATGACACCAAGGAAGGGTGAAACAGTGGCAAAAAGTTTGTGCAAAGTGCGCTTGGAGTCGAAAGTCCAATGGGGAGAACCCATTAAAATCTGAGTCTTTGGTGCAGTGTGCTGTTCCCTTTTCATCTGGGTTTGGTTCCCTTTCCTAACGATGAAGGTCTTAATTGACCCCGAGAAACGGCTCCGCTTCCTCTGGCAGCTGGGCCTCTTGGACTCCGGTTCCCATCATCCCAGACACAGAGACACCATCTGCGACAGAAAGACAAGACAGAACCATCAAGTCACATCCCAGCTTTAAAAAAAAGCAATACTGCATTTCCTCGAGTCTCACGCCCCATCGAATCTAATGCGCATCTGTTCCTGGTTTGAAAGTGTCATTTCCTGTTTAATTGTGCAGTTCCGTTGTTAAAATAAATTTCCTGAAACACTCTGGGAAAACTCTCAATGGGATGAAACACTGTTTTAAATTTTATTTTTTTCAAATGTTTTAATTTTTTCCAGTTTTTCATTTTCTTGGCAAACATTTCCAAGTGCTTTTGATTTTTTTCCACATTTTTAATTTTGTCCCATTTTTTTCTAAATGTTTCAAGTATTTTTAATTTAAGTTTTCCAAATGTTTTGATTTTTTCCAGTTTTTCATTTTCTTGGCAAATATTTCCAAATGGTGTTGATTTTTTTAATTTTTCCTAAATTTTTCAAGTGTTTTCATTTTTTTAAAAAAAAATGTTTTCATTTTTTTCAGTTTTTCATTTTCTTGACAAAATTTTTCATATGGTTTTGATCCCCCCCCCACATTTTTTTTATTATATTCCAAATATTTCCATTTTTTTCTAAATTTTCTAAATTTTTTGCAAATGAGAAAATTTAGGGAAAATTGGAAAAAAAATTGGTAGGAATGTTGTGCTCAATCAGGGCTGGGAAGTACAGCGTTGGCTCCCCATTTCTATCCCATCCGCCCCGCTTTTCCCTACTGATTTCCCCCACTGAGCAAATGAGACTCACGGAACCGGACGCGAATGGGCCAGATCATGATGCAGCAAAGGAAGAGCGTTGCCACAGCAGCAATGCCTCCTGTGACGGCCACCATCACCCAGTGATAGAAGTTCACACATCCGGAGCAGCAGAAGATTGTCCTGGGTTCGAAAGCAGGAAGGACGGAAAGAAGGAAAGATCAACATTATCCCATCCGTGAACTATCAAGGACTTGTGGGACAATATACGGGAATGCAACACGTCTGTCACTTACGGGCAAGGATGCATGTACTGAATGAGCATCACTCCCACCCCGTTGGCCACTTTGTCCGTGAAACTCATGGCCCCGTAGACGAAGGCCCCACTGTGCTGCAGGAGGAATGAGGAGAATGAAATAAGAATCCATCATGTCAGCTTCAAATCGACCCTCAACGTATATGTGTGTGTATATATATATATATAGTATATATCTGGGATGCGCTGTCATGTCCCTCTATTTCAAAGTGGTCTAAAAAACTCCAGGGTCTCTTTATCCAATCAAACACTGGAAGCAAGGAGATCGTTCAATAGGTTTATTTGATCGAATCACCCTGCCGAGTGAACAAAGGAGTGCCACACAAAACTTATACTCAACACTGTCAGCTAGAAAAATGCTGCATTAGATAGAAATACATTGCATGTACCTCCAGAATGTGGAAAAATGCAATTCTAATGCACATGTGTTCACAGCATAGTTCAATGAAGGGTTAAAACAAGTGGAGATGTGAACCTAGAGGGGCAGCTGTGTCTGGACCATGTGACAGGCATGACAAGGCTTGCATCATTTCCTGTGGTCCCTGGAGTTAAAAAATTAGAGTGGCAGGTATGTGCACTTCCTCTTTGCCATGTGGATCTCATATTGAAATCCATAATTTTGGCCCCCTGACTTAGAGGTGAGATTGACTATTGGTAAGCCACAGGAGCTCTAAATGAAGACACCACAATATAATATACCACAATGTAATATAATATAAATAATGTAATATAATATAAAAGTATACTGTAGTATTATTTATCATCAAACTATAATATAATTTACAATAATATATTATAATGTAAAATAATATATTGTAATCTACTACAATATAAATGTAAAATTATACAATCACATAATGTAATATACATATTATAATAACACACCACAATATACCTTGTGATATACTGTAACTATTCACATACCGTGTTGGAGCCAATGAGATCTGCCGTCATGGAGAGGGAGGTCACCAAAATGGTGGCTGATCCGGCCCCGAGGAGGACGGCTGCCCCATAGATCTCCACCCCAATCCGGTCAACCAGCGTCAACCAGGAAGCAAAGGCCAAAATGATCAGCAGCCCCAGGAAGTAGGTGAGCTGAAACAGGTAGAGAGGGCATATTTATTTATTTATTTATTTATTTATTTATTTATTGTTAGCTTGGGGACCCGTCGATGCCCAGGTTATTTGGAAAAGGCATTTTTTATTTTGGTTGAGTTCACAGTGCTCTCTGGACGTAAGTGAACTACAATTCCTCTAAATCATGATGAATTCTTCCCAAGCCTCTTGTTCAGTTGCTGATGTATTCCTGTTTGTTGTGTGCCATAGGAAAGGGTAGGAAAGGGTTAAGTGGGAGGCAGTGGGTGGGGTCATGCAAATTTGGAGAGAAAAAGGAACCCTGGGATGTCCATTCTGGAGAAAAAACAGAACATCTCGGATGAAATGGTCCCCGAAAGAAAGCATTCCTTGGGTAGTTGGTGGAGGACATTAGCAGGGGTTGGACTACATGTTCATGGCGCTCGCTATAACCTGCAATGTCAGTGGAGGGAGAGCCTTTGGAGGCTTCTCAGCACTTGGAACTATAGCCTGTTTGTGGAGGCAGGAGTCTATCTGTGTAAGAGGACACCTCCGCTCATGCCCAGGATTTTGATTTTGGGGGGGGGGGGGGGGTGAGTCTGAGTGAAAGAGGGTCTACCCTAGCAAACCTTTTGTATTGTTATCCCAATACCCCCATGCATATGACATACCGTATATTCCGGCATATAAGACGACTGGGCGTATAAGACGACCCCCAACTTTTCCAGTTAAAATATAGAGTTAAGACGACTCCCATGCATAAGACTACACCTGCGTATAAGACGACCCCTGACTTTTGAGAAGATTTTCTTGGGTTAAAAAGTAGTCTTATACGCCAGAATATACTGTATATTGAGCATGATGATCAGATCATGATATGAATAAACATGACAGTTTAAATGAGTAAGGCCTTTTCGCAGACCACCATGAGAATTTCGGGGGGGGGGGGCTGAAGCCCCCAAAGCCCCCCCCCCCCGGCTACATGCCTGCCTCCGCTGCATACACACATACATTCATTTTCACTATAATAATCTATTATTATTATTATTATTATTATTATTATTATTATTATTATGAGGAACCTGGTTGGGTGACTCACATTCCTGCCGATGAGCCGGTTCACCGTCTTCATCAGGAAGGAGGATAGGAAGCCACTGATGTACATGACCAAAGGGATTGTGGCAATGTATCTCTGCGGGGAAAAGGAGAGGAAGAGCCATTGGAATGTGGGCCCTCCTAGATAGATAGACAGATGGATGGATGGATTTATAGACAGACAGACAGACAGACAGATGTTGGCTATAAGGGACCTCTTCAAAGGACTAAACCCTTCAGATAGATACATGACAATAGATGAATAGATAGATGACAATGGATGGATGGATAGATAAATAGCAATGGATTGATAGATGGATGCATAGACACAGACAGATAGATAGATGACAAGGGATGGAGGGATGGACAGACGGACGGACAGATAGATAGATATGGATGGACAGACAGACAGATGAATGTTGGCTTTCCTGAACTTCTCCAAGGAGCTGAATACTTCAAATAGATAGATAGATAGATAAACAGCCAGACAGATAGATAGTGGATGGATGAATAAATAAATATTGGCTTCACTGGACTTCTCCAAGGGGCTGAACCCTTCAGATAGATAGATAATGACAAGAGAGAGAGAGAGACGGACGGATGGACGGATGAACATTGACTTTCATGAACTTCTCCAAGGGGCTGAACCCTTCAGATAGATAGATAATCATGAGAGAGAGAGAGAGAGAGACAGACAGACAGACAGACAGATGAACATTGGCTTTCATGGACTTCGCCAAGGGGCTGAACCCTTCAGATAGATAGATAATGACAAGAGAGAGAGAGAGACGGACGGACGGATGGATGAACATTGACTTTCATGAACTTCTTCAAGGGGCTGAACCCTTCAGATAGATAGATAATCATGAGAGAGAGAGAGAGAGAGACAGACAGACAGATGAACATTGGCTTTCATGGACTTCGCCAAGGGGCTGAACACTTGAGAGAGAGAGAGAGAGAGAGGAGACTATGGATGGATGAATAGATAGATAAGTATGGATGAATGCTGGCTTTAAGGGAATTCTTTAAGGGCTGAACCCTTCATATAGATATAGATGGATGGATGACAGTAGATGGATGGATAGGTAGGTAGGTAGGTAGGTAGGTAGGTAGGCAGATAGATGTTTGCTATAAGGGACCTCTTCAAAGGGCTGAACCCTTCAGATAGATGAGATAGATTATGATCGATGAATTGATGGATGGATGGATGGATGGATGGARGGARGGARGGARYGARYGACYGACAGACAGASAGACAGAGAGACAGATGACAATGGATGGATGGARYGATGGATASAATGSKTGGATGGATGGATGGARGGATGGYWGGGAGGGAGGGAGGGAGGACGGATGGATGTTGGCTTTAAATGACTTCCCCAAGGGGCTGAACCCTTGAGATAGATTGARAGATAGATTACAATGGAAGGATCGATAGATGGATTATGAACAGATGGATGTTGGCTATAGGGGACCTCTCTAAGGGGCTGAACCCTTCAGACAGATAGATAGATGGCGAGGGATGGATAGAGAGATAGATCAATAGATGAATGTTGACTTTTCTCCAAGATAGATAGATAGATAGATAGATAGATAGATAGATGGATGGATGCTGGCTATAAGGGACATCTCCATGGGGCTTAATCCTTCAGATAGACAAAAGGAAAGATGTATGACAGTAGATAGATGGGTGGATATGTATATAGAGAAAGAGAGAGAGAGAGGTGAATGTGGGCTTTTAGGGACTTCCCCGAGGGACTGGACCCTCCAGGTCTGAATGCGGGTCTTCAGGGATCCCTCCAAGGGGCCTCAAAGCAGGCTTGGAAGGAGATCTCCAAGGCCGTGGCTCTTAGGGAGATCTCCTCAGACTCTTTCCCAAAACCCAGGCAGGATCTCCACCCAGGAAAGACTCACCTTTGGGAGCAGCAGCGAGTTGGTGAGGTACATGGCGATGTAGGTTTGTGAGAGGTTCACAATGAGCCGGGTGGCCATGTACAGCATCGCCACCTGGAAGGAGGGCAGAGTTAGGGAAATAAATGGGGGGGGGGGGGCTTTGAGGGAAGGGACAGTACTAATGAAAATGCATGCTTGCTATAAATATATATGGGGGGGGGGGGAGGTGGATCGCAGGTAGAAAGCGGCAAAGAGCCAGTGTTTCCAAAGCAGGACCCGGCGGAGAGGCGCCTTCCGATCCGGCGGCAAAAGTGGCGTCTCTTCTTCTGGATCCAGATGCCATTGGATCGGATGGGTTTTCTCTTTGGTCCCAATGTGGAAGAGGAAGGAAAAGATGGCGCCCACGCCAACAACAATCAGAGAGAGGTTCTGAGAAAGAGGGAAACATACAGCTTATAACATACAGCCGCTGTGGCTGTCTGGATAAGGAGGAACAAGCTGAAGATCAATCCTGACAAGACAGAGGTCCTCCTGGTCGATTGTAAACCGGATCGGGGTATAGGTTGGCAACCTGTGTTAGACGGGGTTGCACTCCCCCTGAAGGCACAGGTCCGCAGTCTGGGTGTCCTCCTGGACTCATCACTTACGCTTGAGTCACAGGTGTCGGCGGTGGCTGGGAGGGCCTTTGCACAATAAAGACTCGTGTGCCAACTGCGACCGTACCTTGTGAAGGCGGATCTGGCAAGGGTAGTCCATGCCTTAGTCACCTCCAGATTGGATTACTGTAATGCACTCTATGTGGGGCGGCCCTTGAAAACGGCCCGGAAATTCCAATTGGTACCACGGGCGGCAGCCAGGTTGTTAACTGGTGCTCCTTACAGGGAGCGGTCAACCCTTCTGTTTAAGGAGCTCCACTGGCTGCTGTTCATTTTCCGGTCCCAATTCAAGGTGCAGGTTCTTACCTACAAAGCCCTAAACGGTTTGGGACCTGCCTACCAGTGTGACCACATCTCTGTGTACGAACCCACACAATCTCTTCGATCCTCTGGAGAGGCCCTGCTCGCGCTCCCACCTCCATTGCAGGCACGATTAGTGGGGACGAGGGAGAGGGCTTTCTCGGTGGTGGCCCCTCGACTCTGGAACTCACTCCCCAAGGACATCAGGCATGCCCCAACGTTGGCAGTCTTTAGGAGGAGCCTGAAAACGTGGTTGTTCCAGTGTGCCTTCCCAGAATAAGGCATCTCCCAGCAATATGTCACTTTATTAATGATCTAGGATTGTCTGCACGCCCCATCCCTCTCTGTAAACTCTATCCTAGTCATATTTCACCTGTTCATGCTCAGCATTATCTTTAAAATTTTAATTATTACATTTGGCCCAGCCATAGGTTTTTTAACGTCGTTGTGTTACTGTTAATGTTTATTGCTTATTTTTTGTTATGAGTTTTATTTTATTGCTGTATTATTGTTGTTATTGTTTGTATTACTTATGTATTGTGGGCTCGGCCTCATGTAAGCCACACCGAGTCACTTGAGGAGATGGTAGCGGGGTATAAATAAAGTTATTTATTTATTATTATTATTATTATTATTATTATTATTATTATTATTATTACTATGCCAAAAAGCGGACCTCATCCATCTGGGACTCTTCTAGGTAGCGTTCCCTCCATTACTCAAATTTCTTTCATAATAATATGACACTTGTGGCAAAGACAACATGTTCCCATACCCCATCATTCATTCCGTGCGTCTCTTTGCTTATTTTGATTCACGCCACCCAGAGGACAGCTTTTGCTGCTGCAAGATGCAATATGTTGCCATTATCATATATACATCCCAACATTCTTGTGTCTTGAATTGTGTGGAAACACTTTTTTGTTCGTATCCCCTAAATAGGATAATATATGGATGTGGCACGGGTATCATACAATTCCATACCTTCTGAACAACTCTGATGCATTCTTTTCTGAGACTGTTGCAAATTTTATTATTCTTGAGATTAGCAACTCTTAATTATACTTTCCTTTTTATTGGTGACTTCCTCTTGTTGTATATGTTTGTATTTTTGTATTATTCAAGCTGATTAGCTACTATACAAGGTCAGAGGCTGTGCTATAAACTCTCTGCTAACTGTGACCAAGACTCTGCAGTGTTTTAAAGGATTGGAATTAACTGCTTGCCTTTGAGACAGTCCGTCCCATTGCACAGCTGGAGGAGGAGGCCAGAAAGTCCAGCTGAACAGTCACTGATTGTGCGGCATCATATGACGGTGAGTTCCAACGACCAACGGAGAAGGGGAAATTGGCTGAGAGGTACGTTTTCCTCCTCTTTCCCCTCCTTTTCAATTACATTCTTACCCGGAATACAGGGATATCGTGGTGCCCGAGGTCCTCGACGTGATCCGAGTGTCTGGCCTGGAAATGCAGGAGGAGCCAGGCCACCCCATAAACAGTGATGTTAGCCATGACAGTGAAGGCATATCTGGAAACAACAGAAAAGAAATGCCTACCCTCAAGGAAAGAATGGCACCCCGTTTGCAAAGTGTTTAATTACAGGACTCGTAATTATTTACGTTTAATTATGGGGCTCCCCCAAGTTACAGAGGAAAATTAATTTTCCTATTTAATTTTGAGGAACAGGTGCCAAAGGGCCAGGAAAATCTCTGCAACTCTTTCTCAACCAAAAGTTTATTTTGGGTCATTTTCTAATGAAGAAATGCTCCCCTCTAGTGGCAGACATATTAATATATTTCTGCATATGTATTACCTGTATTATCATCATTACCATTATTACTGCAATTATTATTAACTTCTCCCACAATGTTGGGATCCAAAGCAACTCACAGTTTCTAATAATAATAATAATAATAACAACAATGACTATTATCCACTTCTCCCATGATATTGGGATCAAAAGCAAATCATGATTTTAAATAATAATAATAAACATAATTAGAATATAACTATTATTATCAATTTCTCCCACAATATTGGGATCCAAAGCAACTCACTACTTTAAATAATAATAATAATAATAATAATAATAATAATAATAATAATGGTAAAGCTGACACAATATGAGGATTTAAAGATCTAACTCCAAAGACTCTGGCACAAACCAGTAAAGGTGGTCCCAGTGGTGATTGGCACACTGGGTGCAGTGCCTAAAGACCTTGGCCTGCACTTAAACACAATCAGCGCTGACAAAATTGCCATCTGTCAGCTGCAAAAGGCCACCTTACTGGGATCTGCATGCATTATTTGCCGATACATCACACAGTCCTAAACACTTGGGAAGTGTCTGACGTGTGATCCATTACAACAGCCAGCAGAGTGTCTGCTGTGGATTCATCTTGTTGTGTTTCTAATAATAATAATAATAATAATAATAATAATAATAATACAGGTAATAGTAATGCAGATATTATATATACTTGGCACTCTACTCCCTCTGCTTTCAACTTGTAACAACCCCATTTTATCAAACCCATTATTTAATCCAGTTTTATTGTGTTTTAATTTATTTTAGTTAACTATTATACGTATTTTTTACTGTCCAGTAAAACACTAAAATGGCCCAGGATATCATGAAATATTCTTCACTTCCCAGAATCCCCCAGCCAGGATCATACAGGAAATAGCAAGAGGAGGATGCTGGGAGCTGTAGTCCAAAAAGAAATTTTTTTGAAGAGGAGGTCAACCTGGATATAGGAAATAAAGATTTGGAAGGGTGCCATTGACCCCACGTTGCCAGACATTGTAAGTATTTTGGAGCGGATTGTTAGATAGACAATGCACTATTACACACACTTAGATACTGATAGATACAGGTATGCATTGGCTGTGTGCAATGCAGCCTATTATGCAAAACTTTTTGAAAATAAAGTTCTACTGGACCTGTGATCACACACCTACTAAAAGGTTAAGTGATGTGTAACTGGAGGGACAGGCTAAAGAAGCTGAGTCACGACCATGTGACAGTCATGACAAGGGTTGCATCATTCACTTTTGTCCCTGGATGATGATGAGCAAGCAATGGCTATAAAAGAAGGCAGTTAGCGTGTGTACTTACTCTTGCCATTATTCTCTTGCTTCTCATCATACATCTGCTGCTGATATCTGTTGCCCACATCATGATTATATCTCGCTACTGACTGATAAGAGACCAGGGGATCCTGATGTGTGGATATATAGCTGGACATCAAGCAACATGTCAAGATTAAAAGCCTCCACTGAAGGGACATGAGAGAAGCCTTCCACAAGGACGGTAAAACATCAAAACATCCGGGGATCCCCTGGGCAATGTCCTTGCAGATGGCCAATTCTCTCACACCAGAAGCAACTTGCAGTTTCTCAAGTTGCTCCTGACACAAATCGTGCCACCCACTGAAGGTTTGGATGAAAATTGAGTCACAGAGTTTTCTGCAAGAAAAACTCTGCTATCAACTGATAAAGACTCTGCTATGCACAGGGTGATTTTCAAAGCTTGCCCCTGAGATAATCAGTCCAGTGCGCAGTGTATTTAGGGAAGGAGTGATGGAGGAAGGAGGAAACTATATATCATGTGTGGACGTTGTACCTGAAGGCCGTTAACTCCACTTTCTCGTGTTCGTCGGAGGCAAGTTCGGGGATGAGTGAGAGGTGGGAGATCTGGGTGGCGGCCCAGCCAAACTGGAAGATGGCCACAAAGGGGAGGTAGTAGACCAGGGCTGCCCATTCGGGGGTGTTCTCCGCACAGCCGATGCATGGATTGAAGATGAAGGGGAAGGAGAGAAGGACGCACACCGTCCCTGCAGAGCGGGCCACAAGAGGGGAGGGGCACACACAGAGAGGAGCGCCTTAGGCACTTGGAAGGTGCCAGTCAGGAGCATAGTAGACTCTCAGTTAACTGGAACTCTCAAGCAATCAGAAAATGACACCAAAGAAATAATCTATCTATTGATACTATATGGTTCATTCATTCAGTCGTTTCCGACTCTTTGTGACCTCATGGACCACACACACACACACACATATATCAGAACAATAAGCTCTCAATTAACCAGAACTCTCAAGCAACCAGAAAAAGACATCAAATAAATTATCAATATTTTATGCACACATACACAAACACACATACATAATCAGAACAATAGAATTTCAATGTATTGTCAAAGGCTTTCATGACCAGAATCACTGGGTTGTTGTAGGTTTTTTCCGGGCTATATGGCCATGTTCTAGAGGCATTCTCTCCTGATGTTTTGCCTGCATCTATGGCAAGCATCCTCAGAGGTAGTGAGGTCTGTTGGAACTAGAAAAAATGGATTTATATATCTGTGGAATGACCAGGGTGGGACAAAGAACTCCTGTCTGTTGGAGCTAGGTGTGAATGTTTCAACTGACCACCTTGATTAGCATTTGATAGCCTGGCAGTAGAATTTCAATTAACCAGAACTCTCAAACAACCGGAAACAATTGATGGAATAATCTATCTCCATCTATCCATCCATCCATCCATCCATCCATCCATCCATCCATCCATCCCTCTATATATCCATCCCTCTATCTATCTATCTATCTATCTATCTATCTATCTATCTATCTAGATTATAAATCAGTACAGTGGAGTCTCAGTTAACCAGAATTCTCATGTAACCAGAAAAAAATTATCAACTATTTATCCATATATCTTATAAATCAATATAATAGACTCTTTGTTAACTAGAACTCTTAAGCAATCCGAAAAAGACATTGCAAATTTATCTATCTATCTATCTATCTATCTATCTATCTATCTATCTATATATATATCTATCGATTGATCAATCGATCTACCTACCTAATAAACCTAATAAATAAATGAAAATTGTGGTTTCTGTCCCCAACCAGATGGTAGTTTCATCCATCTTGAAAGGGGAAGCGAGAGCAGGAACAGAAACGCCTGCCCCAAATGGAAAGTCCAGAAAACTTTTGTAAAAAACTTACAACGACAATCGATAAGGTCAACGGATTGCCCGTGATGTCCTTGATAAAAACAAGCCATGGCGACGACAGTTAACGGTTTGCAGCTCGTGAGACCTGGAAACTATGAACACCAATGAGGAGATGGAGATGTTCAGCTGAGAGAAGGGCCATGTTTCCATATTTGGAAGGAGATCCAGGAGTCATTTCGTTCTGGATTCCTATAGGATCGAATGAGGTCAGACTAGATGCCTCTGGGGGTCCCCTTCAATTCTATTTTCCCTCTATCCAAATGTTGGGTCAGAATCAGGCAACGCTCTATTGAGATCCCATTGATTCCGGTTGGCACAATAAAAGATGCTGGGTTTTGCAGTCCAAAACCACCCATGTGACTCACAACACCCCTGTAAGGCATGTTTCCATTACTACTACTACTACTACTACTACTACTACTTTCTATATATATTTCAGATTTCAATATTAATGTCAAAAATACGTAGTATGATTTTACATAGGATTTGTGCTACATTAGAACAGTAAAGACAAATATCACTTAAGTAATAATCATAATAATACTTTATTTATACCCCGCTAACATCTCCCCAAGGGACTCAGTGCGACTTACATGAGGCCGAGCCCACAATACATCAATAATAAAAACAGTAACAACAAGTAATACAAAACAATAAAAATAAAACTCATAACAGAAAATAAGCAATAAACATTAACAGTAACACAACGACGTTTAAAAACCTATGGCTGGGCCAAATGTAATAATTAAAATTTAAAAAATAATGCTGAGAGGGATGGGGCGTGCAGACACTCCTAGATCAATAATAAAGTGCATTTAGAGGGCATATTGCTGGGAGTTTCCTTGTTCTGGGAAGGCACACTGGAACAATCACGTTTTCAGGCTCCTCCTAAAGACTGCCAGAGTTGGGGCATGCCTGATGTCCTTGGGGAGTGAGTTCCAGAGTCAAGGGGCCACCACCGAGAAGGCCCTCTCTCTCGTCCCCACCAATCGCGCCTGCGATGGAGGTGGGAGCGCGAGCAGGGCCTCCCCAAATGATCGAAGTAAAATAAACATTAAATATTAAATAACCAGAAAAAAATAAAGTGTAAACACTAAACTAATCTGGGAATCTGCTATTGCAACACATCCAATGAAGTGGTTTAAACTCAGTGTATAAAAAAATAGGGCTAAGTATGTTCCAGTCTACTTGGAATACTTGTATTATATTATGATTATTCTATTATAGTATTATATATTATTACTGTTATATTATATTACACAACAAGATGAGTCCACAGCAGACACTCTGCTGGCTGTTGTATTGGATCACACGTTGGACACTTCCCATAATGTGTGCAGATCCCAGTAAGGTGGCAGATGGTAATCTTGTCAGGACCGATTGTGTTTAAGTGCAGGCCAAGGGCTTTAGGCACTGCACCCAGTGTGCCCATCACCATTGAGACCACCTTTACTGGTTTGTGCCAGTCTATTATTATTATTATTATTATTATTATTATTATTATTATTATTATTATTATTTTAGTAGTAGTAGTAGTAGTAGTAGTAGTAGTAGTATCCCATTGACCCCAGTTGGCACAGGAAAGGATGCTGGGTTTTGCAGTCCAAAAACACCCATGTGATTCCCAACGTCCCTGTAAGGCATATTTCCATTATTGTTGTTGTTGTTACTGCACTACTACTACTACTACTACTACTACAAGTGTAATGTTTCCATATTTGGAAGGAAAGCCCTATTACTGCCTTACTGCACCGCCCCAAAGGCTTGGTCCCACAGCCAGGTTTACCATCTTTCTGAAGGACAGAAGGGAGGGGGCTGATCTAATCTCGCCAGGAAGGGAGTTCCATAGCCGGGGGCAATCACTGAGAAGTCTCTCTCTCTCTCTCTCTCTCTCTCTCGTCCCCGCCAAAGGCACCTATGACAGTGTCAGGACCGAGAACAGGGCCTCCCCAAAAGATCTTAGCCTTTGCGATGGTTCGTAAAGGGAGATGCATTCTGACAGGTGAGCTGGGCCGGGGCTGTTGTTTTTCTAGAAAGTAACAATAAACGTGCCACTTCAAGACTTTGAATTTGAATGAAGGCTGCATGCTTTGTTTGTTCCGTGCCTCCTAGCAGTCGCTCTGAGGCCAATAAAATGACAGGTCCTCTTATACGCCCTGGAAATGAGCAGCCACGGGCCCATAATTACCATCGCTGGTGGCCGGTTATGCCACTTTACCCATTTCCCAGCCTCTCATATCCTGGTTTGCACTAGCCGGCCCATTTCCTGGCTTTTCATATCCTGGTTTGCATTAGCCGGACCAGCATTTCTTAATTGTTTAGGCCCATTTTTTTGAAATCTTGGCCCTAACAATATGCATGAAGAATAGGCGGGATAACTTTTAATATATATGTGTGTCATTTCGACAATTTTATGCTTATGTTGTTTTGATAATTCTGCGTTTATGTTGTTTATTCTGCATGTTTTGGTGTTTGTTACTTGAAAACTGCCCTGAGTCCTCTTGGGGAGATAGAGCGGTATATAAAAAAGTATAATCATCATCATCATTATTTGAAACAGAACAAGATGAGTCCACAGCAGACAAGATCACTCTGCTGGTTGTTGCATTGGATCACACGTCAGACACTTATTATTATTTGAAATACAACAAGATGAGTCCACAGCAGACAAGATCACTCTGCTGACTGTTATATTGGATCACACGTCGGACACTTCCCAAGTGTCTAGGACAGTGTGATGTATCAGCAAATAATGCGTGCAGATCCCAGTAAGGTGGCCTTCTGCAGCCGGCAGCTGGTAATCTTGTCAGCACCGATTGCGTTTAAGTGCAGGCCAAGGTCTTTAGGCACTGCACCCAGTGTGCCGATCACCACTTTACTGGCTTGTGCCAGAGTCTTTGCAGTTCGATCTTTAAATCCTCATATTGTGTCAGCTTTTCCAGTTGTTTCTCCTCAATCCCACTGTCACCCGGGATTGCAACATCAACGATCCATACTTTGTTTTTTAACATGATCGTGAGGTCAGGAGTATTGTGCTCCAAAACTCTGTCTGTCTGAATCCGGAAGTCCCAGAGGAGCTTGATGTGTTCATTCTCTGTAACTTTTTCCGGCTTGTAGTAATCTTGTCAGTGCTGATTGCGTTTAAGTGCAGGCCAAAGTCTTTAGGCACTGCACCCAGTGTGCTAATCACAACTGGGACCACCTTTACTGGCTTGTGCCAGAGTCTTTGCAGTTTGATGATGATGATGATGATGATTATTATTATTTGTGTCCGGTAGCAAATAGGCAGCCAGTAGAGCTGATGTAACACGGGAGTTGTTTGCTCCCTGTATACTGCCCCAGTTATTAACCTGGCTGCCTTTCATTGGGCTATTGGAAGCTTCCGAACAGTCTTCAAAGGCAACCCCATGTAGAGCGCGTTGCCGTAGTCTATCCTGGATGTAAAGAGAGCGTGCAGCAATGGTTCAGGACCTGAGTGGCTTCCTTGGCAGTGGGTGGAAAAGAGTAATAGAGTTGGGTGTCATCTGCATACAGATGGCACTGAACCCCCAAACTCTAGAGGGGCTCAAATGTTTGCTTCTCATAGACTTGGCACATGGATTTGATTAGTTATAATTCATGAATAACCAGGGGGTTTTTTTTACCTGAAAATTTTCAGGGGCAGTTTGAACCCCTAAACCACCCCCTTGGCTATGGGCTTGCTCCTCTCTTAGCGGCACAATACAAAATAGAATGAAATATGCAGGTTTCCTATTCAACGGAAGGATGCCTTCCTGTCCCTTGAAATCCCCAGAAAGGGGATTCTTTTGGGGATGATT